CAATAAATTCTTTAATTTGATCTGAATTAAAAACACCTTGGACTGATGACATAGCACATTGCAATGTCCCTAAATCTTCTAGTTTTGATTTCAAACTTTCAATTTCTCTCCGCATCATCTCATTTTCTTTCTCTGCGATCGTATTATTCAGTAATTCCCAATACGATGACGACGGAACTCTTTTTTTGAATAGATTGACGGCACAGCAGACTCTTTCAATTTGAAATCCATCAGCTTGAAAGAATCTCTATCAAAATGGGCCTAAAATTCATCTTTTTTTTACTGTTTTTACAAGTAAATTCGAATGTTTACCTCACATATTGCGGATTTCTTGAAATTTTCCATTCTGGACGTTTCATTGCATTCTTCCATGACATTATCTTTAAAGGATCATTCGGAAAATTGAATAACTCGAATCCCTTTTCTAATGAATTATCGCAACAATGTACGCAGCAGAACATTGAAATAATTTAAAATGCAAAATTTTGGCAGTCATAAAATTTCAAAGTGACAGCGACAGAAATTCGAAATTATTAAAAAAAGCGGGCGGGACGACTATGGTGTTTCGTCACATTGTCAGGTGGGCAAACCAAATGAAACAAAATATTAAAAACCCCAACGGCTGTCAGTTTTGTGTCCGGACTCTTGTCTAAAGTATATACAGGGACTCTAATAATTACCATAACAGCGAAATATCGGCTGACAGCTATTTATTGACATGAAATTAGTTGACATTTTGATTTTTGAAAGTTTGGTTGTAATTATCGCAATAAACTACCGAAAGCAGCGCCGATAGTGAGTTTGAAAATGTCCAAACGAAATTTCCAGTGTAACAGTTAGTGTATAGGTATTCTGTTCGAATTTCAGTATTTGATACAAATGAAAATTAATAAAGAATAAATTAATTGTATTGTACAAAGAAATATAATATGGAAATATGTCTCATTGATTTGTTATTCTACATCGTTGCCGAAAAAATTGTGTACGCCACGTCCAAAAACAGTTTTTTTGGACTCGCAGACTTTCAGGACTCGCCTGCGGCTCGGCCTAGAATTTTGTCTACTCGTCCAAAAAAACAGTATTTTCCGGACTTTTAACATAAATTACTATTTACGTCAACCTCTACAAAACATCACATTTTACTTGTTAAATACTGTCTGTAGGTTAATCGAGGAGGTGGTACATTCATTTTACTTGGTTCTTTGGGATTTTCTCTCCTCGTTTCTATAAAATAAAAGTATTCGTATTATTTCAATATATTTGTAGAGGGACAAATCAGATGATTTGCCCCAAAATGTCACTGCGTTTAACAAATTTTTCTATCAGGGAGTCTAAAAGAAAAATCCAGTAGCAAAAATTTCAAAGAAAAATAATTTACATTTACATGTTGAGAACGGGAGCAGAATCGGTCCCGAAACGTCCAAAGATAAGTACAAATTCGATATTTTTTCAATATATCTATATTTCTTTCCTTCAAAAATTTTTTCAAACAAATTGTCACTGACAAGCTACTGGATTTTTCTTTTAGACTCCCTGATAGAAAAATTTGTTAAACATGAATAACTATTTCAATTAATTACGACTTTTTTTAATTAATTCCGAGATTAATTCACTTTGAAAAAAATCAAATTTCATTTACATAGACAAAATACAAGAAACGCAACAAAGAAACTAAGTTTTTATTTTCTTCAAAAATCTTGGAGTACAGATCGACTGAAATTCGAGCTTCATCATTAGGATCTCTTATACCGTAAGGTACGAAACACAGGGTCGGTACGATTGAATTATGGCAAAGTTGAGCAATGTAATGCCTAACAACACCGTTTCGACACTTCAGAAAATTCCGAATACGATCGAATATAATATACGATAAAAACCGAACTTTCCTAAAACCTACTTTGTTTTTCAAGTTATTTGAAGAAATTAATCGAAATAAATGACACTTTGCTAAAATTGAATAACTGAAAAATGTCTTAGGAGGCCATGTTTTGGTATTTAGGCATAACATTCAATTGTAAACAACTTTAACATTTTGCTGAAATTTCTGAAATGAGGGTACTTTACTATCAGTATTTTGGTTGTGCAGTTGATTAAAAAGATTCCCATATGTTGCACACTTAAATGACCACACTGTATATAGATAACTATCGATATATCAAATTTATGGATATGTGAAATCCATCAATATCGCGCAGCCTTAGAAAGAATGGGTTTTGTTTCCATTGGAGAATATCTGAATTAATTCATGATTTCTTTGAAGGAAGTCCGAAAAAGTCATTCGAATTAATTTAAGACTTAAATCACTGACTTATTCAATTTATGCCGATCCTGGAAAAAATATAGTAATAACATAAAATATATCCATGAGTCTACAAGAACCTATACTAACTGAAATTGCATTATAATCATAACTCGAGTTGTGTACCACATACACTTCTTCTACGACTACATTGATTGGATCCATAACGAGAGAAATTTCATCAGATGGGAATGTTGCTGTACAAGTGATGAACATTAAGGATTTACTAGTAATTAGAGGTAGAGGACAATAATGAGAATGTGAGGGGAATTCTGGGTATTTATGGAAAAAATTGTGATCGTTCAGGAGTCATTGTGAGAATTTGATCTGGAAATTGATAATAATTGCTGTACAAAATTCACATTAATGAAATGTCTCTCGGTCCTCGTTCCATAATGAAGTTATATAAAGCACAAGGCTATCTCTATTATCATATGATAGAGATGCATAGATTAAACAAACATTAGCTCTACCTGAGAATGACGATTATTGCATCGGTTCCCACTTTATCTAAGGCACTAGGTACTTATTCACTCTTTCTTCAATAGACACTATAAAAGTATAAAAGGAAAATTGACAAAAATTGAAAAAAAAACAAATAATTTGAAAAATAAAGGTTATGTTAAATGTCAAGTTTGTTATGATTTATGATCCTTATATGGCTGTGGCTACGACCACGAGAACCAGTCAAAATAACAAGAGCTTCGACCATTCCAGTCATTCCACGGTACTTGTTTTTCAGGGAATCTGAGAGCAATCGCACAAACATTTCAATTCGACAATGAAAGTCATGTTTTTGGGTCTCCTAGTCTGTCCTAGTCTCACCTACTCCTGGTGTGGAAAACGGAAATATTGCATCTACACACTCACTATATTGCGAATCAAAACAAGAAAAAATGATAACAAATGTCACCCAGTTGTCATATCATTCCTAAAGGGGAATTTCATCATATTCGAATTTTTCAATGGCCAACATTTGTTGTGGAATTCTCTGGTTCATAATTCTAATTACAGTTGCCTTTCCAATAGCATTAGTGTGTTCTGGCTGGTACATTATTTGCTACACGTTCCATGCGTGTTGCGAATGTTGCAACGTGAGTATTATCAGTGGGGTATTCCTTTTACACAAACTATTGTATGATGCTGATAAGTCAAAAGGCAAAGATCTGCATTCGCTACTTGGAGATTATGAAACGGATTCATTAGACACTCCATGGTTGCCACAGAGTTCCGAAGGTATGAGATTCAAATTTGGTAGAGGTGTAGGATTCGAGAATCGGAAAATTTTGTAATATTTCATACTCTCCCATCACTTCTGGTTTCACCGGAAACGACGTCAACTAATAATTTTCTAATGGAACACCCTTTATTTAATTCCAGTACGTATCGGTTATTACTATGGATGATTATGAAGAATTCAACTATACTGGATTTGATAGGGTTATTTCGAAAGAATAGAAAGATATTCGAGATCAAAGTATCGATATGCTCATTGAGAGACAGACGAAGTTTCCAACTACCCCTTGGGTCGTTTCCGATAAACTGGAAGTGAAACAAAATCCTATACACCTCTGCCAAATTGGAATATCATACCTACGGAACTCCTTAAACCATGGCTTGTCGTCTAATAAATAAGTTGACACCGGGTAGTTGCTCACTTTCCCAAATAAGTTGATTCAAATATTTCAAAATATATCCTTTTCTGTGTCGGGAAAAAAGTTAGACATTTTATTATCTCTGTTGACAGGTTACAATATGTCACTTTTCATTAATTACTTTTTTCCCAAGGGAAAAAAGTGAGTACATCTCTCCTGGGTTTTGTTATTGGGTTATCCCGAAAAATAAACAAATAGCACCGTCTTCGAGAAAAAACAGAAAGTCCTTATTTTATCTTCCATTCCACTCCGCAGTTACTTAAATTCCTAAACAGCCACCAAGTTCGCAATTTTTCAAAACCAAAATAAAGAAGAGTAGACTGACAGATATTTGATTACTTCAAAACAATGATAAAGATGCTTGCAACGCAGGTGTTATTCCTGTTAAAAACTACAAACTTCACGTCCATAGTTTTCTGATTTCAATGTGATGTTATATCCTCTCAATATTGATTCGTCCTTCTTCGCCTGTCACAGAAAAAATAGTGTATTTTTGTCACCCTCCATTACGCGCCGAGAGAGGACAAAACCTCGAGCTAAGGTCTACTACTTTGTCCCTTGTATAATAAATAACTATTTCTTTTTCTTTTCCAGGGAATATGTGATTTTCTACTGAAAGGAGTCCAACTTCCTGGAACAGCGGTAGAAAAGATGTTGAAATGTGAAGGATTCTGATGACATTTCAATCGTTAATAAACATACATTGATTCCAGTTTTCCTTTTTCTGAACAGTATTTAATCGATATTATAATCGTTAATGAACATTGATTCCAGAGTTTTTTACTTCTGAACAGTAATCGAAAACAAATACGTGAGAGAATACTCTGTAAGGTAATTATAAATTGCTCGATATCTCGAGGTCAAGCTCAAGACTTCGAGTAGGGACCTAATTATAAACGGGAACACAGAAGTCAGGAATCAAAAACTCGAGATCTTGAGATATCAAGTTCTCGACATTCACAATTCTCAAAATCTCCATCCCAAACTTCCGTTTCATGACGACTTGCGGTATCCTAGACATTGATCGCATGCACTCGACTGTACCACGACGGTCGGAGGTTTATACACTCCTAAATGAAAAATTATCAAAATTGTTTCTAGAATGTTCTTTTTCTTTTAAAAATATTTCCAATTTTATGACAAAAATAAAATGGGAAGATTGGTCAAAGCATTAAAAATAGGTACAGTTAGTTATTCGAAGGGGTTGCTTTTGCAAAAACATTTTGCTGACTTACATAATAAGAATTATCCAACTAATAGTAACGTTCTACTTTGTCTTGAGCATCATCCTGTATATACTACAGGGATTAGAACAGAACAATATACAGATTCAGAAGTTACCAAACTCAAACAAAAAGGTAAACATCTATCGCAATTTTATATAGGGCTGAATTATATATTCACTAATGCATAATATTATGTCCTATTACTTATTGATGAGCACCACGGCACCACTATTAATAAAATATAATTCATAATAATTCAATTTGACAGTCTGATACAGGGTGATTATTAGATTCAGTTAGACAAAGTGACAGTAGTGGCACCATGTGATGCATGATCCCACACAGTGTTGTCAGCTTAAAGTGGTTATGATGAGTGAGAATAAAATGAATCAGACTTTGCCTTTAAGGGGCAGACATTAATTCTGTAAATATATTTCATAAAAAATATGTTTGCATAATTAAAATGCATTAAAAGAAGATAAAATCCAGCTTAATTTCAGGAGCAGAATTTTTCAGAGCAAACAGAGGTGGGCTGATAACATTCCATGGGCCCGGACAACTTGTAGTTTACCCAATATTAGACCTAAGGCAATTCAATCCTAGTGTAAGGTGGTATGTTTCCCAAATCGAGAAAACGATTATCAATTTATGCCAAAAATACGAATTGAAAGCAGAAACCTCACCACATACAGGAGTATGGATTGGTGATGAAAAGGTATAATCCCTATTTTGAATACTGAAAATTTACTAATAATTTCCATATTTCTTCTTTAAAAATACCAATTCTGTCTTGCAAAAAAAATGTCAGGTTAGGTAAGTGCAGGGCGGCTCTAATTTATTAGTCTCATCATTTGGATTTAGTAAACCATAAGAGGAACATGTTGGCAACTTCATGTTTAACAAAATGCTGTTTTCGAACTTTGGAGATATCCGAAAAAACCGAAATTTCCCAATACTTTTCTTATTCTTTCTACTAGTTGTTTGAAGATGTTAATGGAAATAAGTGACACTTTATCATGGCCACTTGACTACAAGTTGTCATTTTTCAATTAGAAACCCGACGTTTCGTCTTCCTGAATCCATCATCAGCTTTAATACTCACCTGAATATTTCATTCATTTTAAGAAAATATTCAATATACTCATTTTTTGTAAATGAAACAAAAAGAAAGATTTGCAACAGCTCATAGCTTTTGGGATATCCAAAGGTAAGAAAAGATTGAATAAAAAATCCGGGTCCTTATTGTAGTCCACCTGACTGTATAGACTATATTAATGTAGTTCTCGGTGGGTATATCAGTTTGTAGATACAGGGGGTGATCAAAATTAAAGAAAATCTTGAACCACCCTGTATTTGTACCAATTTTGACCAATGATGAATAGTTTCAACAAAAAATTATCCTATATTAAAGAAACCTCGATTTTGAACACCCTATATCTCTGTAATCTTTTCCGCTAGACCCCATCAAGTGTGATGCATTGATGAAATCAGCTTTTCAGGAGAATCTAAAAATGCAATGAAATACAGGGTGTTCCATTAGAAAAAACAAAGTTGTTGATACTTTTCCTTAGAAGCGGCAACGCCGCAGCGCTGAAAATATTTGAGAACGATTTCCCCCTCGAAAATGTAGTTGGCCTACTCCATTTTTTTTTCACTCATTTCTTTGCAATTTGTTATGGAGTGAATGTGCTAATCTCGTATAAACGATTATTATTATTTTGCTTCAGGCTTCATGAAAATTCTATCGAATTTGGATTTCTTAGAGTTATTTCAAAGATAATAAACTGTAGTACACAATGGAACATTTGAAAATCCAATAATTGAAAGAAACAATATGGTGGAGAATCCAGAATTTTTGTGATTTTCAAAAATCTCTGGCGAATAAAAAAATGTTTATTCTTTCAATCGGGACCATAAAATTTTCGATCATTGATTTCTAATAGTCTGTCAAGTTTCATACCGAACAGGCATGAAAGGGAGAACAGTTATATAAGGATATTATTCGAAAAGATTAGATTTTAGTCTTGAAACCTTGAACTTTTTATGTTAGCGAACAAAACAAGAATCAAAGAAAGCAATAACGTTGCCGAAATTTATTGAATAGTTTCTGGCTGTAAATAACGGAAGTTAGGATTACTCCACCATTCCGTTTTTTTTTTTTCAATTATGAAATTTTCAGATGTTCCACTGTGTACTACAGCTATTCACCTTTGGAATGGCATTAAGGAATCCAAATTCGATTGAATCCTGATAAAGCCAGAAGCAAACTAAAAGTAATTCTTTTCACGGGATTGGCACATTAACTCCATAACACTTTGCCAAAAAAAAAACGTGTTTCTCCTGGACTAATTGTTCGATTCAGATGTTCGAGTGTTCATTCTTTTCAGAAATCAATGATCTAAAATTGTATCGGTCCTGATTGGGAGAATGAACATTTATTCATTCGCCAGAGATTTTTGAAAATCACAAAAATTCTGGATTCTCCACCATTTTGTTTCTTTCAATTATTGGATTTTCAAATGTTCCATTGTGTACTACAGTTCTTTATCTTTGAAATAACTCTAAGAAATCCAAATTCGATAAAATTTTCATGAAGCCTGAAGCAAAATAATAATAATTGTTTATACGAGATTAGCACATTCACTCCATAACAAATTGCAAAGAAATGAGTGTATCTACTAGACTATCTGTTCGATTTCGATGTTCGAGTACTCACTCTCCTCAGAAATGAATAGCCTAAGATGACATCGGTACAGGTTGGAAAAATCTGATTTTATTTTTCTCCAGCGGTTTTTGTAAATGACAATACTTTGGTAGAATCCGCCATTTTGTTTTTGTTCATCATGAAATTTTCAAATATTTCACTGTATACTATAGCCCTCTAGCTATGAATCGACGGCAAGAAATTCGGTTGAGAAATGATGAAACCACGAGGAAAATAAAAACTTCCGGTTTTTTTGTGACCACCCGATATACACCTCAGGACAGAATGCTATTTTTCCTCGGTGCTTTGTATCTCTCGGGCTTCGTCCTCGAGCTACAAATCGCTCCTTGGAAAAAATCTTGCATTTCTGTCCCTTGATGTATAATGTACTATCATGTCTAGAACGTTTCGTGAATATCCCGGTGTACTAGTTTGTTAAATTACAAATTCTAGATTTGCGCCATCGGCATTCGTGGCAGTCGTTTCATCACCACCCATGGCCTAGCACTAAATTGTTCAACCGATTTGTCTTGGTTCGACCACATTGTGCCATGTGGTATCGAAGGGAAAGGTGTAACCAGTCTGTCGAAGGAACTGAATAGGACAGTTACAGTTGAGGAAGTGATTCCGAAATTTTTGGACAGTTTCGCTGAAGTATTCGAATGCGACGTTGACAGCTCTTGGAAGTTGGAGGTAGAAGAAATTGTGCAAAACGTCGGTGTATAGACTTCGTCATAGATATCATACAGGGGCGGATCCAGGCGATGTTTGAGGGCAGGGGGACATAGGAAGTCACGGCTCATTGAGTATAGCAAAAAAGAAAGGGAATTTCATTGGTGCCTCTTGACAAGATGTTTTTTTCGCCGGCCTGTACAGAAAAATCACATTTTACGTTCTAATTTCCGAACGAAAACCCGACTATTTCCGTATGCAAGTACTTTTCGTCTGCAGATACTAACTTTTCGTCCGCAAACACTTTTCGTCCGCTGCAGGGTTGCCAGTTGATCTATTGGTCTACTCAAACAGTTCATAACCTACTGAAAAATATTCTGACTCTTATTTTTTATTTAAATCACCTATACAGAGTGGGCCTTCGAAAACGAAACAGAGGCTCTGTAGGTTGCCAAAACCGGATTATGAAAAAAATCTGAAACACGTCAACTACATTTTCGAGGGGGACATCTTTCTAAAATATTTTCAGCCCTGCGGCGTTGCCGCTTCTAAAGAAAAGAAGCAACAACTTTGTTATTTCAAATGGAACACTTTGTATTTTATTGCATTTTTAGATTCTCCCAAAAGAGCTGATTTCATCAATGCATCACACTTGGGGTCTAGCTGTGAAGGTTTCAGGAATATAAAGTGTTCAAAATCGAGATTTTTCAACTTTAGCATTTTTTTGTGTCGAAACTATTCATTATTGGTCAAAACGGCCTCCATGTCCCTATCTCAACTTGTGATTTACTATCTACTGACATTTATTTGAAACAAATACAGGGTGGTTCAAGATTCAGTATTCTGATCACCCTGTATCTGTTCCAATTAAATGTTAGTAGATAGTAAATCACAAGTTGAGATAGGGAAATGGAGGCCGTTTTGACCAAAAATGAATAGTTTTGACACAAAAAAATGCTCAAGTTGAAAAATCTCGATTTTGAACACTTTATATCCCTGAAACCTTTACAGCTAGACCCCAAGTGTGATGCATTGATGAAATCAGCTCTTCAGGGAGAATCTAAAAATGCAATGAAATACAAGGTGTTCCATTTGAAATAACAAAGTTGTTGCTTCTTTACGTTGAAAGCGGCAACGCCGCAGAGCTTAAGATATTTTTGGACGATGTCCCCCTCGAAAATGTAGTTGACGTGTTTCAGATTTTTTTCATAAGAAGGTTTTGGCGACCTACAGATCCTCTGTTTCGTTTTCAAAGGCCCACTCTTTATAATAAGTTAATCACGTACACTTATAAATTGCATATTTCGGCACGCTGTGTTTAAATTAATTTTACAAAATAAGTAATTTCACATATAGGTACTATAATGATATGTATAAAATCTAACAAGGACAATACACTATCTGATTTCATATTCTTATCGTATGTTCAATAGATGTAATTCAATATTCGTCGGGGCATATGGCCAGGAAAGTAGTAGTTTTCTGTTGAATAAACCAAGAAAGAATTAATATTTTCATCACATGAAAAATGCGAATTCTCAATGTATTACTCTATATTCAATTTTTTTGTGTTCATAAATATATCTGAGAATATTCCTTTTCAATACTTTCACCCAATCAAGGGGTTCAAACTTGAACGATGGAAACTTTCTCAATTCAGAATTTCTTTCCACGTCCTGTATGATGAATATCAATTCATCATACATAAAAAAAAACGTTATGCATTGCGACATTTGAAAAAAATAAAGTTGACTCGCTGACCTTACTGTTGAAATTTGAAAGAAATATTATCAGAGCATCACTCAGTCTGTATGTAGATTTCTCAAGTACTTGATATTGGATGAAAAAAGTGAAAAAAGGAAGTTTTCTTCAAAATTATAGTTACTCTATATTTAATGTGGGTCGCGGGTGGATGGCTATAAGGACACACAGATTTTTTTCTGGTACCCAGTATACCTACATTTTTACATCATGAGGTTCGTGAGGCATGGCCCTATGCCTCTCCCCTGGATCCGTCCCTGACATCATAAACATAGTCTTCACTTTGAACAGTTACCTATCTTAATGTATAGAGAGTGTAATTTTATCAGTATTTACAGATGTATTTTAAACCTCTGATTTCTTAAGCATTCATATGGTGTTTTGGATTATTCCAATAAATACTGAAACAGCAGAAGGTAATTGATTATCTCAACAAAAAAAATTGGCCCTGCCATAGCATACCAGGTATCAACGTAGTAATTCAAACAAGCCATGGTTTCCAGGGTTCTAAAGGTATGAAATTCAAATTTGGCAAGAACACTCTTAAAAAAAATATTATGACGTTCATCGCGATGGGAAAATGCATAAGGAGTTTTTTTTAAATTTATTATTCCTTCTTTTCTATGAATTCCCCCAAAAATGCTTCCGTTAGAACTCGACGGAAAATCGTCAGGGGTACTAACGTCACAAGTTCTATAACACGTCTACCGTCTATTGGTAGTCGGGAAAAAATCTATAATGAACAGTGTTGCCGTTTCAACGGATTCTATTTCAACTTTTATCACTCAAGATTTAACTGAGCAAGACTTTTCAAAATTCACTTATTTTGGTTTCCCATTGTCGTTCTAGATGACAACCTAGTTAGGTAGTTAGTAGGCTAGAGCTTATTGTACCTCCTCGCGTACTAGGTCGTCTACTATGTTTACATTTAGATCGACAATGGTTTTCTTATACACTGGATTGAGGCATGTTATTACGACATAGATATGGAAGTTATGTCACCAGAATTCGAAGTTCATTAAAAAGTATACCTTTTCAACTTTTGATTTTCAAATGGGACTTCCTGTATTTTATTCCATAACCGGTTAAGGATTATCATAACGAATTCAACGATACCTGATTATTTCTAAAAATTTCGAATACCTATATTATTTGCGCTCGAAGTTTCCATATGAGTGACAGCGCAATATACAAAGTGGCTCTTTTTTCATTAAATAGCGATTTTCATGATTTTTTTTTCTGAAATATAGCGGGCGGTGTACACAAAACGTGTATTTTGGTGCTGAGCGGCGGCCTACTGGATCACAATCAGAGGCTGGAAAATCCAAAATCGTTATTAGCAATTTTTTCGAAAAAATCCGTACACCACTGGAATCGGCGTCTGCTGAAGTAGATCTGTACCAAGTTTCATGAAAAAATATTCAAATTGGGACTCGTATGAATGACCATCAATAGAATCAGTTTTTCAGAGGCATACATTCTTTTGGACAGTGCCGTGCGCTTTTATTGAAATGATAAGTGGTTTTTTCTATACGAAATCATATTAGGATTTTTTAGACAGGAAAATTGACCTCATAATATTGTTCTTTTTCGTTTCAACCCCCGTATGTGAATTCTCATATTCCTATGAAGGGTTTCAATCTGAACAGCATTTTTTGCGAACGTGATAATTATTTACTCGGAAACGGTGAGTTCAACATAAATAGTTTTTCTTGTTTTTTTTTTCAAATCACGATTTATTACCTACCAGGGCTAATGAACGTTCCAAAATTTGCATTTAAATCCACTATTTTTCCGATGGTAAAATTGAAAAAAATGACGCAAATTCCGTTAATTTGGAATGAGGTCATTTCTCGCATAAGGAGGTTTGAAAGCATGAGCACCGATATGAAGTCCGTTTTCTTGCAAAAAAATGTCTAATATGATTTAATAAAAATCTACCTCTTTTTATTCCAATGAAAAAGCACGGCACTGTCCAACAGGATGTACAGGGTGTCTGTAAAAGGTCTTTACAAAAACATACCACAGTATGAAGTTTGGATTGGGTACTCATTTACTACAAAAAACCCTTGATAACACTCGATTTACTCTCATGGTTTTGACAAAGTTTGTATTTTAATAATTATTGTTTATGTTCTAAAATTACTAAAATGCAAATTTCATCAAAATCATGAGAGCAATCGAGTCTTATCAAGAGTACCTTTTTTAAAGTAAATGAGTTGCGCAATCTAAATTTCTATACTCAACTTCTTTTCTTCCATTGGCGTAGAATGGGCTTATATCACAAAAAAATTTTATTTCATAATTCGATAGAACTCACCCAAACTAGCTCACCACCGTAAACCGTTTCTTGCTGTGAGCTCCCTACGTTTTATAAAAAATTATTGAAATCCCCGATTTTCCGGACCTCTGAAAACGAGGCGATGATGTGACGTCAAACCGTAATACTGACTATTCCAGACAGAGATGAATGATACATGATTTCTGACAAATCAATTCTAACCTAGATTGACTTTTTGCAGCTCCATGTGAAACTGGTCAACAAAGCAATGTTGCTATGTTTATGAAATATATTGGATTATTGTGAAATTGTAATGGTGCAAATGGTTTTGAGATTGAGACATTTCGTTGTCTAGAGATTGTTTATACTCCAATGATTAAACCTACAATCGACAACTCGAATATATTTTTCTGCAGTAGTGGTAGTGGATATCAAAAGATATTTCAGTATCGATTTCGATTTCTCGGATATTTTGTTTGGATGATATGGCAACAGTAATAAGTGTCAGGAGAGTGTCAGTTTCAACCATATATCTACTATTTCTATATATGGCGCATCGCCTATACGATATCTCAACAAAAATGGGACCAAAATGAGAGGTACTCTTTGAATCTACGAGAACGAAAAGTGAAGGATGGAAACAGCTATATTGGTTTGACAAATTTCCTATTATTTTTTCCCTACGTCGGTATCAACGCCTATGGGTCGATTTCATTACCTATAGAGACAGAAATGGGTCCCGCTTTGAGGAGAGCTATGATTCATATATCAGTAGTAGATATATAAATATGGTTTATATATATATATGGCGAGATGGGGTTTCTACGTCATAAGAGGGTCTCCGTTTTCAGAAGGTACTATCATTTATGTCCAAAAATAAAACATTCCAGTTAATTTTTCGATCGAATGATGTCGTCAATCATTATTTATGTATAAAAGGATCATTATAAACATGGTTTGAGTTGAAAGTTCTACTAAGGTGTACACGCCCATTCTTAAAGGTGCAATTATTTAAAAAATCAAGTTCTACGCCTATGTATTATTATCGGACAAAATTTCAACACCATTTTTTTGCCACATAAAACTCTATCAATATACTGAATTTCAGCAAAATCGCATATGCCGTTTTAAATTTATATGGGAAAAACGATTTAAAAAATGTAACTTCAAGGCCCTCTGGAGCCCAAACGATGCAACTTCGTACTAAGGTAATTTTACTTAAATCGACTTACTTTGGTCTAGGGAATATGTGGTATGTTTTTGTAAAGACCTTTTACAGACACCCTGTATGTCTCTGAAAAACTGATGTCCCCAATTTGGTAAAGATCGCACGTCAATTCGCTAATGTTGTTCCAGAGGACGCCAATTCCAGTGGTGTACGCGTTTTTTTTTAATCGCTAATATGGATTCTGGATTTTCCAGCCTCTGAATGTGATCTAGTAGGCCTTGGTTTTTTTAAAATATGGACGTCGCTTTGCTCCAAAATACACCTTTCCCCTCCACATAAAAAAATGGGGGAAAATCGCTCCATAAATACAAAATTCCGCTTTCAAATGGGCCACTCTGTAGAAACTTCTTTCTCTGTCACACTCACTGGGCAAATGGAAACTTAGAACGCGAATATCTTCTTAAGGTGCGTTCGGTTATAACATATCTGTTAGCTCGATTCCATCTGTTAGCTCAGAAAGCGTTCGATAAATCAGATATACTTCCTCTGTCTAATCTGCTCCGTGTTCGTTAATTGTCAGAGCGAGCTGAAAGATGTAATCTGTTTGCTCCGCCTTGAGGAGCAGATCATTGAGATTTGATCGGTTATTCGGCTGTCAATTGTCAACAAATCAAGGTCAACAACATATTATTGAAATTATATCTCTTTTATGTCGAAAAATTGAAGACTCGATCAACTGGAAACGAAACACGAAACTGAATTTTGTAGAATCCTCCTTGCCCAGAATCGCCAGAATGACCGACGAATTTGCTGTAGGTAGCATATTAATTATATATCTGTAATAAATGCGATCACAACTGCCCTGGATCCACAGTTAATGACCGATCATATGGGACAGAATCATTCCTTCCCTAGTAATTATCAAAATATAACAACAAACATTCAAAAGAACTTTGTTGCCCTGACGTGTTTTTAAAAGTAATAAGGTTAAGTGAATTGTTTCTGTTTTCTGTTACTTCAGCTGGCGCTCGCAATCTACTACCTCCTTGAGCGTTCGTTAAATATCTTTAGCTCTATCTGCTAGGTGATCACGTGACACCAAATCTGCATCTGCTCGCTCGGCTCCGATTTTGTTAAACCGAACGCACCTTTAATAGTTTGAGATAACCCTCTCAAACCCACTAGCCTTGATTTCCTTATGATAATCCCTAACCGATTGTGCAATAAAATACAGGGTGTCTCATTTGAAAATCGAAAGTTAGGGTCGTTTCCAGTGAAACAGGGAATAAACCGGAAATGATGGGAGCATATATTATAAAATAATGCAAAATTTTGCAAATAACAAATTCTTCATCCCTGCCAAATATGAATCGCATACCTTCAGAACTCTGGCAACCATGGCTTGTTCAATGAACGTTAAGACCCAGTATGTAATTATGTATTATACAGGGTGATTCAGGTTTTAAGGCACAAACTGAAATGGGAGATAGATCTCATCATTTCAATCAAAAAAGTTTATATAAACATTAGTACGATCTCGTTCAGTAGCGGAGCTACAGGGGGTCAAAGCTCAATTATGTTTTTCTATTAATTGAAATATCTCGCTTACTTTTCAAGATATCATTTCGAAATTTGGTGTGGTCAATACTTGTTAGAAGGTCATCATTTCAAGCATTTCAAAGATTTTCAAAATCTACAGGGTGATACGTTTTTGGAGGTAGAGGCTTCTCTATCCCCTCCAAACTTTTTCGTAGTACGCCTCTGACATCTTTCAGTGATCAAATTGTGTGGATCGTTCAATTTAGAGGCTTTTTTGCTCTTCAATTTTTTTCGAGAAACGAACCGTTTTTGAGATAAATAAGCATATACGTTCGAAAACATGTTAATTTTGCTTATGTTTCGCTTAAATTGTATTCTTTGACAAAATTCGTTGAAAATGCAACAAAAGATTGCAATGTTCTCACGCACGACTCCAATCTTGTAGACGTTGAAGGATCTCACTTTGAACACTTTCTCTAAGCTTTGTTAATATTTATCTCCAGGTCTGTGTTAGACTTATCAATTATTGTTTATTTAGGTTGAATTATTTGCGTTAGTACAATGTTTTATTATGTTAATGTTTAAGATGGAAATTATAAAGTAAATTTATGAATAAAAAAAACAGATATTTGTATTGATACGGTTATAAAAATTTTCAAAATAGTAGAATTTTTTTACGGCAACTTTAGAAAACTGAAAAAAAAAACTTGACTTTCTATCCTCCGTATCCCCGTAATTGATCCAGATTGGACTCGTAATTTCAATTTTATTGAGTACATTTCATTGCATTTTCAACGAATTTTGTCAAAGAATAAAATATTTAAGCGAAAAATAGGCAAAATTAACATGATTTAGAACGTATATGCTTATTTATGTCAAAAACGGTTCGTTTCTCGAAAAAAATTGAGGAGCAAAAAAAGCCTTTAAATTGAACGATCATTGAAAGATGCCAGAGGCGTACTACGAAAAAGTTTGGAGGGGATAAAGAAGCCTCTACCTCCAAAAACGTATCACTCTGTAGATTTTGAAAATCTTTAAAATGCTTGAAATGATGATCTTCTAGAAAGTATTGACCACACCAAATTTCAAAATGATATCTTGAAAAGTAAGCGAGATATTTCAATTAATAGAAAACAATAATTAAACTTTGACCCCCTGTAGCTCCGCTACTGAACGAGATCGGACCAATGTTTATATAAACTTTTTTGATTAAAATGATGAGATCTATCTCCCATTTCAGTTTGTGCCTTAAAACCTGAATCACCCTGTATTTATTTACTTATTGTTTTGTGATTTTTATGATCACTTGTAATATCAAATCATGATGAAAAATAACTCATTACAAATGGTGCAGTTGGTAGGAATTTGACATACCACATGGAATTTACTATGTAATGATAGATTTACGTTGATTTCCAACTGGATTTTCAATTGTTCATGGTAAGCTACCTTATACAGGGTGATCCACGGTGGATGGCCTATTAGAAGTATCTGGAGAAATATGACAGAACATTCTGAAAATTGGGATGCTTCGATAATAATTGAACATTCTCTATCCGTCTAAAATATTTTCATCGATACAGTGTTGCCACTTCTATCAGAAACAGTTAACAACTTTGTTATTTCAAATGGAACACCCTGTATTTTATTGAATTTTTAGATTCTTCCTGAAGAGCTGATTTCATCAATGCATCACACTTGGGGTCTAACAGGAGTGATTACAGAGATATAGGGTGTTCAAAATCGAAATTTTTCAATTTTAGGATTTTTTTGTGTCCAAACTATTCATTATCGATCAAAACGGCTTATATATCCCTATCTTAACTTTCGATTCACTATCTATTGACATTTAATTGGAAAAGATACAGGGTGATCAGAATTCTGAATTTGAAGCACCCTGTATTTTTTCCAATTAAAGTCCAGTAGATAGTGAATCAAAAGTTGAGATAGGGACAATTAAGCCGTTTTGATTGTTAATAAATAGTTTGGACACAAAAAAATCTTAAAATTGAAAAATATCGATTTTGAACATTCTATATCTTTGCAATCATGCTTGCTAGACCCCAAGTGTGATGCATTGATGAAATCAGCTTTTCAGGAAGAATCTAAAAATGCAATAAAATACAGGGTGTTCCATTTGAAATAACAAAGTTGCTAGTTGTTTCTGATAGAAGTGGCAACACTGTATCGATGACAATATTTTAGACAGATAGAGAATGTTCAATTATCAAAGGATCCCAATTTTCAGAATGGTCTGTCTTTTCGTTCTGCAGATACTTCTAATAGGCCATCCACCGTGGATCACCCTGTATAGTCCAACTCAACAAATGGCAAATGTAAAATCTGACTGAAGGAATTTTTTGGTGCTTTTCAAATTATGCATATTTAAAAAAAACAACCTTGTGACTCTGAAATGAATAATAATTTGATGGAAATTTCTGGTAATAATGAATGTTCAACTTAACCATGAAAACAGTGGAAAAACATACATACTTGCCTAATGATTATCCTAAAGACTAAAGAAAATGTATTATCAGTTCATACCTTGTTTCAGTTCCAGGGTCATTTCCAACACACATCTTTTTCTACAAAAATTTATTACCTTTTTCACATACCTACACTTAAACCTATCATGAAACAAACATTAACAAACTCTTGTACCCTCCAAACCATCAACAGATCTGATACTTGGAACGCTGAAACTCAAAAACATTCTTCAATAGACCATGTTCATACAGAAAATCAGAAATATCACAAAAAATGGAACGATACTATTCACATACTATACTTATATCCTTTTGGCTCTGTAGTATCCCCAAAACTGACTGAAATCAAATCAAAATTTAATAGAAACTGGAAAACAGTGACAGCTATCATTAGATCCTGAGGTGCACATAAAAATAGTTATCTTTTAATAATGATAATTGGTAATTTTCTATGTTTCATAGTTTAGAAAAAAATCTGTGATTCAGGTAACACCTCAGAAACTATTCCAAACTTTAAAAAAGCTACCACACCTTGTCATTATGGTCAAGATGGGAAGGTAATAACTGCAAGCCTTTCCACCTCATCTCAGCAGATCACCAGATATTATCCTGAAAATTTAAAAATATTACAATATTTTTGCAAACCTTCAACAATTATTAATATAATAAGAGTTACCACTTGAAATCTACATGTTAACAAAAATAATAAAGATACAGACATTTCATGTAAAGTACTTATTTTAATCCAGCCAGGAATGCAAGGCTTTTTCACTACAAACAGTACAAAACTCCAAAGAGACTTTGTGCTTGGACACATGTAAGCAGACTCCAACATCATCTGGTTCAAACACATCTGGACCACCATCATGATCAACTGCTGTATAATTATGTTCTTCTAAAGCATTTAGCTGCTTCAAATTTGTGATTTGCTCATTTACACTTATTGGTGAACTATCTGGCACATCAAAGTCATTGAAAAAGTCTACACCCATATCTTCATTCAACAACATATCTGAATTTATCAATGGGCTGGACTTCAAAGATGGACTGACTGGACAGTCATTTTCATCATCCCACAAATCAGTTGATTTTCTGAGTACTATGTCATGCTTTGAAACACAAACATTTTTCAATGATAAACTCTCATCCACAGATGAAGATACTGACATACCTGTACTTCTGTTGATGCTTTTAATGAGATTGCCAATATCCTTGCTATTGGCGATTACACTTCTCAAGTATTTAACTTCCTTTTTCAAGTCAGTCAACAGTTGAGACTGTCTATGGATAACAGAAGTGATGCTTTTATTCTCCACCTTCAAAGAAGACACCTCTTTTTCTAATTTCATCACATACAATTTTTTCTTCAGGCGGTTTTCTCTTGCCATCAGAGCATTTTTTGAAAAACATTTTGGTTTCCGGCCTGATCCTCTCAGATTTTGTGTTGGCTGGTAATTCTGAAATTCAAATGTTGAAAATTGCTCAGTATTATCAGTAAATACATCCGCAGAACATACTTCATCTTCATAGTCGTCCAGAGAATCCTCTTCGGAAGAAATTTCATCTTTGTCGAAAACGTATTTCATACGTTTGGGATTCGTAACCATTTTGTATAATGAAACCAGGTCAACCTTTTGTCCCTTTTCAAAAAGGTATTTTCGTAAATAGTTTGGCACTGAATTCAAACCATACAATGAAATCTCCGAGGAAATCTCAAATAGATTCACGAATACCAAATATGAAATACCCACAGTTGAATTATATTTCTGAAATCACAATCCAAAATACAACTTTTCCACTTTCACTAATTCAAAATGGCTGAATAAAATAAAATAAAATTTTGAGTTGTTTTTTCTTGTTGAACCGTGTTTAAAACGATTTGAAATCAAGCATTTTCTTGTGCAATTTATGACGTCACCAAGTAATACGGTTCATTGCGGTTCAAAAACATCTAAATGAACGGTTCGAACCGTGTTCGAACCAGGAAAACCAGTGGAGGAGTGGGAAAACGTCGAAGTTTGATGGTTTGAGCGTTTTTGTTTTAGGTTATCAATATTATTTTTGAGCAATTGGCTATAAAGCTCAAAAAATGGTGCATAATTTTCCACTTAAGGATTCTGGAAATTTTCAAAAAGAATAATCATTTCCAGATTATTATCTATTTCTCTGGACTGGTTCAACATTTGTGAAAGACAAACACCGTGCCACATCTGCTGATTATCAATTGAAAAATCCACTATAAGTGATTCCATTCTTTTACACTTCTCAAGTTCTCACAGATAATCATCAATTTTAAAATTCAATTATTGATTTCGGTTTTTAGGTTATGTGTTATGTATCTGACTTATGACAGCTTCAATTTCGAAATAGTCTGTTTTCATGAATGAGATAAATCACTACGTCACGCTTGAAAACGGTTCAAAACTAATCTTGAACACGGTTCAACAAGAAAAAACAGCTCTAAATTCTTGAGCGTCTGTCACCTGTCACCACTATCACCTATCAGTGTCACGCACTGCTGGACATAATCATTGTCACCTACGTGAAGTGGGCTGCCAAAGCTGGCTGCCAGAATTTCCGAACTTACCCGAACGACCAGTGGCACACGTTTCCCCCCTTTTTGGGTAGGGAATATCGAAATTCCTCAACTGCTTTTGTTTGCGATAATGCGATGTATAAAGCATAAAGCACTGCACAGCTGGTTTTGGGAATCGAATCATTCTCTATTGAGTCTACAGAATAATCATTCCTTACCAAGGTATGAAAGACTATAAAATTTCAAAAAAAATTTTTTTTTCGATACTTATTTGGCAAGAAACTGCTCATCTGCTTTCGGGTAAGGGCAGGTCAGGGAGATCGGTAATCATGTGTAGAATCATGCTATGAGAAAATAATTCCTTGCGAAATCGTATGGTAGACTCCACACGAAATAAAAGCAGTTGTTGAGGAATTTCGATATTCCCTACCCAAAAAGGGATGAAACGTGTGCCACTGGTCGATCGGGAAAGTTCGGAAATTCTGGCAGCTAGCTCTGGCAACCCACTTCACGTAGGTTTCATTGTCATTGTCCAATGATGATCAACGGCTTAAAACTAAGTAGAAGAAATTGGAGGTTTCTCCTTTCAATTCCATGATACTTGCAGAAGTAGAAGGAGTTTGGTTAAATTTTAATTGTTTATGTCAAAACCGTTATTCAATATTTAAAAACAAATCTTTTTTGGAAAATGCTCTGGATATCTGTGATTTTTACACTCGTATTTGTATCTTCAGGTTCCTCTGCCAACGAAATTAGTAATGGTGAGATTTCCTTGATCTGTTTCAGTACCTATCCAAAACAATAACATTTATTTCAGTTCATGTTCTGGATCCAGGAGAGACTTTTCATTTCAACTCGAAAGGACCCATTCACTTAGAGATATTTTGTTACAAAGGAAAACCTAAAAATATAATATATATTTGGCAGACAATCATCGTAAGTATTTAAAGAGGCATTGGTGCCACTTTCCAAACCATTCCAAAACATTTTCAGTACCTATCTCTTGAATGAAAAATTAAGTTTATATTCTGATTTTTCTGTTTCAGCTTCAGCTGATTCACCACACTGATGACTTCAGTATGTTTGAGGGATTTGATCCTGGAGATGTGAAAAAGCAGTATGCTGAGAAACAGTCTTTTTGGTCCATAAATATTTTCTCACCAAGACAAAGAAGCATGAAGCTGAATCCATTCAATACAAGTTGTGTTGGGATTGAAAGCAGAGAAACATACACTGTGAAACTAAATGTCATAGGTAAATCATAGATGTTTCACTTTTTGATTTCCTCAGCTGAATAGTTGTTTTTAGTGATTGATTTCTGGAAGGTGTCACTGTTGATTGTGGGACTGTTTTTGTTTTTATCTGCAGAGACTTTGAGCAAGAATGTAATTTTTCATTATATCTGTGGGGTCTCTGTTGGTATTACTGCTTCTCTTTTGATTTTGATATACCTTGTCAGCAAGATTTTTCCAAGAGTGAGTACTTAGGTCTAGTTGTGGCAAAAGCAAGATGGTTTTATTCTTCTCATATTTTTGTCTTGTAGAAACCTTTCATGTATGGAATCATAGGTTGTGGTTGGACAGTGGTTATATATGCCCTACAGTTGATTTGGGCCAACATGCAAACTATTTTGACTGGATACAAGCTTTTTGTTGTATGGTACATAATTGGAACTGGCCTTTTGAGCTTCATATGTATGTCAAGCTTGAACACACTATTCTTGCATTGAATTCACATGCTGTTTTTCAGTCTGTTATAGGTGGGGCCCAGTGGAAAATAAAAGAACCATCAATCTGATTAGATGGTCAATGCAGCTTTTAGGCCTTGTCACTATTTTTAATAGCAGTCATTATCAAGAAGCAGCTATGGGTCAAATAGTTACTTTACTCATTGCCTACAATATGCCACAAAAGTGGGTTGTTAAGCCCAAAATGTATTGGTAAGGATTTCAATCTGGGGATTTTTGTTTGGAATTGATTCAAGAATCATAATTATGAAACTTCAATACTGATGAGATATCTGAGGACAAATAAAATAATCATATATTCTGAATTTTCTCAGAAACTTTAGGTTTTAAAAGGGCATTACTTGGGTTTTGTTCATTTTTTGTTATTGTTGAAACTTTGTCCAGTTATTCAAAAAACTTTTATTAAAAATCTCTTCCACAGATATTGCCAAAAACATTTTAAAATATTCAAAGTGATTTTCTCTAATTTGTGAATAATTCAGTGTTTTTATCATTGATTATACACATTTTATCATTAATATTGTTTCCAATACATTTTCCTTATTTTTTTTGAGGAGAAGGAAGTTTCCTCCTAAAATTCCTTTGCTAACAGAAGATGAATTTCATCAGCAAGCAGTCAGAGAGACAGCTAAGGCCCTTGAGGAACTCAGAAAATTTTGTGCCAGTCCTGAGTGCAATCAATGGAAAACAGTTACTAAACTCAAAAATGTAAAAAGGTTAGTAGACACCAACAAATTCATGATAAAATTATTGTTTTTTGACCCCCCTTTTTATTTTTGGAAAACAGATTTTTCATCCCTGTATATCATGTATGTTTCAGGTTTGCATCTTTTGTTGAAGGTAACTCCCACTTAAGTGATGAAGAAATACTTGAATATGAAACATCTGTTCAAGGAGAAATAACAGATGATGAACATGATGATGAATTGACAGATGAAGAATATTGAGACTGATTTTATACTCACCCATATAGAATTTTAATAAATTATTTTTCTATATTATTCACGTTCCTTGAGGAAAACTGATTTTGTTGGGTTCAAACAGGATTTTAATCTTTTCAGTAGATCTGATAAACTGAAAAAATTCTTGCAAAATAGGTATTGACGATCTTTATCTATTTAATAACTGGATCAGTGGCGGCTCCTCAGAGGAGGCAACGGTGGCTGAGCCTCCTCAGAGATTCTCCTTAAACTGATAATATCTATACTTTCTCATTAAAAGGACACGAAAATACATGGATTTTGAATTTATTTCCAGTCTTTAGGTGAATATTTTTGAATTGGCAACAGTGCTTGCCCACGCATCACACGTTGAAGTCTGCAAATCACGCGTAAAATATTCAACTGGCAACATCTATAGGAGGCTAGACTCCTTCACAAGGCGAAACTCACGCGCGCAATGCAAATGCCCGAATAGCACGTGTTTGTCGTGTCGCGTCGCGAATTGCGGACAATCCAGCGCGAGTGCATTGCATTGTTTATGATAGGTTAATGGTTAGGGGTTCTATAAATTTCTAAAAAATTAGTGTTTTAAACAATTGCGATTTGGTGGAATACTTTTTGGTGAACCCATTCAGTCTTATGAAGATAAATTGATGGTGAAAAACAAACGTCCGACTCGGAATTAAAAAATCTGATTGTAACAGGTAGCAAACAAAATCGTTTGTTCAATTCTGATAATTATAAAAAATATATCTGGTTGACGGGATCTGAGGTAAAAAATAAGCTATTTTGTTTGTACTGCATATTATTTTCAACCGATAAGTCATCATGTTGGGGGCGATTAGGATATAATGATTTGAAAATTTTGCCTCCCGGATTGGATAGACACTGCAAATCACAGGAACACATCTCTTCAAGTATTAAGTTTAGGTTAACTGGTAAACAGAATGTCATTAAAGCTATTGATTTGGGTGAGTCGTAGAGAGTTGTTTTTCACAATAAATCTCATATCATTCAGCCTCCTCTGTCATGAAAGTCACGAGCCGCCACTGAACTGGATGATGGTTGTGATATGCTGTTTTCAAGTAAAAATTTTGAATATTATTCAACAACAGTATTTTATTAGTGTTACAAAATTTGTGAACTATTCAAAATATTTAAAATATTATCCCTAACAATATTATAAATGTTATAAAAATATGGCAGTCATCACAAGTTGATGGATATAAAATTAAATAAAAAATATTAATAAATATATTTTAAAAAACAATGTTAAAGCATCTTTTATAATATACAGTACCTTCTGTTAATAATACCAAGGACTAATTAGTAATAATTGTTAGGTATGTCATAATCAGATCATGAAATAAAATCAACGAATTCTTGACACTTTTTTAGATTTGTCTATACATGAATTTGGTATTTTTGGTTTATTTGTGGAGAACCGATTATATAACCTGGAATCAACAAATCATACTTGTATCATTTGGCATTTCATCGTTCAAATGATGACTTACACTCTATATGTTTCACTTTTAAGATAATCCATGAGGTGACCAATTCCTAACTGCAATTGGTCTCTGATTGGGGTCACCCAATCATTCCCCTCAAACTTAAAAACAGATTTATTGGAAGCCATGTCTAGGTTCCCGATTTCAGGGGGTAAAATCGTCAACCTGTTTCCTTGGACATGGAGTTCCCTGAGTCGAGACAACTCTCCTATCTCTTTGGGCAATTCAATTAAATCATTTTCTCTTAATGCCAACTAGAAAAAAGTAGGTCAGCTTAATCATATACACTTTTTTTTCCCTTATTTCAAGATCATCAAGTTGATTTCTTCAGTGGACTTACTATTTGGAGGTTTTTCAAATTTTTAATATCAGGAGGAAGGTATTCAAAATCATTATCACTTAGATACAAGGCTCTAAGGGTTTCTGTAATATTAAATTCCATTTATTTAAGCAAGTTAAGGTGTGATGATATAACCTTACCAATCATGAAAAAGTTCCCAGGTAAAGAATTTTCATTCAAATTATTGTAAGTCAGGTCTAGTACTTCCAGTACAGGAAAGGCACCAAAGCCTCTTGGTAAACCATTTAAGCGGTTCATTGATAAGTTCAGTATCCTCAATTTTGGCAAGGAAGACAATGATAGGGGCAATTCTTCAATATGATTGTTGGCCAAATTCAAAATTTCCAGGTTTGTCAGGTTTGCCAGGCCAGGAGGAACATCTTGAAAATCAATTGTTTTTTATAATAATTCTTGAATAAAATATGTATCAACTTCTACTTTTATAGGCACCTACATACCTTTGATTTTATTGTGGCTCAAAGTTATTCTTGTAATATTCAACATGTTCACTAAAAACAAATTATAATTATGCTGATGATGAGTGAAATTTTAATTTATTTGAAAGTACAAGCATTTGGAACAAGATTTCTCATAAAGAGACACTTGACAAAGGAATATACAATAAATAAAGTTAAGAAAGTGGCATGCCTTGATAGAATTCTGAATATACCTACCTACAATAAAAAATCATCTCATATTATGATGGGTGGGTATCAATATAAATATCTATTCTATCAATACATCTTACAAACTGTAAATATATATGGACAAATACAGTCATATTCAATAAAAAAGCATACAAGTATTAAAAGTGGTGATTTCCGGATCCTAGTTCTAGTTGTGTGAAACTGGCTCAGCCAATGCTTTGTGTTTTTGAGAACCTATGACAACTTTACCAAAGAATAGTATAGGTTCACCTTTACTGTCAACATTTGTTGAACAATCATTCCTGATAGCCTGTTTTATGCAGAATAGGATGACGTTAATTTCTCTCTGTAATATACTTGTATGTTTTTTTTTGATGCCACTGTACCTATTATTATGGTATTATCATGTATTAGTATCAGAATTTTGAATCAGCAATTATATATAGATATCTCTTAGCAGTTTTTTCATAGTATGTTCATGCAAAAGGATATCCAAGATATGTTCATGCAAAAGGATATCCAAGCAATGAAACTTTGTGAACAAGGGATATGAAAATGCCCCGCCTAGTTGGACAGTGACCAATTTGAATGGGATCAATTCAAAAACTGGTATGTTCCACTTCAACTTTCAACATCAGCTTCAAGTGAATTTCATTATGTTCATGAAATTTAATAGTGCACATCTCTCATCCTACTGGTACATTTCAAATCAATTCCTTTTATGGAAAGTCTTCATTATCATCCCCGCCAAACAGGCAATACAAGTTACCAAATTAGGTAAGAACAAGAACTTACATAAACCAGGCATCTCTTCGAATGTTGAAATACCTTTATCAAATAAATCCAGCTCGGGATTATTTATTTCCCGAGCTTCTTCTATAACTTTTTTGGCTTTCGACATCTTTGAACCAAGGGGAATACAAGATACTGTATTTACTGGAACTACTGCTGGTGCTGAATGAGTATTTTCCATTGCGCGCGCAGAAAATCAAATTTTTATCAAAATATGAATCAAAAATCAACCAACCACAACACACAGGGAGAACACAAAACACTTGACATTTACGAACCGAACAACCTAACCTGCAAACCTTGCTTCGCTCTGTCATTATTGTCAGTCTATCAGTGTTGTCAACTTCTGATTATTTCGCGTAAATTAATGAGCAATTATATTTCGGCACCTCGTCCTCGAGATCACTTGTTTTAGCTAGGTAGTACCACTCTTAGGTACGGTTGATGCCACAATGTATTAAGTAAGAAGAAGAGTTTTATCATACAGCACCCTTCCTTACCGACTGGACCGTGTACGCCATTACGCTTTTTTGTGTACGCGTTGGTGCCACGAAATTTTTCCTTCTTTGATTTTTTTTTGAAATACTTGATCTTTTTAATTTAATATTGATATTTTCCTTTTTTTTAGATAAATGGGGAAGCATAGCAAAAGCGATCGAACTGATCGGAGGGACCGAAAGCGAAAACATTCGCGATCGCGATCCCCTCCTAGAATGGATAGCCAACAGGAGTTGGAGCGTCTCTCTAAGGAATTGGTTGCTCTGAGAGCCGAAATAGAACGGAATACCGCTCGCTCTGTTCGCAGTAATCAATCAGCTGCTAGTTATAGCCAAGCCTCCTCCTATATTCTGGAAAGTCCAGAAAGTTCAAATGAATTTTCCCAAGGTGGCACACCACCTTCCTCTCCGATTGGTGGAACACCACCATCACCTATGGAATGTGGAATACCACAAGATGTTGTCATCATCGATAACGATGTCAAGCTAGACGATGAGATCCTAGAAGCATTGGGGGAAGACCCTCACAAGGATACCAAGAAGACATATGAACTACACTCAGTAGTCCAAAAGAGATGGAAAACCATACTCACAGAAGGGCTTGATAAAGGAGAAAAAGAAAGGCTAATGGAGCTACATTTGCCTCCAACAAATTTGACATTGTTGAAGGCCCCAGATATAAACCCTGAAATTCTGAAGGCTATACCTTCAAATACACATAAGAAAGACAAGTTTCAACAGCTGAACCAGAGCCAGTTGGGAAAGGGCCTTGCTGCCCTAGGGGCTGGTATCAACATCCTCTTGAAGGAAGAGGATAATAAAGAAAACAAGAATACAGTTCTTGGCCTTCTTAGTGAGTCAGGAAAATTGTTGACAGATGTTCACTATAATATGTCACTGACTAGGAGAGCCCTCATTACACCCACGTTGAGTAAAACTGTTAAAGAGCTGACTAGTGCAGCACCTATTGAGGAGCTGTTATTTGGATCAAACCTGGGTGAGCGTATAAAAACAGCAAAAGCTGTTGAGAGATCAGTTATAGATCTCAAACCAAAATCAGATACTGTATTCAAGAAGCCTAGTAATCAACTACCAAGTACAAGCTCAGGTAGCAGTACATATAAAAGAGGTGATTCTTTAAACTGGAGGGGCCCGTCTGGATACAGGAGAGATCACAGACAGAAGGGGCAATATCTCCAAACCAAAAAACATTATCAGCCTCCCACTCGGAAGTAGATAGAAAGGTGAGTTTTTTTCTCTTTGCAGGTAGTTTGAGGTTTTTCAAAAATCAATGGAAATCCATCCTATCACCACATCCAGAAATCCTGAAATGGATATCTGGTTTCAAGATTCCTTTTGTTAAAAAGCCAAAGGCTTTGTTTCACTGTGGGAATCATTCTGAAAATGAATGCAGGGAATTGATGTTAGAAGTAAATCACCTTCTTGATTTGGGAGCAGTTGTTGAATGCAAGGAAGCAGTATCCCAGTTTGTCTCACCATGTTTTTTGATAAAAAAATCCAATGGTAAGGCAAGGTTCATCCTTAATCTAAAAGAACTAAATAAATATATTGATCCACCCCATTTTAAAATGGAGGACAGTAGAACAGTCATGAAGCTGATTAAAAGAAACAACTATATGGCAACCTTTGATCTCAAGGATGCTTATCTACAGATCCCAGTCCATGAAAAGTTTAGGAAATATTTGCGTTTCAAAGTAAATGATACCTTATATGAATTCACTTGTATGGCATTTGGCTTATCTATTGCCCCTTACATTTTCACCAAGCTCATCAAACCTATTGTTAGGAATTTGAGAGAGCAGGGCATTGTTTGTGTGGCATATCTTGATGATTTTTGTATAATGGCATCTACTGAAGAAATTTGCCAGGAGCATGTACAAAAATCAATGAATTTATTGATTTCTCTAGGTTTCACAATAAATTTTGAAAAAAGTAACATCATTCCTAGCAGAAGATGTAAGTTTTTGGGATTCATTTTTGATAGCACTTCTATGACTATAGAAGTACCTCAAGACAAGCGAATGAAAATCTTCAAAAAAATTGAAAATATCAGAAAAATTAGGAAATGTAAAATAAGGCATTTTGCTCAGTTTCTGGGTTCTTTGATATCTGTCTGCCCAGCAGTTAAGTATGGCAGATTGTATACAAAAATGCTGGAGAGGGAAAAATTTTTGGCACTTAAAAAAGTTAATCAAAATTACAATAGAACTATGGTACTATCCGATTCTATAGGTAGTGATCTTGAGTGGTGGGCCCATCAAATTATTGGCAGTAGAAATGAAATTAGACAAGATAACTTTGCCCTTGAAATATTTTCTGATTCTTCAAAAACTGGTTGGGGTATATGTGCAAACGACCAATCCACTCATGGGTGGTGGAGCACAGAAGAAAAAGAAAATCATATTAACTACCTGGAGTTAAAAGCGATTTTGTATGGTTTGAAATGTTTCGCTAAAGATCTCAGATCTTGTAATATTCTAATAAGAGTAGACAATACCACAGCTTTGTCTTACATTAACAGAATGGGTAGTGTACAACACTTGGAGTTGTGTCTATTGGCAAAAGAAATATGGCAGTGGTGTGAAAGTCGAGACTTGTGGTTACATGCTAATTATGTTAACACTAGAGAAAATATTGCTGATGAAGACTCTAGGGTCATATCTATAGAAACAGAATGGGAACTGTCAGACCTCGCCTTTAGTGAAATCATAAGGTGTTTGGGCCAACCTGATATAGACTTATTTGCATCCAGTGCTAATAAAAAAGTGGATAAATATGTGTCTTGGCATAGAGACCCAGATTCAATAGCAATTGACGCATTTACTTTATCTTGGGAAAACATTTTCTTTTACGCCTTTCCACCATTTGCTCTGATTTTGAGAACATTGAATAAAATAATTGTTGACAAAGCTGAGGGAATAGTGGTTGTACCAGATTGGCCCTCTCAACCTTGGTTCCCACTGTTCAAAAGTTTGTTAACCAGTGATTTAAGGATAGTCAAATTCGAACCTAATAAATATTTACTCTCCTCCCCTTTCAGGAAAACACATCCACTGCATGCCACCCTTTCCCTGGTGGCAGGCAAATTGTCCGGCAAGCTTTTTTAAGAAAAGGCCATTCAGAGGAAACAATCCACACCTTGATGCAGTCTATATCTGAATCAACAATGAGACAGTACAATTCCTCTTATGAGGCATGGTGGTCATTCTGTCTGAATGAAAAAGCAGATCCTTTTGAAGCAGAAATATCCACTATATTGGCATTCATGCAATATGAGTTGGGTCGTTCTAGAGCAAAATATGGAACCTTCAACCAGCATAGGTCAGCACTCTCTCTAATTCTTCAAAAGGAAATTGGAAAACATGCCCTTATAAGGAGATTTCTAAAGGGTGTTTTAAGATTGCGACCTCCAATACCTAAATATGACATCACATGGGAGCCTCAAAAAGTGTTGGATCATTTATCCTCATTGGGTACTAATGAGACTTTATCCTTTTTAGAATTGTCAAGAAAATTGGCAGTTCTATTAGCTATGGCTACAGGCCAAAGAATACAAACCCTACATGTCATAAGGGTGGAAAACATAACCTTTCAGAAAGAAGGAGCATATATATATATCCCGGATAGAATTAAGACTACTAGTTTGAAGGGTTTTCAACCATACATAGAGTTACCATTTTTTGAGGGTAGTTCAGTATGTGTGACCTCAACTCTATTGACCTATATCGAAAGATCGGCCAGTAAAAGACTAGAGACAGAGCCTTTCTTGTTTTTGTCGACGAGGAAGCCTTTCAAGCGAGCTTCAAAAGATACCATATCGAAATGGATAAAACATGAGATGGCAGCAGCAGGAATCAATACTGAAATATTTTCTGCATACTCCACACGTCATGCTGCCACATCTAAAGCAGCAAGACTAGGCATATCATGGGATATAATCAGAAGAGCGGCGGGATGGTCTAAGGAATCATCCGTTTTTGCCAAGTTTTACAATCGCCCTATCAACAAAAATCCTGGGACATTTACTAAGGCAGTCTTCAATAAGACTTAAAATTTGATATAATCGAGCTGTCAACTTTCAATTTTGAATAAAGTTGTGCTGGTTTATTTTGATCCGAATCCAACTTCCACAATATTTTTACATTACTTTGAATATCTACCTAGCTAAAACAAGTGATCTCGAGGACGAGGTGCCGAAATATAATTTAACGATCAAACGAACTTACCGTGAAGTTCGATCGAAATTATATGAGGCACCTCGTCCGAAGAGATCACTCCCGCCCGCCCAATCCCGAGTTTTAAAAATATTGTGGAAAATACTTTGAAATAGTAATGGCGTACACGGTCCAGTCGGTAAGGAAGGGTGCTGTATGATAAAAACTCTTCTTCTTACTTAATACATTGTGGCATCAACCGTACCTAAGAGTGGTACTACCTAGCTAAAACAAGTGATCCCTTCGGACGAGGTGCCTCATATAATTTCGATCGAACTTCACGGTAAGTTCGTTTGATCGTTAAAATATGCAACAACATTTTCATGTAGGCTCCATTAGAGTCACTGGATGGTATTAGTTAGGGTCCCTTGATGGAAATTGACGTAAAAGTCACCATAACAGGGTACGGACAGATCATAGCTGCATTCTTTTTTAATGATCTAGAGACTTTAGTTTTGTCTACTGGCATCCCTGACATTGCTGTCACGTCATAATCATGGGCGCTACAAAAATCATTCAAAATTTTAATAATAGGTATGTACAGGGTATTTACAAGTATTTACTTGTTGAGGAAGAGCAGATGGCGAACGAGTTTTGTAATTATGATCCGATTTTATTCAAAACTGGAAGGTATCTGGGGTTTTCCGGGGTTGGAGATAATGATTGTTTCGTCAAACTTGGAAAATTCAAGATGGCGGATCCAATATGGCGAGATACATTAGTTTATATAATTATTACTCTACCACAAATACAAAATATGTAGGATGCAAGAGAGAAAATGACGTGTCTGTAAGTTATACTGCGTATACCTACTTCTCTGTTACTTTCATCAATAAATTATTCGAAAATGACTTTTTATTCAGGAAAGATGGAAAAATCATATGTATAACATTAGGGTTAAGTATATTGTATCATTTATTTTCCTGCACATTTTACGTATTACTTTTCATCAGCCTTGAGCCTAATTTTCGTCCCAGATGAAGTATTATACATAGTGTCATATTAGTCACTCCATAAATTCTTCTCAGAATTGTATTTCCGAAAATATATTTAGCACACATGACATGAATACAGTATTTCAGATACCCACATCGAGGTTTCCACCATTTCTCAATCATAAGGCTCAGCTCATTCAGCTCATAGATAAACTTCTGCTCAGCTTGAAGTCAGAATTCATTAAGTCAATCAGTCAACCCTGATTTACAGTCTAAGAACAGTCTCTTTTGCTGAAATATATGATTCCTACCTCGCAAAGATTATGCTGGAGTAGTAGACTCTAAAACTAGAGGATTGTTTATCTATATCTTGGTATAGTCATTGAGTATTGAATCAGGAATTCCATATGGAAATTACGTATGATACGCCAGTGACCTCGATATAACCTAAAAAACAACGAATGTCAAAAATCTAGTGTTTATCCCCAGAATTGAATAAGGATGGAACTATATAACCGTTTCACAAACACTTTAGAGTGAGAGGAGACGAGGATCTGTCCGTACCCTGTTAAGATGACTTTAATGTCAATTTCCATCAAGGGACCCTAGTATTAGTTAGGCTCCATCACCATTTTTATGACGTACTGCCTAGAAAAGCACAGCTGAAACTGCGAGCGATTTATGCCAATAGAGACTACAAAGTTAGCAATGGTACTTGAAATGACATATTCAACAAATAGCATGAGTGGAAACTGGAATATTTCTTGAAAGAAAGCTCGTTTTGGTGGTTGATCATTCTAATCTGAATTTCTGTCGAAAGTTTGACTAGATATTTTAATTTCTTCATGAAATGTATAACTTGTTGACTTGAGCCTGGCAACAGTGTTGAAGGTTTGAGGTTAGACCATACTGACAGCTTTCTTCTTATTATTTTCGGCACTAGATCTAGGTAGTAATAAAGCGTCATTGTCTGCTTCTTTTAAAAATTAAAATAATTTGAAGAGCCAAATTCGATCCCTGGCAGAGCAGAGAATTAATATTTATCAATCAAATCAAAGTTATAAATTGAAATTTTCGTAGCCTCGGCTGGAGATGATTCCGTACGATTCGCTGTTGCATTCCAATTAAAATAGTGCTGCTCCTAAGGTGGCGTATGGAGTTAGTATCAAAGCCTACACAGAACAAGCATAGGCTTCAAAGGATCTCTCCTAAGGTCGATGTCCAGTGTCCAGTTGGTATGAACATACATACAAATCAAGGAAAGATACATATACTCACTTTGTTTGTTGGAGGACTTCCTCAGTTTGGGTTTTGTGTAATAGATCATAGAACAAAATATACTATGAAGGAGTGATACACCAAGTTCTGATGTTTTCAATACCTTTTTAATTAAAATGATGAACTAAATTGGAGATACATTTAGTTTTTAGTTCAATGATTTTTCTTAGATTATTAAAAAAAAATATATAAATAGAATACCATATTATATAAACTCTCATACTAAGAGGGTAACATAAAAGACAACAAAGCTTGAGAGGTGCCAGAAATATATATCTCATTAGGGTTACCAGTAGGTGAATATTCAAATTCAAACCATAATACATTAATAATAATTTTTGAATAACAGAAAAAATCTTCATATCATTTAGACTTAGCATGCTTAAAGATATGCAAATAACAACCTTTTTATTCTTTTTACTGTACCAGATGAGAATATTATGACTGAAACTGAGGCAAAAAAAGCTTGAATGATGTTGCAAAATTTAATGCCTTGTTATTTGTTTAATTGTGGTAATCCAAACTCATCCAGTGGCACTCCATCCTGGAAATAAATAAAACTGTACTGTACACAGTGTCCCAAAGATAACCCTATATCTCAGATAAATGGTTGTAAACTGTTTCATGAACAATGCAAAGAATTCAGACATGATTACCTTGTTTACTCTTTCTTGGCCAGCTTCTGGTTTAGTACTAGGTGCTTCAGGAGCTTTGAGTACATCATCCAAGTAGCTCTGATCATCATCAAGGCCTATTTCTTCACCTAGAGCATCTAATTCAGCAGCCAAGTCATCTTCATCAAGATCTGGGGTATTGTAAGTTGATCCAAGAGCCTGTTGAACCTCATCTGCTTGTTCCAACATGTCTGCCAATTCATCCTGTATGTCCTAGAAAACAAAATCACAATTGATTATCCACCATACCATAAATATATCAGAGATGAGTTGCTTACATCAATATCTTCCAAGTTTATCTTCTTGAACTCTGTTTTCATTTGCTTTACACCATCTTTCATGGCAACCACAGTTATCTGTGTGTCTTTCAGAGTCTGATGAGCCATGTTAGCTTGTTCCATATTGAATGATTGGCCCCTCAAGTTGTCTAGTTGGTTCTCATACATTTTTTTCTGTTTTAGTATTCTGATTGCTTTTGCTTTCACTGCATTTTTTCCTGGACCTTCTCTCATCTTGGACATTTGGTCTCGAAATCTTCGTAAATCATTTTCTAGAGTTGCGATCTTCTTTTCTACACCTTCAGCTCGCTGATCTACCTACAAGCAACTTCCCATTAAAAATGTTGTAAAACAAGTTTCTGCTTCCTTACTCCAGCTATAGCATCAGAAATGCTTGGTCCAGGTTCTTTAGGCTTTCCTTTTCCGAATAGTCTATTCATTTTAGTGGCTAATATTTGGATAAAACGCTAGAAATTTTAATTTTATATCAATGTTGGGACTTGGGACTGGGAGTGACACTACTGACACTTAATATTTTATGGTTAATTTATGGTTAATTTTTAATTCAAAATCTACAGACAAGGTTGCCAGTTCGATTTATATTTCATTCATCAGTAAAATATGAACTGATCGAAGAAAGATCGATTTCAAGAATCTCAAAATTTCGAGATTATATTCTCAGAATTTCGAGATTATATTCTCAAAATTTGGAGAGTGTATTCTCAACATTTCGATATCATTCTCTCAAAATTTCGAAAAAAATTTCTCAAAATTTCGAGATTTTCCAAAATGCTCTTCCTAATCACAAAATGTCGAGATTATAATTCCAAAATTTCCCAGTAATTGTTCTAAATTTTTTTTAGTCTTATTGACAGCTTTACTAAGTGGTAATATTAGTCTATTTGACATACACTAAGTGTTCACCGGTTTGATTGACCGATACTCAAGTGTCAACTAGCCTAATTGACTGATACTTGAGTGTCAACTAGCCTAATTGACAGATACTAAGTGGTAACTAGCCTACTTGTCAGATACTAAAGTGTTAATTAGTTAATTGACAGATACAGAAGCGCGTATGGAGACAGGACACATCAAATATTGCGAGTGAGCAGTGAGAAGAGGGGATGAAAGCGTCGCCACGTCGCCTGTTAATGGCGAGATTAAGTTTTTTTTTCATAGTAAAATCAGTAAAATCACATAAAATGTTCATGTGAGCGTTTGGCTCAGTGAGTTCAGTTCTCAGGAAGTGACTTCTTCCATTTTTTCAATCTCCACGAACATTAAAGGAATTTCCTTTCGTGTGCTCCAAGAGACAAAAAAAGGAATATTCCGGAAAATAATAATAACAGAAAAAAATTAGGTTAGGTTAGATTTTTTGTCGTTTGGAGAAAGTAGTATTCTTCGTTCTCTCTAGTAATTATCTGAAAAATATACTTTTAAGGGCAAGGTAGGTCAGATGGTTCAGAAAAAGTATAGTCTCAGGTAGGTCTCAGGTATAGTCTCTTCAGAAAATAACGGCAATATTTGATGTGAATTGTGAAACAAGTTTCGCTTCCTTACTCCAGCTATGGCATCAGAAATGCTTATTGGTCTAGGTTCCTCAAGCTTTCCTTTTCCAAATAGTCTATCCATTTTTGTCGCTAATATTTGGATAAAATGATAGAAATATTAATTTTACATCAAAGTTGGGAGCGAGGATCAGTAAATAATCTTCAGTAAATACCACGTAAATACTAGGGATTGCGATCTTTCGAAACTAAATCGATTCCTAGAATCGATCTGGATGGGAAACGTAAAAAGTTGTTCCATGTTGAAATCGAAAAAAAAAAATCGATTTTCAGGAAAGCCGATCTTCGTTCGATTGAAAATGACAAGATTGGTGAGTGAGGTCAGAGATAATAAGTTACTCACAGTAACTTATCTCTGGTGAGGTGGACTAGGTTGAGTAAATTCAGTTAACGAACACAAAAACAAAAAATTAATCCGCTGTCCAACAGTCCAAACAAACTATACAGTTTTCATGTTTTTGCCATTATCCAAAAATGGTTATTCAAACTGCGAACTCGTTTCATTTTTATGAAGGCATAGAAGCGCCATTATATATTTTTTATAATTGACAGATACTGAGTGTCAACTATTCTTATATTGACATAAAGTGTCAGCTAGCCTAATTGACATAAATACTAAGTGTCAACTAGCCAATTTACAGATACAAAGTGGTAACTATAGAGCCTACTAGACAGATATTATGAGTGTCAACTAGACTGATTAACGGATGCTTAAGTGGTAAAACTAGTGCCTACTTGGCGGAGACCATGTGTTGAGTAGTATAATTGACAGATACCCGCGAGTGTCAACTATAGCCTAATTGACAGATAACAAGTGTTAAAATTAGTATCAGTCATTTAGGCTAGTTAATTGACACCTTTGAGTATCTGCCAAATATACCCAGCCAACCATGAGATGTATAAGTGATGTATGCGCCACATCACTTTGTGACATGCGATATCGCATTTGAAGTCACAAACATGTTACCGAAACAACGTGGCGATGTGAAAATGTCCGACTCAAGCAACATCACTGTGACGTCGTTCAGACATGAAATGCGACATCACATGAAAAATCACTACCAGGTCACATACTCACATACAAGTGTACATTTCATATCACAAATACATCACACTGCGACATCGATGATATGTGGTCGCCGTCCCTGTTAATAGTCGTGGGATATATAATAATAATAATATTATTCAACTTTACGAAGAAAATGTTTATTTTCCGAAAGTAAAAACAGATGATACAAAACTTATCATGACAATCACCCTAATTAGTAATCTTGAAGTAAAACATGACACATATATATAGCAATATACAAATATATACATTATTCATAAATGATACATATCAAATACACTTACATTCTCTTGGGATCTTTCATCCACCTTGTTTTAGATTGCAGAGTATTCCTATCTCAGAGATAATTACAATATTACCTACTGTGATTGAACTCATCACCGTCGTTCCTAGATGATTGTATACCTCCAATTTGAAGCTGCTATATTATATATGTGCTATAAATTATCTCAGATATTTCAACAGAGAATTTGAAAGGAAATAGTCTGTACGGAGTCGGACTAACTCACTGACTGACTGACTTACTGACTGACATGGCCATGTACAGCTCAACATGGCGTCTGGCGTGTGCGTTCGTTTTGCCCATGTCTGCGTCACACTCACAGGTCACAAAGATATCTCATGAGGATATCAATGTGAATTATTTAGTTAACGTCGAAGAGATGTAGTTTGAAGAAGTCGCTGCCACATTACATAGTTTCCTGGTTGCGATGTCACCTTGCGACGTTGATATCGAATCTACGTCGATAAGATGTGTTAACGAGATATTGCATTTATGCAAGGTTGTTACATCACACAGATGTTGATGTCACACGATGGTTGGCTGGGTAGTAGTTAACACTTATTAGTATCTGTCGAGTAGGCTGATGGATACCACTGAGTATCTGCCAATTAGCCTAGTTGCCACTTAGTATCCGTCAATTAATTAGGCTCGTATTGTCACTTGAGTATCTGTCAAATGTATCTGTAAAGTAGGCAACACTTATTATCTGTCAATTAGGCTAGTTGACACTTATTAGTGTCTATCAATTATTCAAAAAACAGATGGCACTTTTACGCTTTCGTACATTTTTTATAAATTTCGCTTAGATTTCCTGAAAGAAGAATCGATTCAAGATCGCTATCCCAAGTAAATAAATAAGATTCAGTATTCTAATATTCACAGAGCGTACATACAAGTGGTGATTTCAGTAGATTTGCTTCATCAAAAATTATGTATTTTTATTAAACAAGAAAAAAAGTTACCTATTTCCAGCAGAGTAGAAACAAACAAATGACGAATTTTAATAAAAAAATAAAGTCAACATATACCTAATTCTTGATTCGAAAATACTCACAAATATCACAAAATATATAAATGAACATACGAGAAAACAACGAGCTGCGAGAAAACAGAGAAGCCTGCCCTAGGTGCTCTAATCTTCACTTTGATTTGAGTATTCTAAATTCTTTGCCGAATTGGCAAATTCGTCGAATTATCAATAACTGGGGACTCCCCGGCTCCACGCGCGGTCGGCGTGGTGGTGAAGGATTACCAACATACAATACGAGAGCGTAAAGTTTTCGAATCATTCCCAAACCTCATTGTTAGATTGCTCACAGTGAATCACGTGATACAATATGAATGCATGCGCATTCGCTCGTAGAAAAACTAATAAGAGAAAAACATCCTTGAAACTTGAAAGCCTAAATCACTACCCAAATAATCACAGTGGGTTGACGCCATGCTATAAGTGGACCAGAATAAAACTCCCTGACCAAACTCAGCCTCTACAATTTTATTTCGAAAAATAAGCATAAAATAACACGAATCCCAACATATCACGTGATGGGAATGGTTCGAAGATATAGGCACTAAGGCACTTCTCATACAAATCAAGCGCTGCCCTAATACACGCATTCTTCGGGTGTTTTTCTAATCAGTGGCGTCCGAAAAATTTAGATAGAGTGTATCAAAATATCACGAAAGAAATAAGTGTATGTGATTGACTAGAGGTTGATGATGATAGTTATTTATAATCATGAATAAGTGATATAATTTTTTTCAGTTGAGTATGAAATGTTTCAGATCACTAGATCAATATGCAAATCAGTAGATATACTGAAAATTCAGTAGCAATGGCAACACTCCAATGCTTGGCACTGGCTAGCTCTACGGGTGCCTGTACAGGAGCCGTCTATTCCATTCCAAACTGATTTATTTAGTAACTTAGCTCCTTAACTCCAAAATTGGAAGCCGAGAGCTTTTTGGGATGCGAAACCCGAATACGGACAACTTTTCACTGTGGCCATTTGAGGGCGCTTACAAATGCACTTCTCTGATGGTATGGAATGACCATAGTTTTTTCTTAGTACAGTTTTCCTGTTGAGGAAATGATTTTCTAAATGCAGAAAAGATGCAGTTGTGAAAATTCGATAAATCAATAAGCCTGTTTTCGAGATATTTCAGCTTTTAGTGTTCGATACCGCACCGGAATTTTATTATCAATAAATATTATCTTATTTTGACCTCAGGACTATGTGCTAAGATCTTGTACAGACCTTTCAGGATTCATGCTGCTGAAAGGTTCCCAACTTGTCGCTTCCATCGTTTTCTCCTTTTTCAAAAAATCATTACATATCGATGAACAATCCGGAGTTTTCTTCGGAATCAATGTTCATGGAAAGGAATATTGTGCCAACGGTCGTATCGTTAGTCACTCGACAAGTTGTGGTTACTGGTTCGGTATCATCAACTGTCATCGCCAAAAATAAACATTGAGGCAAGGCAAGGTCTTTACTTTAATCATCATTATTTTATGACTTTATTTTAGGTCTTCCTTGGCCACATATGCTTTATTAATGCGTATATTATCTAAACTATTATCAACTGAGTTTTGTCTTGAATCATCAAGAACTCAACATAATGGTATTGCAAAATGTACTGTCTTATATCCTGAATAAATATTTGGGAGAATTTGTTGAAAATTTGGATGCAAATCAACTTAATGTTGGGATATGGGGAGGTGAGCTTGTTTGATGATATGAATCATTCCATTATGTTATGTTTTCAATACTTTTCCAGGCGACGTTGAACTAAAGAATCTGGTATTGAAACCATCAGCTCTAAATGAGCTAGATTTACCAGTACAAGCAGTATATGGAACAATAGGTAAAATGATGGAATCTACTTGAGATCACGATATTAGTATATTGGAGAAAAATATTTTAGGAAAACTGGTTCTGAAAATACCATGGAAAAATGTGTATACTTCTCCTTCCATCATTTCTGTAGAAGATATCTACCTCATAGTACAACCAAATCTGCAAGTCAAGTATGATCCTGAGAAAGAAGAGAAAAATCAATATGAAAGCAAAAAACAAGAGATTCAAAGAATTGAGGAAGCAAAGAAAGCTGTTGCTGAAAAAGGTGTACCTAATAAAACATTCATAGAATCTCCTTTAGAAGAGGTAGATTGAGCCTTCTCTGACTCCTTTTCTTTATAGGAAAACCTCCAACTAAGCTTGGGTGGACAGAAGAATTGACTAACAAGTTGATAGCTACAATTATCAAAAATATACAGTTGAATATCAAAAATATTCATATCAGATATGAAGATAGAGTGACTAATAGTAAATTTCCATTTGCATTTGGAGTTACACTAAGTGAACTAGTTGTTGAAAGCACTGATGCTAACTGGGAGAAAACAATTGCAGATGATATAGTTAAAATATACAAGGTAAATTATTTCTTTTGATCCAAGGCAAACATTCCATATCATATGATTTGTTAGGTTCTTCAATTGGATGGCCTGTCTGTATATTTCAACAGCAGAAGCAGAATGTATGCTGAACTTCCAACTATTGACTTTATAAATAAAATGAGAAAAGAAATTGCTTCCAAAAAGTCTAAACCTGGAGATTATACATATAGTAAGTCAACTTTTATTACATGGGTGACTGATGAGTTGTAGTTATTCAGTGTTTTTTATCTTGTTGAGAAATATTTTTGGTTTGGTTGATGTTTGCTCTATTTTCATTTCATATCACAGGATTGTAAGTGTGGTTTGCTGTATTTTCATTTTATAAGGATTGTAAGTGTGATTGCAAGTCAGGACATGAAGACTGAAGGTAATATTTTAATTTTCTGGATACCAATTCATTAAAAATCATTCTTGCAATCTTGTATATCCTGATTTGGCTGTACCTATGCATTAATGTATCAGTTTCTTTATCATTTCATTGGGATTCAAAAAACCCTGGAAAAACCTGAAAACTTATATTAAGGTTCATAGAACAACAGCCTGAGAGAAGAAAACACACTGATTTAAATTGAATAAACTTTTCAAAAACAATTGTCCTTTTAGAACAAAATTGCAATAAAAATGTTTTTTACAATAATTTTTAAAATTTGTATCTGAATAATATATGATATAATATAAAATGTGAACAAAAATTAATTCAAAATATCTACTAATTATATTCATTTCATACAATTGGAGAAATACATTATATTATCAATTCTCAAGAATATATGAAATCCTGGATCTTGGAAAGAATATAATCACTGAAGAAAGATTGCTTTCTACTTCCCAATGTAATATAGTTTTGATAGAAAAATCATTATTTTTGAAAGGTACAAATAAAACAAAATAATTTGATCAACCCATTCCATGGCACTTACTTACCTTGCCTTGGACTTTGGAGACCTTGGAGTGGAGGAATAGTGGAGGAATAGTTCATTATTCTGTGGAATAATTCACCACTTTTGGGCTTCTGCCACTGCCATTTCAATATTTTGAAGTACTAACCCTAACAAGTCCACTGTCACAACCCTTTTTTTCTATTGAAATTCAGGATATTTCATATAATGAAAAACATATTCTCTGGACTGAATACTTACTGTAAATATCAGAGAATTCAACACAACTGAAGAATCAGATAACCTGAGGATTATCTTATCTGAGTATTCCCAGTATTTGTGAAATTTGACTAGATGAAAGTGATGAAAGTAGAGATGAAAGGATTTGAAGAACTATGTCAATTTGACGTTTGAAAGTTAGGTTGACTTCTTTTCTTCTTTTGTTTCTGTGTCAGGGCCACAAAATAATTTGGATTTGAGTAAAGTTTTGATCATTATCAGTCATATTGAATATCATAAGGAAATTACTAGTTATGAATTTGGCAGCGTCAAAATATATGGTTATGAGTAGAGTCCCTGTATATACCTTCTAGACAAGAGTCCGGGCACAGCTATACTTCTGTCCTTTTCTGTTTTCAAAAAATGATTTGATGATTGAATAAAGGAATAAGACATATATATCCAGTTCTGTCTCTTCAATTCCCCTAGTATCAATGATTGTCAGAAACAATTTTGAGGGTTAGATTATTTGTCAAACCGTTCATAGCGGTAGGTAGAAGTGAGAAATAGGGCTATTTTAACTAGAATAACTATTAGATTTTCAAATAATGAACAACAGGGTGTTCAAATTTCGAATCGATAATTCTACACTTATATGCCTTATAAACATTGATTTTTATATTTATCTAACATCAGGGACAATGATATGTCAAAGATCCAATTGATAAACTATTATATACACCTAATAACTATACTTATATTAAACTCATGGTACATGTACTATATAGTTGATATCTCGCTAGATATAATGGAAATCATAATTGCAAGATTCTTAAGATCAGTATCCAGGTACCTATACCATCTAGGATTCCTCCTCGTGCCACAAACTTTCACACTTGTGAGAAGAGTCACCAAATTAAGCAGCTGTTCATAGGCATCAGCAAAACGCAGTACAGAGATTTGAGTAACATCAATATTTGTCATTACGATGTTTCTTCAGTTTAGTCATAACTCCATTATCAACGCCAGAAAAAAATGAAGAAGAAATTCAGTTTTTTGAAAATTAACTCTTAAACGAAAAGTTATAGCGGGGATTTTCGAGAGACATTCTATTGGTCTCAATCGCACAACTTTTTTCCCATTTAACCACATCTGTTTATCTTGTAGTTTCCTTGATAATCATACTGACTCCTCCTTATCTCGGACACAGTGTATATCTCCATCTGCGAGATTTATTTATTATTGGTTCTAATCAACTTCAGCCAGACTGAAGATTAACCAACAACCGGAAAACGATTCCCCGCAGTACTGAGACTTGAGTAACATCTGTAGATGTCATTACGATGTTTCTTCAGTTTTGTTATTCCATTTTCAACCCAAAAAAAAATTGAAATTGAGTTATGGCGAAAATCCTTGAGAGGCATTCTATTAGGCTTTCAGTCGCAATTTTTTTTTGTATTGGGTCCAATCAACGCTTCAGGCAGGCTGATGATAAACCAACAACCCGAAATCGATTCCCCGCCATATTCTTTTCTCAAAGTCCACCTCAATCTCTGAACAGAAAAGCTGTTCATAGGCATCAAGAAAACGCAGTACAGAGACTTGAATAACATCGATAGTGATGTCATTACGAAGTTTCTTATTATAAACGCCAGAAAAAAATTGATAATCCTAGATATTCTGTTGTTTGAAAATAAATCCTAAACGAGAAGTTATAGCGAAGATTTTTGAGAGACATTCTATTGGGCTTTCAATCGCACAACTTTTTTCCAACTAACCAAATCTGTATATATCTTTATTTGCGCGATTTTTGCAGTACTGGGTCCAATCAACTCTTCTTCCAGACTGAAGACCAACCAACAACCGGAAAACTATTCGCCGCCATATTCTCTTCCCAAAGCAAAATACAGTAATGAGACTTGAATAACATCAGTAGTTGTTATTACGATGTTTCTTCAGTTTTGTTATTCCATTATTAACGCCAAAAGAGAATGAAATTGATATCCAGATATTCAGTTTTCTGAAAAAAGCTTCTGAACGAAAAGTTGTGGCGAAAATCCTTGAGAGGCATTCTATTAGGCTTTTAGTCGCATTTTTTTGTATTGGGTCCAATCAACGCTTAAGCCAGGCTGACGTTAAACCAACAACCCGAAATCGATTTCCCGCCACATTCTCTTCCCAAAGTCCTTCTCAATCTCTAAATGGAAAAGCTGAAAAGATGTTTCTTTTTATCAACGCCAGAAAAAAAAAATACAATCCATATATTCAGTTTGCTGAAAATAACTCCTAAAAGAAGAGTTCTAGCGAAGATTTTTCAATCATACTGACTACTGACTACTCGTCATCTTGGATACAGTGTATATCTTTATCTGCGCGATTTTTTCAGTAGTGGGTCCAATCAACTCTTCAGCCAGGCTGAAGATCAACCAACATCCGGAAAACGATACCCCACCTTACTCTCTTCCCAAAGTCCACCTCAGTATATATTTATCTGCGCGATTTTTTTAGTATTGGGTCCAATCAACTCTTCAGCTAGGCTGAAGATAAACCAACAATCCGAAAACGATTCCTCGCCATATTCTTTTCCCAAACTCAACCTCAATCTCAAAATGAAGACGCTGTTCATAAGCATCAGCAAAACGCAGTACAGAGACCTGAGAAACATCAATAGTTGTCATTACGATGTTTCTTTTTATCAACGCCATAAAAAAAAAAATTATTCCATATATTCAGTTTTCTGAAATTAACTCCTAAGCGAAAAGTTATAATGAAGATTTTTCATTCATACTGACTACTGACTGCTCCTTATCTTGGATACAGTGTATATGTTTATCTGCGCGATTTTTTTAGTATCGGGTCCAATCAACCAACTACCGGAAAACGATTCCCCACCTTATTCTCTTCCCAAAGTCCACCTCAGTATATATTTATCTGCGTGATTTTGTTAGTATTGGGTCCAATCAACTCTTCAGCTAGGCTGAAGATAAACCAACAATCCGAAAACGATTCCTCGCCATATTATTTTCCCAAACTCAACCTTAATCTCAAAATGGAGACGCTGTTCATAAGCATCAGCAAAACGCAGTACAGAGACCTGAGAAACATCAATAGTGGTCATTACGATGTTTCTTTTTATCAACGCCACAAAAAAAAAATTGATCCATATATTCAGTTTTCTGAAATTAACTCCTAAACGAAAAGTTATAGTGAAGATTTTTTAATCATACTGACTACTGACTGCTCCATATCTATGATACAGTGTATATGTTTATCTGCGCGATTTTTTTAGTATTGGGTCCAATCAACTCTTCAGCCAGGCTGAAGATCAACCAACAACCGGAAAACGATTCCCCACCTTACTCTCTTCCCAAAGTCCACCTCAATCTCCAAATGGAGAAACTGTTCATAGGTATCAGCAAAACGCAGTACAGAGACCTGATCGCTCTGGCTGATTCCATGAACAGAATGACGAGGGGGGCTCGATATCGCAAATACCGGCCGAACGTGACGTCATACAAGGGTCACTATAAGGAGTGGTGGCACTTCGCTTACAGGTGCCTGGTGGAGGGGGACATCAGGAGGAAGAAGAGAGACTGGGATTGGAATCACATTTTGGGGTATAGGAATATGTGCAGGGAATATCAGGATTTGAGTATGAAACAACTTCAGAATAAAAATGTAAGTATGGGATATTTGTGGAAGTTTCACCAAGAGCTTCGATCGTCCCGCAAAATGCCGTCGTCATACGAGATGACTTGTTTCCTAACTAGATACTCATTAGATATTTACGAATTTACGATACAAGTAGTAAGATTCATATTACGATATGAGAAGGGAAATTTGTCAAAACGAAGCTGAAGGCCCAGTTTGACAACCCATCGATAATCGTCATATTTTCGCAACTTAGATGGTTCTTGTAGGTTATATGGTATAATTGAGAACAAACGGCGCCTCCATCATGTGTCGCAACTCAGATGTTGACCCTCCTATAGGTCGTAACTTGGGTACTCGCTTGGGTTTTTGACGAGAGGTTTTGATCATTTCTTTGGAAAGAGATGTTCTGCAGGTCTCCAAAGTGACCACGAAGGGGTGCGAAGCCTCAACCCGACGGGTTAATCTCGCGGGGACTGCCAAGGCAGGAACAATTGTTGATATTTCAGAAGAGCATCGTCCATGAAAATATCTATAAAATAGAGCCAGATCGCCAACTTTTCTACGGTGTTCCAGAGAAGTGAGTGAGTTTGTGAGCGATGCATTACCCACGAGACGAATTGCCCTTTTTGGACAGAATCCAACAGTTTCAGGGTATGTTTGGGTGCTGCACTCCAAATATGGGAACAGTATTCCAGGACAGGTCGAATCTGTGCCTTATAGATCATAAGCAGCTTACTGGAAGTGAAATAGCTCCTGGCCCGAAACAGAAAACCAAGTTTTTGGGATGCACTTTTAGCAATTGATCACACGTGATTTTTCCAAGAAAGGTTATTGCTGATAGTAATACCAAACATCGAAATGGATGTCTTCAAAGGTATGGTTACTCCTGACATGCTTATGTTGGGCACAGTGAGATCGGCTTTTCTAGAGAAAAGGCATGCTTGTGTTTTGTTTGCATTGAAATCTACCAAGTTATTGGATCCCCATTCGAGAATTGTTGTCAAGTCCATATTTATGTTGTCAACATTTCTCCCTCGTTCGTTTATGATTTGCCTGGCTGGTATTGGATCCCTAGAATAGAAGGCGGTATGGATGGTACTATCATCCGCGAAGCTGTATACTGGACATGAAGTTGCTTCCAAGAAATCGTTGATATGGAGTAGAAAAAGTGTTGGTGCTAGAATTGATCCTTGCGGAACACCGGCATTTATAATAAGAGAGTCAGATGAAACTCCGTCGACCACTACATGGAGAGACCTGTTTGAGAGAAAACTAGCTAGCAGAGAACATAGCTGGGGAGGCAAGCCATAAGATGGAAGATTGGCGAGGAGTCCGTGGTGCCAGATTCGATCGAATGCCTTGGAGATATCAAGTGCCACGGCTAAGGTTCCACCATATTTTTCAATAGATTGCTGCCATATATGTGAGACGTAACCGAGTAGGTCACCAGTGGAACTCTGATGACGGAAGCCATATTGCCTATCGTTGATAATACCTGAATGTTCCAGGTATGGGAAATTTGTGGAAGTTTCACCAGGAGCTTCGATCGTCCTGCAAAATTCCATCGTTATACGAGAATAGGCGAATGCTGCAATCATTCGAGTAGGAAATCAGCATTCCGTACAAGTTATACACTATAATTTTTCTACGGCTATAATAGATAACAGCGGCATTTTCGATTTCTTCGTCTTGTAGCCATCTGATTTCCTATCAAGTAATGCTCATCTATAAGACAGAGCTGTCATTGCTTCACATTTGACATTCTATGAGCGATGAGATTTTTTTGAAATAATTACACAATGGCGTCATTGTGATATCAGATACGGAAATAATATCGATGACATACAAAGTACCCCATTGACGTATCGAACACAGTAAAACAAGAGCAATTTTGTGTTATAGCCGTAGAAAAAGTTACTTTTCCGCAATTTTTTGTTCATTTTGACAGTTGTACTTTTCGATAAATCGATAAATCGATAACATCGCGCGAAAAAGTTGCTTTACCGTACTATAGTGCTGAAAAGTTACTTCTCGCGATTTTTATATTGTTGAAAATGAGGATATTTAGGACTAACTAAACGATCTATGTAATTATTCTGTCTTATCTCTCATTTTGTAGCATTATTATAGTATCTTGTTTATTGAAAACCCTTTCTTTCATAAATAATATGAACAAAAACACTCCTAGGATAAACATTGTTCCTAACTATTGCGGAAAAATACTACTTTCCGCACATGTTAGGTAAACTACTAATTTCGTGTATCTTTGTGCAGCTGTCGTCGGAAGAGAAAGAAAGAATCGTTGAATGCGAAAAAGTATTGGATTTAACGAATATAGTTATAATCAGGCATACAGTCGAAGTGGAAAGTGAACGATTAACTCAAGTTGTTCCTGAGAAGAAGGGATGGTTTGGTTGGTTTAAGAGCTCTTCTCAAGTAAACGAAGATAAAGCAAGCGACAAAATATGTAAGAAATTTTTCAAATATTGATTTTCACGTTATGTACTAATACTGTCATCTCAGATTTCTTCAGCTCTCCATATCTTCTTCATTTCCTCTTGTAACCCCATTGGTATTCCCCGAAAACGTTGACACAAAGCAGAAAGTTTCAATTTTTCTTGTAATATACACTAGACTAGAGGAAAATACAGAATTTCGCCGGTTCTCAATGAAATGTTACAAAATTTTGTTAAAAATCACATTTCAATAACAGCTCACAAAGCTATATCTCACTTTATGTACTGAGACTATTGAGGTAAATAACCTGAGCCCTTTGCTTAGTGTCTACTAGAATTTACTCATATACAACTAAGTCCCTTTGTGATACTTTTGAATCAAATCTCAAACATTAGAATGCGCCTTGTTTGAACTCTAGATGTTTTTCCTACTGGCTGTGAAGCCCTACTTTTTCTTTTTTTGGCCTACTGCAGGGGTTTTCACAAAGTTACTGTTTCCTCTTTTCAAAGGTTTGTTAATAATAAATCAATTCTGATATCGCATTTTTTAGAAAAGTATTTAGTTTCCAAATTTGAGTTCATTCATGTAATACTGTTGGTCAGTATAAAATTCTATCTATGTCTCGTAAACACTCGATGAAGATATTGTTAGTTCATTTACCTAAATGTTCGACCTTCTACTTGCTAAGTGCATTTCTTTTTTGGTAATATTGCTGAAGTCCCAGCGTTCAATACATGGTATTTATTGTCATCTCAGATAGAAGATAGATATTCATAAATATTTAACATTCTCTATTGATTCTTGGAAGATTTGTTTCAATTCATTGTCACAAAAACTTTCTCAGTGAAACAATTCAAAGAGGAAATGACTCCCGAAGAGAAGAGTCGATTATACAAGGCGATCGGCTATCAAGAGAACGCCATTCCCACCATATTTCCCGAAGAGTACGTCGAAATAACCGGTACATTCCTTTTGCGGTCTCTCGAACTGGAGTTGATGGATGACGATGATAAAGACGGTACTCAATCCGTCCTTCTAACCGACTTGAAAAATGTCAAATGTAAGGTGGAGACTAGACCAGCAGCATCAGCTATAAAGTGAGTATACTCACCCAATTAATTTCAGAGTGTTCTACTCGTTCTAGCAACAGGGACATATTTTTTGAAACTCTCTGTTTCAATGAATAATATCGATGATAATCCTGCTCAGGACAAGACCAATTTAGATTTTGTGCTTTCGTGAATCGATGTAACAAAATCATGAATAGAAACAATTTTGTTCCAGAGTGTACATGAAACTGGATAGTTTAACGACAATTGGTATGCAAGAGGGTGATTTTATACCCCAAATGATTGCTGCTGAATCGGAAACCCAAAAAGATCTGTTAGAAATCAGGTTCGAATCGAATCCCATCGATAAGAAATGCGATTACAGGATTCATGTTGTTACACAACCAATAAGAGTAGTTTACGATGAAAAAACAATCAACAAGATAGTGGATGTATTCACTATTCCGCCAGACACTGCCTTGGAAGAGTAAGTTTGAAATTCTTATATGGTATTGAATATTGACGTTCTTCGTTCATTTTATCATTTTATTCATATTAAATCACGATAATTCATCTTTTACAGAAATAAGGTTATTGAAATTTCAAAAGTATTTTTGAATAAAGATCGCCCTGTATTAGAGACTTTTAACAAACATATTATATGTAAATCATGACGTGATGAGATGCCAACCTGCTGCAATACTTTCTGTATAACACTTTGCTATTTCATGATTTTTTCTGATGCTCAGTTCATTGAGGACAGTAGGTATTATTTTCGATTTGTGACTTTGTTGATATTATCATAGTTCGAGGTCGTCCTGTTTTTTTACTAAAAAATACTCTTTTGCCCTGTCAAGGTTGTCTGTTAATTCGAAAAAATATCCTCTATTTATTCGTGTTTCAAATCGTGGAAACCATCCATATTTCTCAAAGTGATCCAATTTATTTTTTGAAGATAAAGCAATAAAAGTCCAAAAGACTGTCAATCACGAAAGAAAAAAAAAAGTCTGTCGACTCTGGGACTTTTATTGCGTTATCCTGACCCCTGGAAATTTTTCGTATTTCCATCAAGATTTACCTGTTGCAGGATGCAAAACGAAAAAAAAAAAAACGTTGTTTATGCAATGATAAAATAGCTCAATTTATTGGTGCTATTTGAATTTGAGTACTGGATACTAAAAGTTCAAACAGCCAGAAAAACATATCCATCTCTAGTTAGGCGGAGTTATAAAACAAATAGAAGATACAATCTTCAACCTAAAATTGTCCAAACCGTCAGAAATGCAATTGAAACAAATGAGCTATCGGCATTTTTCAGTGAACCAGCGCCATTGCAGGAAGATATACAGTGTGGCCATTTAAAAACGGAACAAAGGCTCTTTGGGTCGCTAGAACCGGATTATAAAAATACATTGGAACACGTCAACTACATTTTCGAGGGGGATATCGTTCTAAAATATTTTCAGCACTGCGGCGTTGCCGCTTCTATCGAAAAGTAGCAACAACTTTGTTATTTCAAATGGAAAACCCTGTATTTCACTGAATTTTTAGATATTTCCTGAAAAGTTGATATCAGCTATGTATCACACTTGGGTTCTATCGGGATTGATTACAGAGGTATAGGGTGTTGAAAATCGAGATTTTTCAACTTTAGGATGTTTTAGTGTCGAAATTATTCATTATTGGTCAAAACGGCCTTTATATTCACTATCTACTGACAGACCAGAATTCTGAATCTGGAATAACCCTGTATCTGTTCCGATTAAATGTCAATAGATAGTTGTTATGGCCACCCTGTATTTTACAGACATAATCGTACCTCGCCTAACCGGTTTCCATCTACAACGACAATGCTATATCTATAGGTATACTATTTTCCTCGATTACTTAATCTCTTGATCAAGAAACCCTCTTTAACCCTGAAATTAGCTTTTTTCCAACATTCGCCAGTTTGAAGCGTTTCTCAAATCATCACTTTTTGTAACATATACAGAATGACTGTGGCTTCTACCGATTGTTTATCGAATCTTTACATAATAGAAAGGACGGCATTTGGCAACATAGCAGCTACGGAGAATAGCAGTTGTGGTTCACTGAGGTGGCCATCGAAGCTCGGCGTTTGACAGTTGGGCGCATAATGAATTTCAGTTTTCATTCTGTTCAGATATTTCAGCGGAGACGTCTCTTTTGCTTTTGTCATTCACATGACCTATGTGTAACGATTGGGTAAACAATCTGAATATTTCTCAATTCCAACTAGGAAAAAGCCAAAATACTCAAAGTGGAATGAATTGGTAACAAAGAGGGAGAAAATCGAAGTGATTTCCACAATATGTTCATACTTAAATCCCCAAAAGTTGAAAAAAAATCACTCCTACCTCTTTTCCCAATCCTTCCTAGGAACGCACGATGTTCTTCGAGCATTATAGGGATTCCCTTTCGTGCGCACCAAGCGATGAAAGAATACAATGAACGAAACTGGTAGATATCGAGGAAATAACAACTACTTTCCTAGCTATATGCTACGCAGAACATTGAATTACTTCCTCCCGAAATCCGAGCCGAAATATAGTTTGCTAGTGTTTCTTTCCTATATGCTGAATTGTGCTTAAAATGTTCAATACCGCTCGACATTAGTGCAGGGGTGTCCCCAGATGGCATTCATGACCGCCATCTGGAGCTAAAATGGCCCAACGTAAACACCTCTCAGCATTTAATATACACAAGGCGTTCGGCCACTGCGAAATGGACACAACGCCAACTAGGGCAGATGGCGGTAATAAATGCCATCTGGGGACACCCCTGCACTGAAGAAACATTTGCAAACTTTCGGGAGGATGTGATTCAATGTTCTGCGTGGCAGATAACCAGGAAAGTTGTTGTTTTTCCCTCGTTATCTACCAGTTTCGTTCATTTTATGAACATTAGTCGCGTTTGGTATTTACATCAGACTGCTCCGATGAATCTGAATCGTTCGTTTATGACATCTAGATGTAGGGGAAGTAGATCTCATCCGTTCGGCAATTAAAATCGGAGCGATCTGACAAAGATCTTAATGCTCGGAGTATTTTGACCGAGCAAAGCGATTGATCTGAATTTGTGAGGTTAATTTTCAAATGTTTATGTATGACTGGCCGTTGTGCTCGTATTCGTATTTTCAATAGAACGTTTTCATAATGAAAGAAATACAACTTTTTGATTCTGAACAAGACAAACACACACCTTTATGGTGTCAGATGAGAATTATGAAGAAATTGTCACAAATAATAGTAAGTGAACACATTTAATTAATGTGTTTAGATTATAAATTCAAAATTATGTTTCTATATTTTTTCTTATAGATTTGACTCTGACTGCGATTCTTTTGGAAAAAGAACGAGAAAAAGAAAATTCCTGGTATACTCATATTGACCTATCCAAGATGCTGTCAAACCATCTAAATCAATATGGCCGACTGTAGGCAAACATACTTTCGTGTCGCAATATCTTTGTTATAGCGGTCCAAGGATAATAAATATCCACTTTTATTCAAAACAGCCATTATTATTATTTAATATATCTACCAAAGATTATACTGCTGCTACGTAAATCAACAAAAAATACTTGTGTGCCTACAGGCGGCCATTAGAAATATGTCAGAAGTCACGTGTTCTGGAATGCCTAATAGGTCGCGTGCACGAAGACCGACCCTGGAGGCAAAATATTGAAACACAACCTCATTCTTCTGTGAATTATTGAAACACAACCTCACTTTTTTATTTGGTTACAGAGGAATCAGGAGGTTGAAATAGTTTTTCACAATATTTTGGCATACGAATCGTGTTTCTTGCGTTATTCATTAATTCGAGCATGCCTTCGCATTGTGCTGTTGTACAATGCACAAAAAATGCAGCAAGAGACTAGGGAATATGATTTTTCAGGTAAATAGTAATCTCACATAGTTAGCATTATGAAATGTTGTCATTCCTTATTAAAATTCCTTCTGCCTTCTGCCACTTCTGCAATACAAGCTAATGCTGCTAATAGATTGAAAATGTCTACAACACACACGATCGTCAGCATGTCAGACCAGTCCTACCGATTGATTGCATGAATCCGATCTTCTTGCATTATTCTAGAAATTTCAGGTATATTTCTATTAGCTGATCCTATTGCAGAAGGAACTCCGATGAGAAATCAGAGAAATAACCAAATTTCAAAAATGAAAACTATGTGAGTGACTATAGTAGGTACTTACTTTTGAATCATAATGTACCATCCGGATTCCTTCATCTTCCGCTGCAGTTTTTGTGCATTTTACAACAGCACAATGTGATGGCATTAGCGAATTGATGAATAGCGGAAAAATACGATTCATATGCCAAAATAGTTGTGGAAAACTATTTCCATCACTTGTAAACAAATATGTTTTGCCTCCAGGGTCGGTCATCTGACAGTTCTTGCACGCGACCTATTGAAATGGAAATGAATGAAATAAATAAATGGGGTTAGGTTAGGTTACCGTCACACTGTCAACAAAATGTCCACTTCGTTCGTTTATTGCCGATTGCTTCGATCTATCTGTGACCACGTGACTAGAATCTGCTCTAATCTGCGATGTAAATGCCCAACGTGACTATTGTGGAAATGACTTCTGAATGTCTCTCACTTTGTTTCCTAATTCCGGCTATTTCAAGGATTTCTGACGTGGCAGCCAACAAAATCTCGGACGTGAAAGAAATGACGTCGCTCGGTCTCCAGTACGCCATCGAAAAACACGTGGCCATCGACCTGAACGTCGACCTGCGCGCCCCCTACGTCATCATTCCCTACGCAGGCCGCTTCGACGGCTGCGAAAACGTCCTGGTCGTCAATCTCGGTCATCTTCGCGTCTACACCGATGGCAAACGATCGTCCACCGCCGAAGTGCGCAGACTCTATGAGCAGGGCAGAGACCGGAAGGACATCTTCGAGATGATGATGAAGAGCAGCTACGACAACTTCAAGCTGGAGCTGACCGATTTGCAAATGGTGGTCGCGCAGGGCGACGAGGATTGGTACAAAGCGGTGAAGGACTCGGATGTGTCCGATATGCACGTGCTCAATCCGCTGTCCATGTCCATAACGGTTAGTCCAATCAATAAACCATTGTCAACAGGTATTTTTCCACATGAATTGAAACACACCTCATTAAGGACAATATACAGGGTGTTACATAATTCAATACAAATATTTTAATGACATATTCCTGGGGTCAAAATAAGACTTTTTTTTCCTATAAACATGTGTCCTAAAATCCACCCCCTCCAAGCTACAGACATCGCGTGTAATGGTAAGTTGAGGAAAGTGAATCGATTGTGACATGACGGTTATGACATACCACAATGTCAGTTTGGCATAAAAGATATTAATTAATCATTAGTTACCAGAGACAAACATAATCATAGCTCACTAAGTTTTTTTAGTATAATAATTTGAAAATACACCCCTTTCATTTACTAGCGATTTTCTCTAAAACGGTTAGCTAGGTTAGGTTAGGTTAGGTTCCATGTGAGTGGGGCGAACACCTCCCCTCCACTGCGACCCCAGATGGGTCTATTGTGGCTCACCCCTAGAGGTTACAGTTCACCGTACAATCCACATCTTTTTACAAAGTTCATGGTTGAATTGGGTGAGATTTGTCTGAAATCGATAGGTTCTAGGTTGGTAAAGCCAAATGTGTCGAACCTTAGTCTTTCTAAGCTAGAGCATGAGCATAATATGTGTTCAGCCGTTTCGTCTTCCACACAACAGAACCGACAGTCCGTTTGTTGGTTCAGACCCATCCTTCCCAGGTGGTATCTTAGACGACAGTGTCCCGTAAGCAGTCCAGTCAGAATTCGCAGGTTACCCCTGCTCCATTCTAGGATCTGCCTGGTTATTTTTTCCGATGGTTTAGGCAGGAACGCCTTCGAATGGGTTAATCCTGGTAATTCGGACCAGTACGTGAGTGTTTTTCCCTCCGCCCAGCCCGAGATAGTTGTTTTCGCCGCACTTGCGGTGACCCCAAAATATGGTTCTGGTCCTATGAACACAGATTCGGTTCCCTGTTTGGCGAGGATGTCGGCTTTCTCGTTACCCTCCACCCCCTGGTGTCCAGGCACCCACAGCAAAGTGACTCTGTTGTTAGCACCCAGGCTTTCTAGGGATTCAATGCAGCTCCATACAAGCTTGGAATTTATCTTGCTGGAGCTCAGTGCTTTAAGAGCAGCCTGACTGTCTGATACAATACTGATATTTTTGTTTACTAGAGGTTTATTCGACAACTCTCTAGCACACAATTCAATTGCGAATACCTCCGCCTGAAAGATTGTAGCATATTTGCCGAGATTGACGGAAATTTCCGTCTTCGGTTTTCTGCTGAACACACCGGCTCCCACTCGGTTAGCTAATTCAAGAAAATGCAAGAGACTGAAATGTATGATTTTTTAGTGGCCAATTCAACGATGATGTTTGAATTCAAATTTTTTTGGAGGAAATAGAAAATGTTTGCCATCAAATCTGTATGCAACCCTCATTCACCCCTTTCGATTCGAGTTACCTTATTTTTGAATCAAGAAATAAATAGATCGTCTAAAAATACAAGTGCCTGTGAATTTTCAAAATATTTGATGCATAATTGTAGCCACAATTCAAAATTTAAGATTTTTTTCGCGCATCTTGCGATGTCTGTAGCTTGGAGGGGGTGGATTTTAGGACACATGTTTATAGGAAAAAAAAAGTCTTATTTTGACCCCAGGAATATTTCATTAAAATATTTGTATTGAATTATGTAACACCCTGTATAAAATACGGTAAATTACAGACCAATAGCTTTGTTGAGTATTTTTTCCAAAATACTTGAGAAAGTTATAACAAAGAGAATTGTTGACTTCATCAATGAAAAATATGGGTTTGACTTGAATCAATTTGGTTTTCGAGAGAAAAGTGGTACACAGTCAGCAGTTTTACAAGTAATAAATTTTATACAAGATAGACTTGACAAAGGGAATTATGTAGTAGCTATTTTTATAGACCTAAAAAAAGCATTTGATACAGTTGACCACAATTTTCTCCTGAAAAATCTTAATTCAATGGGCATCAGAGATATTGGAAACAATCTTTTGAAAACATATCTAGAAAAAAGAACTATCAGTACTAAAATCAATAATTGTGAATCTAAAAAACTATATATAAACAAGGATCAGTGTTGGGCCCAATTTTGTATCTTTTATACATTCAGAATATTTCAAAAATGAATTTAATAGAAATTGCTTTTGAAATATTTCTGGGCATAATAAAAAAGATTGTAAATGACGCGACACAAATCATTGCACTAAAATATAAAAAAAAGAAAAAGCAATGGATCACCCATGGATTGGTTACTTCTATTAAAACTCGCGATAGGCTCCATCGAATGCACGTAGCTCAACCAAATAGTGCTGAAGCTAGAAATAACTATATTAACTATCGAAACAAACTCAATAAACTAATAAAAAAAGCAAAAAGTGATTACTTCAAAAACGAGATTGAAAAAAACATAGGATCTGCAAAGCATATGTGGAAAGTCGTTAATGATTTCACTAACAACTATAAAGAGAAAAATTGCAAAATTGAAAAAATTATTCTCGAAGATGGAACAGAAATAACTAAGCCAGAGGATATCGCTAATAGTATGACAGATTACTTCTCAGAGATCGGTCCTAAGCTATCTTCAAAGATAAAAATACCTAATTATTATGATGAAGTTGAAAATAATCAGCAAATGAACTCCATTTACTTACGACCTACCTCGCTTGAAGAAATTAAAACCGAAATAATGAAATTAAAGAACAATAAGTCACCTGGTCCAGATGGAATCAGAAATGAATTGATTAAATTAATTGGTGAATATATATCTGAACCACTATGCCATATCTTCAATAAATGTATATCAAAAGGAATCGTACCTCAATCCTTCAAAAAAGCATTCATAACACCTATACATAAAAGTGGTATAAAAACTAGCATGTCAAACTACAGACCAATTTCGCTAACGTCGGCTATTTCTAAATTATTTGAGAGAATAATAAAGTGTCGCCTTATGGATTACCTTGAACAAAATCAAATAATTTCTGATAGACAGTACGGATTCAGAGAAAATCGGAGTACCCAAGATGCTTTAGCATATGTAACTTCGCTGTTGTACAAAGCTGTTGATAATAAGAAGGCATGCCTTGGTGTCTTTGTCGATTTAGCAAAGGCATTTGATACTGTTAGTCACGAGATTTTGATGGAGAAACTTGAACACATAGGCATAAGAGGTATTCCATTAAAGCTCCTCAAGAGTTTTCTGAGTGATAGACAACAGATGGTTAAGTTAGATAATATAGTGAGTAGTCCAAGAACGGTTTCCTGTGGAGTACCACAGGGAACTGTTCTTGGACCTGTGCTATTTATAATATATCTGAACTCATTACTTACCTCGGAAACCCAAGGTGTGATTGTCTCCTTCGCTGACGACACAGTTATATTATATGAGGCGGATTCATGGACAGCAGTAAAAGAAAAAGCCCAACAAGACCTGGAAAAAATAAGTAAATGGTTCAAAGTAAATCTGTTGACTGTGAACGTAACTAAAACCAATATCCTACCCTTTACCTCATATGAAAATAATCTACCGCCTTACAACTATATAGTTTTTGATGGACAGAATGTTACTATTGCAACCAGAGCAAAATACCTTGGTATAACAATCGACTCGTTCTTAAGATGGGACGGTCACGTTGACAACCTAAAAAAAAGATGCGTTCACTACTATACAAATTCTATCAGTGTCGATATATACTTCCTCTCAAAAACCTTAAAATCATTTATTTTGCTATTGCTGAGTCCCTCATAAGCTATGGAATAATTGGGTGGGGGGGAGTTCGAAAGACCATACTGGAACCTCTACAAATCCTGCAAAAAAGAATTCTCAAAATTATAACTTTTAAACCTGCATTATATCAATCTGACCAACTATACAAAGATTTAAGAATACTAGATGTGAGACAAATCTATGTGAAATCGGTTCTGATGTTCACATTCTCGAATAAATCAACTTACCTCACCAAACCGAACCACTCATATAACACGCGCAGTATGAAGATGAAAAATGTTTCCTTACCTAAAGCAAACAAAGCATTAGGGCAGCGGTCTCTCTTTTATACTGCTCCAAGATTCTATAACCTCCTTCCTGAATCTATCAGAAATATAAAATCCAAACTTGGTTTCAAAAGAAATATGAAAGACTGGATCCTCAAACAAGAGAGAACATTTTTCAATACAGTCGTTGAATGAATCAATCCTATCATGCAAAACTTTTTATGTTAAAGTCAATTAAATGCATTCTTACACTTACCCTACTTACTTTGAATACTATTATATTAGAGACTTTATTACTACACTTTCTCCTCAGTCGATTTATTCACTTATGTGAATAAACTTCTATTCTATTCTATTCTATTCTATTCTATTCTATTCTATTCTATTCTATTCTATAGGAAACTATGCCATATATGCAGATGACACAGTACTTTTATTTGAAAACAAAAACCCTGTAATTTTAGAAAACAACATAAATGAGGATTTGAAAAAAATAGAAGAATGGCTATACTCCAATCTTCTCTCCCTTAATTCTAATAAGACCCAATATATAAGTTTCCATCAAAGAAACATTGATTTGAATATTAGAATAAAAAATGAAAGATTGAAACAAACTGCCTATACCAAATACCTTGGTATTTGGATTGATGAAAAGTTAACATGGGACAAGCATATTGGCATACTCAAAGAAAAAATTTCCCCCATAGTTGGTGCCTTGAGAAGATGTCCAAAACTTATCCCAAATATTGCAAATACCGTTCTTTACTCTCACATCCTTGGTAAAATGAACTATCTCATAAATATTTGGGGTTCATGTTCCAAGAATAATTTTAACAAAATATCTGTACTATATAAAAAAGCATTATAAGTACTGTATCGTCTTCCATATGACACCCCATCAAATCAACTTTATGAAGAAACAAATACATTTTCTTTGGAAGAGCACTATCTGATACATACTCTCAGAATTTCTTTTGATATCATCAACAAACACCTTAAATCTAACTTCATATTGGTAAGGAATTCTCAAATCCATGAACATCATACTAGACAATATGACTTGTTTCATCTTGATGCTGCTAATTCTACACTTGGTCAAAAAGAGTTCACTCACGGAGCTATCTCAAAATTCAATAAATTACCTGATAATATTAAGAGTTGCACAAATATCACCCAATTCAAAATCAAAGTCAAGAAACATATCCTCTTGCAAAGAGAAAATCAAACCTGAGTGAATGATTTCTCATTCACTAATTTATATCATCATGTCATAATTTACTTTTCATGATTCTGTTGTTTATTTCAATAACTGTAATTTAATTTGATAACGCATGAATAATCTCATACCAGATATGAATCTGTCTGATTATTCATGTTATTCCATTGTAAATGTTAATGATTATATTTATATTTATATGAGATGCAATGTAATGTTTATAGCAGAGAATGAAATAAATAAATGAATAAATATAAAAAATTCAGAACGACCGGACCTTTTGCAAGCACGACCCCCTTTTCATATTTAACTTTACTGAACTAGGTGTCCAAGTGCCTGATCGTGGAGGATCCTCGATTGCCTTTGAATAGAGTGAGAGGGGAGTTGCCACACATCGATCTGATTGTGTCTGAAGCTAGACTGATGTTGCTGCTGTCGCTGATTGCTAGTATCCAACTTCCGGGCAGTGCTGTTCCTGAACCTCAACCACTATCGGTATGCAGATTTTTTCTGTTTTCCACATTTTTGAAACCTATCTAAGGTGGAAGCTTTGGCCAAACAACAATATTTGTCTCTGGTAGAAGTCCATGTTTGCTCTAAGTGGAATGGAATTTTTCAGAAGGAAGAAGGAAAGCGCAAAGAAGAAATGTTCAAAATTGAAAGACTGAAAATTACATACAATATCATAAATAAAAGATTGAAATCTCATTTTATTTTAACACGAAACAATGAAATTCATAATAACTAAACTAGATAACATGGTTTATTCCATCTTGATATCGCTAATTCTTCTATAGGCCAAAAAAGATTCACCCACGCTGTTCTCTTGGAATAATACAACAAATTACCAGATAATATAAAAAATTGCAGAAATACAATAAAATTCAAATACCAACTTAAAAATTTTATCATTTCTGAACGAAATAGATGATTTTTTTTTCATCTTTTGATTCATATTCAAACTGATTTTTGCTCACCAATATGAAATGATTTGTCAAAATTTAATACTCGATGTTTTCAAATATTAATTATTTATGAGTTTATTTATTACAGAACTTGATTCTGACTGGAAGTCACATTTTCAATAAACAAATAAATAAATAAAAGTCATCTCCACAACTTTAATAGTTATGTAGTCAATCAAAGGGGCATGTTTCTGACTTCGTCCATCTTCAGCAGTATTTTAGAAGACTACAAGCAAAGGCATGTGAAAATATACATATTGTTATAAAAATCAAAAATTGACTTACATGGAGGTGAACATTATATGAGTCCCCAGAAGGGACTTGACTTTTGATTTTCATAAGTGCACGTTCTTATGGCACGGAAACCTTCATTTTTAATGAAAACCCGTTTTTTCTCAAACAATATTTATTAACAATCACGATATTATGATGACAGACATCGGCATCCATTTTCAAAAACATATAAAGTTCACCTCCATGTTAGTCAGTTTTTGGTTTTTATAGCAATATGTATATTTTCACATCACTTTGCTTGTGGTAACTTCAGAAATACGGCTGAAGATGGACTTTTATAAGTCTAAACATATCACTTTGATTGACTACATCATTAATAAAGTTATGGAGTTGCCTTGTAGCTTTTCTTCTTTCTTTTGGAAAATTATTTGTGATACTTTGATGGTCCGGACTGCAAAGGTAGGTAGAGAGCTACTAAATGCTAGGTAAGAGTCATTTGTCTGTCAGTCTTGATCTGAATCTGGCCAATTGAAGGTCAATCCGAGAGCGTTACCTAGATTGGTCAAACTAGAAGATCCACCAAAACTAGGTTCAAGGATCATCTAGCCAATATGGCTCAATTGAATCTTATGAGTCTAATTTTCCAACATTATCAACCTCTTGAATCAATTATTCTATGTTCTTGATTTCTCTTTATGATTGTGGTTAAACATAGGCTCTGTTTATTTTCTTGATCTGTCATTCTTGTAATGTACTAGAGAAATGCTGTATCTACTAGTTGTGAAATATTCCCAAGTTTGGCCTACATTTATTTTTCAACAATGGGGAAGTTTTCTTTATTGAGGTTTTCATCTCACTGTGAAGTTTGTAAAAAATAATATATACGTATTTTTTCTTTTTTTCTTAAGATCAAATTTCACTTCAAAAAAAAAATTAATAAAATAGGAACTTGCCTCCTCCACCATATTCATCAATATGTCTAGATTTCCGGAAATTGTTCTTTGAATGCATAATAACTATATCATAATAGCAATGGGACATGATATGTTCTTCAATCCTACTTTGTCAAGTATTATCAATAATTCCCATAAATCTCTCATTGGCTGAAGGAAGTTGATTACTAATAAAGATAAATATTATCGATAGTATCTATAATTTCTCACTATCGTTATATTACAATATGTTATTATTCATAACTTGTCAGTCATTTTTTTGCTAATGAATTCGTTCCTTAATAAAATGGATCGATTTTCTAGGGAAGTTGCAGATTATATCTCGCAACAGCGCCTAATACTTCGAGTCCGTCCACACCACTTGAAATACTGACAGGCACAATAAGAGGAAGCAGCCTGGGTGTCGGCTTCATTCTTTACTGACCGAAAATTAGACAGGATAGTATCATTGAATGTAGCCGATAGTGATTCACTGATTCAATGATATTTCCGTTTAGGATCGAGCTCTATTCGAGATATTTCAATGCATAAATAACAAAACCATAGCCTGTCAGAATGAAGCCAACTACCTTCTGCATTCCTGCCCCGAGTGCATTTGTGGTTATGTATGTCTTCGTTTACCAGTTTAACTTCTTCTATTTTTTTCATTCGTTAGCTCTTCGCTAGCTATATTCTTCACCATCAGCTATTTTCAGACTAGATTCAGAAATTGCTTTAATTTGAAAATGAAACCGACTTGGACTTTATCGGTCGCCATTCTGTACAGCCTGGACATAAAACTGTAAAGTTCCTAACTTATTTCATGAAAATTCACACTCGAAGGAAACTTTCCCGTTATTTGAATTCATGATTTTCATATGTCTACTAGCCATACACGTACGTATTATGAGTATTTTCAATATCTTTTGCAGAGAGCTAAGGGATCTAGTATGATGCTCCTCAAATACAAAGAAATGCAAGAATCCGCAAAAGCCACCAAACAGTTGATCAAAGATTCACCGGAGTCAGATTCCAAAGGAACTGTCCAATTCACAACCCTAGAAGCAGAATTTATTTTATCAGGTATTTTTTGTAACCACCCGCATTTGCTTACCATCGCATCCTCTAATTTTTGTAGAATGTTCGCTGACAATCAATCAGCAAGAATCGATTGATTCTAAGGTGACCGAATTGGCTGTATTCAAAGTGAATTCATTGAAGTGCGAATTGAAACAACAAACCTACGTCACCAATGTGTCATTGTTGTTGGGTAGCGTTAGCTTGAAATTGGACCGTTTGGGCGAGAAGATAGACGTCATAAACACCCCTTTGTCTGGCAACAAAGAGGATCAATTATTCGAAGTCAAATTTAGTCAGGTGAGCTAAATATTTGTCTCTTTTCCATCTGCCATTTTGAAGTGAAAATGTACCTTTCACTTTCACTTTTCAGGTTTTATTATACCAAAGATAAAATGCCATCCCAGATTGCTCATTTTCATAATCATCTTGAGCAACTTGATTTTTTGACAGCTAGCACTTGGGGTCTAGCGGGAATGATTACAGAGATATAGTAGTGTTCAAAATCGAGAGTTTTCAACTTTAATATTTTTTTGTGACTAAACTTTTCATTATCGGTCAAAACGGCTCACATGTCCGGTTCTTAATTGTATATTCACTATCTACTGACATTTAATAATTGGAACAGATACAGGGTGATCAGAATTCTGAATCTTGAACCACCCTGTAAATGTTCCTATCAAATGTCAGTAGATAGTGAATCAAAAGTTGAGATGGGGACATAGAAGCCATTTTGACCAATAATGAATAGTTTTGACACAAAAAAATCCTAAAGTTGAAAAAATTTTGAACACCCTATATCTCTGTAATCATTCCCGCTATACCCCAAGTGTGATGTATTGATGAAATCAGCTCTTCAGGAAGAATCTAAAAATACAATGAAATACAGGGTGTTCCATTTGAAAAAATCAAGTAGTACTCTGTAGATCGTTTGTTCCGAGCACCCTGTATTTTCTGATGCAACGGGAAAAAAATTTTTGAAAAATCATTTCAGATTACTCCTCAAATTTTTAAATCGGTCCAAAAATAAGTGAGCTAGAGGGGGGGGACATTTATGGTGAATCACCCTGTACCAACCTTGTAAAAAAGTTTTGTTTTGTAAATAGAATCATTAAACTTTGCCTTCTTAGGTGGACGAAAAGTGTCCAGAGCTTCATTCAACCTACAAATCGTGCGAATGCAGCTTGCTACTGAACTTCAGAGTTCTGAGCGTCGTTTTGCATCAAGAAGGCCTTCTGTCATTGCTGAAACTCAGCACTGCCATACAAGATCAACTCAGTCAGGTCAGCCAAGACAGAGACAGGGTGGCGACCACCAGACAAACCAGTTATTTGTCTGTCAGTGACAGTAGAGATGATGCTCCAGAAAAAATCCTAAGTATGCATCATAGACATATAAAAAGATAGGGAAGACATAACATTTCATTCATAAAACAGTATTTGTTTACAATCATACATAGTTTCAAAGTTTCAAATAAGTTTTAAAGAGATGGCTTTAAAAAATGGCAACGATGTAAACTGTGCGTCAATGTTCACACTATTCTTCACCAGTCGCGTAGGTTAAGCGAAGGGCAAGACAATTTTACTACAATGACAACGTTATTATACCTATTAGAAAATGTTTGGGTCTAATTTTTCAATTTCAATACCAAATATTCATAGTACCTCAGGTACTTGGTATTGGTAGGTTGGATGGTGGATCTATTGTGCCCTATCTGCTTCTGATATATCAAGGATTTCTTGTTCATAGCAGCTCCTCAAGATTCAATTTCTTCAGGAATTTGAGGATTTTGGGGGATCTAGTTGTGGTATTTCTTCCACAGTCAGCTGGTGTGTTCCCAGTATGTTCAATCTTTTGTGATGTACAGCGTCACAATCCATCAGTATGTGATGAGGTGTTTCTGGTTCTTCCTCACAGAATCTGCAGGTGCCGTCCTCCTGTAAGCCTAGCTTCCTGAGGTGTTCTTTGAGTCTGCAATGCCCCGCTAGAAATCCCGTTATTGCTTTGAGACTTCCTTTGCTGAGGTTTATCAGTGTCTTAGATCTTTCTCGGTTGAAATTTCCGAGGAGATTTTCAGCCTGCCGCAGTCCTGTTAGTCTTCTCCGTTATCTGGCTCTCAAGGCTCCTTCCGCCTTTTCAAGTTCTCCTTGGAAATAGAAATTCCTAATGGCTCTGGTCCGACAAGTGGCATTGAGGCCCTCCACTTCGATATGCCCTGGCACCCAGAGGAGGATCACTTTATTGTTACTGTCTAGCTCATTCAATTTGCTTATGCATTCCCATATCATCTTCGAGTTGATGTTAGAAGAGCTTAACGCTTTGATGGCTGCTTGGCTTTCGGATAAAATCGCGATATCCTGCTTTCGGTATTTCCTGTCTAGGTTGAACTGGATGCATCTTTCTATGACGTGTATTTCCGCTTGAAAAATGCTGGGAAATTGTCCCATGGTTTCGAAGTATTTGGTGCGAGGCCCAAAGACTACTGCTCCAGTTCCCTCGGGTGTTTTATACCCGTCCGTATACCAAGTAATGGTATTCCTTTCCAGCGCTTTGATGGATTCTATGCTCCATTCGCGCTTGTTGATCAGTTACACTTGGAAGTTCTTCTCAAAACTGAGCTTCTTTATGATTTGGTCTGTTGGAAGATCGGCGAGGTGTGCAATCTCAGTGGGGGGTGGGCCCCTTGCACTGTGCGTTTTCCCTCTTAGTCCGACCCTGGCCAACCTGAGATGTGCTCCATAGCAGTTCTCCTCAACATGATGTGTTCAGGTGTGAGGTCCAGAATGACCTCTAGTGCTGCTGTTGAGGCTGATCTTATTAAGGGGCAAGACAGTTTTACTACAATGACAACGATATTATACCTATTAGAAAATGTTTGGGTCTAATCTTTTAATTTCAATACCAAATATTCATAGTACCTCAGGTACTTGATTCATCATTCATTGGAATTTGAACAAAAGAAACAACGTTTTTTGCCATAATTTATTAAACTAAACCTGCGATAAGCATATTCTAACTAACCGTCGAAATACCAATTTGGGATTCGAATGCTGAACTTTTTCACAGTCCACGCATTGTTGAGCCATAGTTAGTTTTAGATATTATGCATATGTTATATTTATTATGTAAATTGTTCTCAATGAGAAAATGTGAACAATTTCGTCTCCCCTCTTTTTATATGTCTATGGTATGGGTGTTTTTCCTGAATGTTTTCGATTTCTATTTTCTTATTTTTTTTTTAGAGAAAAAGAAGAAAATTCCTGTTGTGGTTTCGACGATCAAGTTCAAGTTGATAGCTGCGTTGAAAGAGTTGAATGTCAAATTTGCTACTGATGCTACTGACATATCTTTCTGTGCTATAAGAGGAATTGACACAACTATCATTGTGAAGGATTCTTATACTCAAGTTAACGCTAGACTGCAGGAGATTGCTGTGATAGATCTGAACGAGCAGACAATTCATAAATTGGTACTATTTTTTATATGTGTGTCAAATATATCCCGCCATTACAACCAGGAGAAACTTTGTATTCACATCAATAGTTTTTTAGATATTGTCAAATACAGAAGGAGTGGCTATTACATCACAAGTTGTGATGAACAACAATACAGATGTTACTGATAAACCTGACATACAAGTAAACGTCAACTTGGGAGAAATGAGGATAGTCTTTTTGAATTGGTTTGTCACCAATATGTTGGTAAGTCAAGATATATATTCAGTTATGAAAAAAATTGATCAATTATTTAATCTACCATGCCTTGAATGTGCCAGATGCTCCTTGAATATTGTTTCATCAATTCTCCTAGTTAGACCTATGTACGATTTCCTGCAATAGTTATAACTGAATTCCTCATTTGTTCCGAAAGTTGCAATCTTATATACAGTGGTCAAATATGGAAACAACACATCTGAATATTCTAATTTTTAATAATACTTTATAATAATTCACCCGTATTCATTTTATCTCATTCGATTCCTAATAGTTTTTCAGCTTCTTCATAATGGATAAGTTTTCTATATTGAGATTTTTATTTCTCCGTGAAGTATATGAAGAATTATTAAATACGTATTTTTTTCTTCAATAGGCTGAATTCACTTCAGAAAAAAAAAACGAGGAAATAGTTTCGGCTCCTTCACCATTCTGCTGAGCTAATACGGGATTCTGCTAGCGCGACTGCGATGCATCCGTTTCCGTTTATCTGTTTGGGTATTAAGACATTGACTGCATTGAGACTTTATTTTAATGTTCGGTACTTTATATGAAATGATATTCGTATTTTGATTTCCTGATTAGTCGAAAAGTTTATACCAAATTATTCATGAATGCCTGATGAAATGCCTAATCGAGACAGGAACATTGATGTATATTTCAATAATATCTGATAGGTACCTCCATGAAGGTATCCTGAATGGATTTACTTTGATTTCAAGAAATCACTATTTTATGCCTTGCAACCGCGCCCAAATCCACCTTTACACCAAACTGTGCGATAGCTGCGAATTTATTGAGGTTATGCTTCAATTGTTTATTGTTGCTTGCGGTTTTTTACTTTCTCCTTGATTCACGGTCTAGTATTATATAAGTATGCGCTTTTTTCGTTGTATTCGCACTTGTTGATGGTAATCTTGTTGCTGTGATTCAAGTTGAATTGATTAGTTCGTCAGGATTGTAATATTTTCGGATATCACTGATGGGCAAGCATTAATATTTCCGATATTTTTCAATCCATTAATTTTTCGGCATATACTCGTAATCATCATGAGTAAGCCTTCAAAAAAAGTGACGTTGATTTTTTTCTTCGTTTTCAGTTCGGCCTTGTTCGGAGATTTTTATCTCACAGCCAAAGTCATTACAACCATGTTCACACTAGACTCACTTCTCAGTTTTATGTCTACGCTGTACAGAATGGCGATCGATAAAGTTCAAGGTCCCAAGTCGTTTTTATTTTCAAAATTCCAATTTTCGGGGCGGCAAACTGTGACGTCAATTCTGAACGAATGAAAAACGAATAAAAATATTTAAGAAGAAGACAACTTGGCGTGGTTATTGAATATCATGAAAAGATAGAACTAACAAAACAAATATTAACTGTAGACAGGCTAACGAATAACTGGAGATCAAAAATTTACCCAAGTGAAACTGGTAAGCAAAAACATGGTTATATATGTATTCACAATCAGATCAGCTCTTGCGGTGTGCCTGTCAGTATTTTGTGTGGTGTGGACGGGCTCAACATATTATGCGCTGTTGCAAGATGAATAATCTGCTACAAATCCTAGGAAATAGATCCGTTTTATAAAGAAACGAATTCATTTAAAAAAATATGACTGACAAGCTATGATTATCATTTTGTAACATAACGAAAGTGGACAATTATAGATACTATAGCAAAATATCATAATTTGTCTTTATTAGTAATCAACTTCATCCAACAAATGTGAGATTTATTATATTTATTCATAATGTCCGACAAAGTAAGATTCCCATTTCTGTTATAATATAGTTAATAAAGTATTCAAATAATATAATTTCCAGGAATCAGAAAGTAGGTCATAGGAATGGTGAAGGAGCCAAGTTCTTCCATTTATTTTATTCCAAAGTGAGCTGTTGATAATTCGTATTGATAGTCCAGTCATTATATCCAAATAACGGACCTTACCCGTGAATAATTTTTTAGTTTTTTTTTCATATGTGTCTCGGGGGGGTCACTGGGAGTGTAAATTCAAAATGGCGACCAAATCAAGCTTTTGCGTATGTTTTTTCTTTGTTAAAAAACGATTTTTCTTGAATAACTCGGCTATTTTTGATTCTACAGAAAAAGTTTGGGAACAAAAATTGTAGTAAATTTGATTCTCTACAAGTTTGGTCATACAATTTTTCTGATAGGATCGATATTTTGTAAATTAAACCTGAAAAAAGCGACAAATTCGAAATATTTTCATTATCTCGTTTATTTTCAACTTTACGGCATAAATGAACAGAAACAAACTTGTAGAGAATAAAATTTTGGACAAATTTTGTCTTCACCTGTTTTTCCGAAAATCGATATTTTCGGAATTAAACCTAAAAAAAAAACGACTCATTCGAAATATCATCATTATCTCGTTTATTCTCAACTTTACACCATAAATGAGAAGAAACAAACTTGTAGAGGATCAGATTTTGGACAAATTTGGTCTTTACCTGTTTTTCCGAAAAATTGCGGAGGAATGTGTGGGTGTCGTGAGGCAGGACTGAAATGTTCTGTCTTATGCCACAACTGCGCTGGGCAGACTTGCGATAACGATAACGTCTCACAATTGCGAGCCGTCAATGAAGAAGACAGTGATGATGACAACGACCTCGACGATCCCGCACCATTAACACTGAACCTTAACGAACGTGAAACTGGACATTACCAATTGACCGAAGAAGAAAGAGAGGATATGGATTTGGCAGGACCATCAGCTAAGAAACCCAAGAAAAAAAATAGTTCCGGAACCATATTTTCACACCGACATGACAGACAAGCTACCTGCGCGGAATAACCTCTTCATTTATGCCGTAAAATGCGAAGCATTGGAGATAATGATAATCTTTTGAATTTGTCGCTTTTTTCAGGTTTAATTCCCAAAATATCAATTTTTGGAACAAAAACTCAGTAACCAAAATTGTTTGGAATTTGATTCTCCACAAGTTTAGTCCTATTCATTTATGCCGTAAAGTTGAAAATAAACGAGATAATGGAAATATTTCGAATTTGTCACTTTTTTCAGGTTTAATTTACAAAATATCGATCCTATCAGAAAAAATTTAAGAACCGAACTTGTAGAGAACTAAATTCACTACAATTTTTGTTCCCAAACTTTTTCTGTAGAATCAAAAATGGCCGAGTAATTCAAGAAAAACCGTTTTTTAACAAAAAAACAGTTTTCGAACATACGCAAAAGCTTGATTTGGTCGCCATTTTGAATTTACACTCCCAGTGACCCCCCCGAGACACCTATGAAAAAAAAACCACTAAAAAATTATTCACGGGTCAAAGTCTATAATAACTGGACTATGACAGAAATGTACGAAATTAGTTGTAGGCCAAACAAGAAAACCCATTATAACGGGGTTCAAGGATCATCTTGCTCATTCTGTGTGTGGTAGACTAGTATATTCCAATTCGATTTGTTCCCTGTTCAACAAACACACGTTTCCAGAACTTCTTGAACCAATTCCAAGACGCCCAACAAAAAATCATCGAGGCCTCACAAGCCGCGGCCCAATCAGCCAAAGAGAACATGAAAGACGTGTACGCCAAAGCGACGAAAATCTCGCTGGACATCCGCCTGAAGGCCCCCATCGTGGTAGTACCAGTAGATTCGCAAAGATACGATTGCCTCATCCTCGACATGGGGGTGATAACTCTCTCTAACACTTTCCTTACTTTAGATGTTAAGAACGAGGAGGGGTTCCCGGCGATCGTAGATGATTTGAAGGTCGATCTGACTGATTTGAAGATTTCCAGGGTGCAGCTCAATGAGAAGAGCGAAGTTCAGTCGGAGAGCAGTCTGTTGGAACCGTTGACTTTCACGCTTATTGTCAAGAGGAACTTGTCGAGCAGCTGGTATATATCGATTCCTGACATTGATGTTTTTGGGAAGATTGGTATAATTAAGGTGAGCCATCTAATTCCTTGGGATATTCCTTGAAGGACATTTGTAAGTCATGGAAACCATCCATCCTTCTCAAAGTGGTCCAGATTTTTTCAAAGAATAAACAACAAAATACACAAAGTCGGTCGACCACAAATTATATTACACAATTACTAGTGTGACTAGTTTCGGCTAAACAGCCATCTTCAGACACAAGTTGAATAAAGTACCTGTAAGAGATGAAATTACAGACGAACAATAAGTTTGCTGGGGAAAAAGCATACCTAGGCTATGTGGTGATTACAAATTCAACCAATAAAAATCAAGCGGTTATATCAACGTAAATAATCAGTCCGGTAAGGGGGTGATTAAATTTTTATAACGGCTGAACAGCCAAAAGAACCTTATAATCATGAGGTTCAACATTGGCACGAAAAAATTTTTAAGATATTTAAATTCACTCAACTGAGTTTCATCTTGAATGGCTATTGAAAGACAGAAATCCAAGAATCGCCGAAGTAAGCAAATGACAGTGACAGCATGACAAGACTAAATGACAGTGACAATTATACAAACTAAATGACATGACAAAATCATCACAAGGTACAGAAAACTATTTGGCAAAATAACAAATTATTGCAAAGGAAACTATGGGTTAATTAACTAATCTCCTTGTAACAAAAATATGACGTACTTCTCATTGTGTTGTTGTTTTTTCTATGAACATTTGTCATGGTCCAAACATATTGAATCGATCAGAAAAAAAAATATCTCCAGTAATCGGAGTACTCTACAGGATCAGACACCAAATCACTTTGAAATACTTAAAATGTATATATTTTCTCTTGGTTCATTCGAAATTACATTACTTGATTTCAGTTCCGGGTCCAGCTAGGTTATCAATTATAAAGCCAATCAAAATTTTTCAAAACAAAGTTATTTAATGTATATACAAATTAGATTACTTATAATAATAATAATAATAATAATAATAATAATAATAATATCGCTTTTATTGGTACAGGTTATAGAGATACAATACAAAAATGATGAAATAATGACAAAAAAAAAAACAATATCTATACCCTGCAGAGAAAAAGGCAAAGTTCGCTCTACTTCAGGTTGGTTGCCCACCTGAAGTAGTAGTTAACCATGAACATGTGTGCGCATACATGCACATACGATGCATTCATACAGATATACAGTGTGTCCCACTTACCATGCTCACCATTGGTATCTTTTTAACGGTGAGAGATACGAGGTCGGTTAAATGACACCAAATGTGGAGTTTGTCAAGGCCAACTATAATGTGAAAAAATATTTTCATAAAATCTATTCGTTTTTGTTTTATACGCAAAAAACAGATTTTGATCATTTTCATGTCTCCTCCGTAACTTCTTTATTTATGAAAATATTCAAATAGGAATTTCACATTCTCATAGCAGTTTTTCGAAGTGATTTCGAAAAAAATATGAAATTTATACCAAGTCTTCTAGAATTTGAGATATCAGCACCAACTTCAGCTTTTCAAATGTAGGTCATAGCTCACTATGACTCAGTTACAAATAACTTTTTTTTCTCTTACAGATGATATGTCGCAGTAATAGTTTTGTGTTGATAACAACGGAGTTATCGTCATTTTTATACAAAAACAAAAAATTATTTGGAAGCCGCCATCCTGAATTTATGAATTTTAACAAAAAAAATCGTGATCTCCGACCTCAAAAACCCCCACTTACCAATTTTGAATGGAATCGGACCAATTCTTGTCCGCCATCATGAAGCAGCCATTTTTTTAACTTCAACAAAAATTCCATAACTCCGATCAACTTGAAATTTCGCAGGTGTTCATAATTCCGGTGACAATACATTATGGAATTTTTGTTGAAATTAAAAAAATGGCTGCTCCAAGATGGCGGACAAGATTTGGCCCGATTCCATTCAAAATTGGTGAGCGGGGGTTTTCGAGGTCGGAGATCATGATTTTTTGGTTAAAATTTATAAATTCAAGATGGCGGCTTCCAAATGATTTTTGTTTTTGTATAAATGACGATAACTCCGTTGTTATCAACACAAAACTATTACTGCGACATATCATCTGTAAGAGAAAAAAAAGTTATTTGTAACTAAGTCATAGTGTGCTATGGCCTACATTTGAAAAACTAAAGTTGGTGCTGATATTTCAAATTCTAGAAGACTTGGTATAAATTTCATATTTTTTTCGAAATCACTTCGAAAAACTGCTATGAGAAGAAGTTACGGAGGAGACATGAAAATGATCAAAATCTGTTTTTTGCGTATAAAACAAAAACGAATAGATTTTATCAAAATATTTTTTTCACATTATAGTTGGCCTTGACAAACTCCACATTTGGTGTCATTTAACCGATCTCGTATCTCTCACCGTTAAAAAGATACCTATGGTGAGCATGGTAAATAAGACACACTGTATACACACCTATACATACACAAACACACACACATATACTAATACTACATAAATTAACACAATATCCAAAAAAACACTAGCAGTATAATATATAATAATAATAATGTCGAAGCATGTACAATACAAAAATAAGATTCAACAAATTGACAAGGATCCATCCAAAATTGCAAGTTTAATTTTTTTTCTTTAAAGGACTCACTGAGTAAATTCTTCGCACATCAAGGGGAAGGTTATTGTAAGTTTTAGCAATATTGTAAGAAAATGAAGATTTGTACAATGAACTTTTATGTTTTGGAATGGTTAGATTGTGTTTATGACGTAAATCAACATTATGTGCTTGACTTCGTGCCTGAATTTTATAGAATAGGTAGGCAGGTGTCTTTGTGGTAATAATTTTATGATAAAACGAACATCTGTGAAGGAAGCCTCTCTCTTTCATGTTCAACCAACCTATTTCTTTCAAAGAGGCTGAAACATGATCACGTTTGCGCAGGCCACAGATGAGACGAACACACGAGTTTTGGATTAGTTGTATTCGTCTGCTCTCAGATTCGAGCAGGACTGGACCATAAATACAGTCGGCATGATGGAATTTTGATAACACTAACGAGTCACAAAGAAGTATTTTACAGTTTTATTCGAAATTTTTCTATTGGAGAAAATCATTTTGAGACTACAGAATGCTTTTTGAATAACTGAAGAAACATGTTTTTTGTATCTAAGATCGATGTCAATGTGTAATCCTAAACTCTTTTCATGTGAAGAAAAATTGAGGGAAGTATTATCACAGTTCACAAGAGGTGCAACACGTTTTTGAGCTGCTTTTTTACCGAATAGTAATGCTTTTATTTCGATGGATTAATTTTCAAGCAGAATTTTTTTGACAGAGATGCAAGTTGCTGTAGATCTTCGTTAATTTTATTGCAAGCAGAATCAACATCTTGCTCATGAAAAGAATGGTAGAGTTGGGTATCATCCGCATAAAAATGAGTTGTGCATGTTTTGATACTCTTGTGAAGTTGAGAAGTATATAGGGTGAACAGTAAGGGCCCGAGTATGGACCCCTGTGGAACGCCACAGACCACTTCAAGGAAAGTCGAAGAATTCCGCTCAATAACAACAGACTGAGATCGATTAGATAGATAATTCCGTATTAGTTCACATGATCCCGCCGAAAACCCTAAATGTACCAGAATGGCAACCAGTAGCTGATGACATACCATATCAAAAGCCTTCGAGCAATCAATGAGGACAAGAATACATAATTTATCATTATCTATTGCGCTATATATATATCATCTGTTACTTTGGCCAAGGCTGTGGCAGAACTATAGCCCTGCCGGAATCCAGATTGATGAACAGGAAATAAGTTATTGGAACGAGAGTGATTTCTAATTTGTCTATCCATAATTTTTTCGAGTCCCTTTGACAAGGTACATAAGATACTTATTGGAACGAACAAGAAATCTGTATGAATCTAGGCAATTGTTATATACTAACTCCATTTACAAATTCAAAATGATAATAATTTGAATTTATATAGTGAATGTCCCATCAACTTGATAAACGTCATGCTGTGTCATAGATATGTTTCATCTTCAACTTCATTGCATTTTCAAATTTTACATCATTTTCTGAATCCAATGATACCACATAAGTGACATTTCAAACTTCAAGTTAGTTGGAATTTACTATAGATAACATGTTCTTAGGGTGCCTCAAATTCTGCCACTAGAAGGCACATCTTGAAGCGTGAAGAGCGTTTTTTTTTTCATTTCTAGCTGTTACTCAGCAAAGCCGATTACCAAATGATCATGGACATCCTGAGTGGAAATTTGGCAGAAGGTAAACAAGATGCTACCACTGTGGACGTACAATCGAACACGCAAATGCTCGCGCAAGCATCCACTACCGTGGTCGATACCCATACCGGAGCGGAAATGACGAAAGAGATGTGGAAGAACAAACAGAAGACTCACATCTTCCTGAAATTCGCCTTCAGTATGGACCATTTCATCATAGACATGTTTATAGGAGGTGCAACTAAAGTAAGTATATTTCTCTATATTGCCTACTAGCAGACCTCGCAAACGTTGTTTGGCTATACAGGGTGGGCCACCAGTAACGCCTCGGTCTCTAGAAGGCTAACCACTTATCTTCTTGGAATTTTTTCTCTCTAGGAAGTTGCATGTCAACATAGGCTACCATTTAAAATTATTTCGGAAACATACAGGGTGTCCCCAAAAACCATAAAACACTGAAGTTAAAAAGGAATATTCTCAGATAAATTATGAACATACAAAATTGGATATATATTTATATAAAGCAATACATTGAGAATTCGCATTCTCTATGTGATGATGATATTTACTCTTCCTCAGTTGATTCAATAGAAAACAACTACTTTCCTGGCTATGTGCCACGACGAACATTGAATTATATCTATTGAACACACACGATAAGAGTTTGAAAATAAAATATAAAAACTTCTGAAATTGAGAATTTGCATTCTCCTTCAGACAAAAATATGTATATGCACACATCATTCTGAATATTCAACAGAAAATAACTACTTTCCTGGCTATTTGCCTCGTCGAACATTGAATTATATCTGATGAACATTCAAAAGGAGAACATGAAAAATAAAGAATAAAATCTTCCGAAATTGAGAAGTGACATTCTTCTTCAAATCGGATGAATAATATGATGTATAATGATATAGAAATATAACTTACCAATATATTCAGCATTGAAATGAAAATTGAATCAACTGAGAAAGAGTAAATATGGGGTCTAGCAGTTATAATTACTGAAATATAGGGTGTGAAAAATCGAGTTTTTCCAAGTTCAAGAATTTTTTGTGTCGAAACTATTCATAATTGGTCAAAACGGCTTACATGTCCCTATCTCAACTTTTGATTAACTATCTACTGATATTTAATTGGGACATATACCGGGTGATCAAGATTCTGAGTTCTGCACCACCCTGTATCATGATTTGTCTCCTTCTATAGATTTTTGGTAACAACAGATAGGTACATCAGTACGTAGATACTTTACATATTATGAGAGAATACCCCCCAAACTATAGCTCTCTGGATAACCGACAATCCTCCCGAAAGTTTCCTTCATAGGACTTTCGAATGGTTTACTAGCGTCCCTCAAGCGTCTATTCAAATTTTTATTTATTTTTCTGAATCGAAATAAACGGTGAATATCTACAAATATTTATATTTAACCCCTCTGAAATCCTTCTGAAAATTTAAGAAGACTGGGTCCATCTCGCAACAGAAAACCGATGGATGAGAGGATATTATGTTCATTGTTTTTGTGTTCATGTTATCCTACCGATACTCTGAATAGCTATCGTCTTTAAACGATCTTCTGATGACAGCTTGTCGTTCGCTACCGACTGTCAAATCGGTAGTGAATTCGATTCAAGAAAATTATCGTTATTTAACGATATGTCATTCACTAACGACACGTAACGATAGCGTTATGAGATACTGACTAGGCCTGTTAATCCACAAAGTCCTCAAGTAAACAAAGGTGTATGTGGTTTGTTTGCCAACCAGACGCCATTTTGAGATTATTTGACAGGTCGTTGGATTGCCTAATCAAATCAAATCAAATCAAAATCTGCTTTATTGTCACTTAAGAATGTAATCCTTGTAGACAAAGCTGAATAGGTTATAAAAATAAAATAATAATATAATGTATACAACAATTATCAACATAAATACAATTTTTCACAAACATGTGCACACATAAGGCTTCGTCTAAAATACTTGTTCATAAAAATCATTAACATTATAAAACACATAAGGGACTAACAAGTTTTTCAATTCCTTCCTGAATTTTTTTATATCCGAGATAGATTTAACAATAGTTGGGAGGTGATTGTACATTTTCAGGCCATTATATAATATGGAATCTTTTATTAGTGAACTGCAGGGCCGGGGAAGCTTCACCATCTCTGACTGGCGTGTGTTGTAACATGAGTTCACGACCTCGTAATTATCTCTGGTTTTGTGAATCAAACACACCGACTCTATAATAAACAAGGATACTACTGTTGACACTCTGTGCTCTCTGAATAATTCTTTACAAGAGGTTCTTGAATTAACTTTGCATACATATCTTAATGCCCTTTTTTGTAAGATGAATGTAGACTGTAAATTATGGTTGTTACAAGTTCCCCAAAATGCAATTCCGTACCTCAAATGGGATTCTATTAGAGCGTAATATGCCGTCATAGCAGCAGAATAACCCGACTCGTTTGATATCAATCTGATAGCATAGCATCCTGATGCAAGCTTATTGCATAAGTGTGAAACATGCAGATCAAATTTCAGTTTTTTGTCCACAAAAAGACCAAGAAACTTTGCGTTCAATTTATTTTCTATAATTTGATGATCCAGAGATAAAAGAGGCAACTCACATCGGAATGTTATCAGGTTCGTTTTCTGAATATTGAAAGAAAGTAGGTTCGATTTGCTCCATTGATGGATAATTTCGACGTCTTTGGTTATTTTAATCAGTAGGGTCTCCACAGATCTATCACTCCATAATATGGTAGTGTCATCAGCGAAGAGAGTTATTTTCCCGGATATATTCAATTTAGTCATATCATTGATTTTTCAGTTGGACGATCAATCTCCCAACCACGATCCGAAAAAACAACTGGCCAGGTTCTCGCTGGAAGGCCTCTCGCTGAAAGGCCGCATAATGACCGACCAGTCCATCGTCACGTCCGTCCTCTTGCTGAACTGCGTCTTGGACGACATGCGCAAAGGCAGAGGCGGCAAACTGCGCAGGCTGGTGGGCAGGTCGCAGTCTTCCGGGGATCTGGATTCCGTAGACGGAGCCGCCGGATCCAAGGAATCCGCCGCTTTTCGCAGTATGATCGACGTGACTTACCAACAGACGGACAACGATACGTTCAGTAAGTGCCACATTTACACACTTGATGAAGATATTTCGAGGTCATGTATCGAAATGTTTACTAATTTGAAAAATACCTTGAAATTGATCAAAATTATAAATGTGGTCTCTTGTCTTTAGATTTATGTAAAGCTTTCGATACTTTAAATGATGATATTTTACTAAGTAAAATATATTCAATAGGTATCAGAGGTAAAATATTTGATTGGTTGAAAAATTATCTGGAAAATAGAAAGCAGTATGTTGAAGTTAATAATATTTGTACCACAAGGTTCCGTTTCAGGTCCAATTTCATTCTCAATGGGCGTGTACACCTTAGTAGAACTTCTAACTCAAACCATGTTTATAATGATCCTTTTATACATAAATTATTGGCGACATAATTCCATCTAAAAAATAACTGAAATGTTTTATTTTTGGACATAAATAATAGTACCTTCTGAAAACGGACCCTCTTTATGACGTAGAAACCTCATCTCGCCTGGAACCAATGAGCGTGACCCATAGAGTGACCCATGTGTGACACTTATCACTGTTGCCATATCATCTAAACAAAATATCCGAGAGATCGAAATCGATATTGAAATATCTTTTGATATCAACTACCACTACTGCAGAAAAATATATTCAACTTGTCGGTGGTAGGTTGAATCATTAGAATATAAACAATCTCTAAACAACGAAATGTCTCAATCTCAAAACCATTTGCACCATGACAATTTCACAATAATCCAATATATTTCATGAACGCAGCAACATTGCTTTGTTGACCCGTTTCACATGGAGCTGCATTTGCATCGAGTCTCGAATTCCGATTCCGAAGTTATTTATGTCATCTAAAATGAGAAGAGAAGACACGTAATGAAATTAACCTCCAAATCTTCCTTTATATCATATTAATACATAATAATATTATTGATATATTGAATATAAACATGAACGTTGCATCAGGATTTGTAAAAGGCTCATCAGATAATCTACCGAAAATTGATTTGGAAATGGTTAATTATTTTTATGTCTCTAACATACTAGAAAATCTCCACAGTTCCTCAGTGCTGAAATGAGGAATAGAAAATCTGAAAGGTAAAGTTCCACAATATTCATTCAATTTTCATTGCTTGTACCTATTATAGTTGTATTGGAAAATTGTTCACCTGAAAGGATATTTAACATCAGAATACCCATCATATGGAGATTCCGAGGGAGAATCCTCATTAAATCAGTCACTGATCGATATGTTTACCTATGCAACAATATGATCAATTGGTATGAAACAATGTTATTCCCAAGACTAGATACTGCTTGCATCTCCCCCTGAATTTTCTTCTAGGAGATGAATCATTCATTCTTCAAGCAATTTCCCTATGAATTCCTGCAAAGCAAAACTACTACTATAATATTGTGTTTACCCAGTGAGGGGCGAGATTTGTTCTCAAAATTCCCAGCTAAATGATGTTTTTTTGATTGCAATTAGGCACAGAACATTTCTCAATCATACTTTTGTCGAAATATTTCAATTTAATATTCGAAAGTTGCAGAAACTTAATATAGGTTAGAATTGATCTTCTTGTTCTTATCATCTATGTCCCAAAAATCAACTTGCCGATTCACCAATCTTGGTGCTTTGTGAGAAATCATGTATCATTCATCTCTGTCTGGAATAGTCTTGTTTCAGTATTAGGGTTTTGACGTCACATCATCGCCTCGTTTTCAGAGGTCCGAAAAATCGGGGATTTCAATAATTTTTTATAAAACGTAGGGAGCTCACAGCAAGAAACGGTTTGCGGTGGTGAGCTAGTTTGGGTGAGTTCTATCGAATTATGAAATAAAATTGTTTTGTGATATAAGCCCATTTACATCAATTTAATATCATCTTTGAAACTAAAATGAGATCTGAAGTTATTTGCAGATGATACTACAATAATCTATTCCTCTGAAGAATTCAATGATATAGTTCATGATATAAAAATTGAATTGAAAATTATATCATATCCATAACCATATATCAGAAGAAAACCATAGTTTTGATGATAATTTTGAAATTCGACACGTAGAAAATAAAGGAATAACTCAATCATTTTGAATCATTAGAAATTCACAAACTCAAAAATGTTGACATTATACTTAATGATCAATTAGACCGCAATAGTTTCATAGTAGGTAATAATATGTATTTGCTATCAACCCTTTCAAGTAAATCCGGTACACTGTACTTTAATGTGGATATTATGTCTAATTTCCGAAAATGAAGGTTTATCGAACCTGTCCACAAGTAATTAACCCTTCTAGTTAGAAGAGTAGGATATATTAAAGTTAAGCAAGCCAAGGTTGGTTTAGTTCATTGTACCAGTATATCACCTGACGAAGCTACTGTGTTAGCGAAACATGTTGTGGCTTTAAGAATTTTGTGGAAATCTTATCTTTTGTGAAGTTTTTACATTTGCCATGGATTTCCATCAAGTAACGGCCGAGTGTGAGTGTGATTCCAATTCTAACTTGATGATGTAACTGTTACACTCTACAGGGTATTACAAATCAAACGAAAAGACACGCTATGGTATTCATAAAAAGAGGTTATTATATGAACACAGTTTGCACGCCAATATTCAGAAGTAGATGACCTATCAATCAAAACAAAAAACTGTCCGAATCCGACAAGTAGTTTTCACGAAAAGGTATCCCAAACTTTTTTATACTTTTTGATGGTGCGTTAATTTTTTGGAGAAGTGTATATTTCTTGGGCGCTGAGGAGAACATGATAGGGATTCCTTTAGTGCGATTCAAAAGATCGAAAGACAAATACTTCACGCTTAAAACCACTAATGAAATCACAAAACAAATCAATTAAATACATTTTTCATCTTCATTTTCTAGAACCAACGGTAAATTCATACAAACCTAGACATTTTCTGAACCTGATTTCGTTATATAAACTCAAAATATTGTCACGATCCTTGGCTTCCTGATGGGATAAGACCACCGAATCATCTTCGAGGGTAGCTCAGATAGGGTAGATTATATTAACTCAAGACGTTAATAGTTGAGGGGTATGAGAAATAGGTAAAACCATATCCAAAACATAGATACATTTATTAGATTATCATTATATAGAAGAGGAATCATTATAGATACGACATACAATTTATAAAATGGTTAAATAGTACTCACAATATAGATAGAGCCATTTTCGGAAAGGGTTGTCGGGTAGAACGCACAAAGACCTAACTAAACTGATTATCGTGATAACCGATTGTACAAATCGACAGTTTACACCACCGACAGCAACTATTCAAATACCGATCATCAACTACCTTGTAGAATATCCACAAATCTATATTTATCTGAAATCTCAAGTACTGTTATTGTTTAGGTAATTCTCGGTACGTTGCTGTTGGAGTTTACTCAGTCGTTTAGGTTGTTGATGAGTCAATGCCAAAACGTGTTCCAAATGTTTTTAAACTTTCGGTGCAATGGAAGAAGCAGGATTTGGAAATAATGACCCCCCTTTCCGAAAAGCTGGACCCCCAGCTTCTAACCCTACTACCTAAAAATGTGTGAAAATCAGTATATCTACATTTAAAAAATTGGGGAAAAATCATCATCAAATATCTACCTAGAAAATGGAAAAAAATCGACCAGAAAATACAAAGAATTGGGAATCAACACACGATCAATGTTCACATGTACACTTTTACTTAGTCTGGCACTGGCTATATTCAGTCTTGGCAATAACTATTGTCTCGTCACTGTTCACGGCTTCTGACTGCTTCCAGGGCGGTCTGCTAGCTGTTGGGCTTCGAAGGGTTTGAAAACATCGTTGTTCTCCTTATGGTATATCTTTCTCGGACTTGAAAGATACTTTAGGCCTCTGGATGCTCGTAGATAGACGGGAGTGGAATGCTAATTTCAGGGCTGCTGGAACGGACTGCCGAGGTGCTTGTCGGTCACAAGTGGCTTGTAGTTGCACGAAGTAGCTGGAAAACTGTCAAAACTGGCATCATTATATAAAATCATAGAAATCATCCATTTTTTCTCAAAGTGGTCCAATTGATTTTAAAGAAAAAACAATTAAAAATCCCAAAGTCTGTCGACCACAAAATCATTTAATAAGCGACGTGTTACTAGTTTCGGCCACAGGCCATCATCAGACACAAAATTGATGTAATATAGTACCTAAAATATAATTGTCTATCATTATATTTTAGGTACTATATTACATCAATTTTGTGTCTGATGATGGCCTGTGGCCGAAACTAGTAACACGTCGCTTATTAAATGATTTTGTGGTCGACAGACTTTGGGATTTTTAATTGTTTTTTCTTTTGGCATCATTATGCCAATTAGGGTGGTTTTATTCATTTTGCCAGGAATAAATTGAAAATATCAAATTTAGCTTTTTATGAAGTCAATACAGTCCATAGTTATGGGACTAGACAATGAGCATATATCACAAAAAAAATTTATTTCATAATTCGATAGAACTCACCCAAACTAGCTCACCACCGCAAACCGTTTCTTGCCCGGAGCTCCCTACGTTTTATAAAAAATTATTGAAATCCCCGATTTTTCGGACCTCTGAAAACGAGGCGATGATGTGACGTCAAAACCCTAATACTGAAACAAGACTATTCCAGACAGAGATGAATGATACATGATTTCTGACAGAGTGAATTAGCGCGAGATCACAGTTGAAAGAATTAATATATCAGTTGTCTCAGTCTCCGTCGGTCGGTTGGTATTTTTTTTTCAACTATGGCGAGATGAGGTTTCTACGTCATAAGAGGGCCCGTTTTCAGAAGGTACTATTATTTATGTCCAAAAATAAAACATTCCAGTAAATTTTTCGATCGAATTATGTCGTCAATCATCATTTATGTATAAAAGGATCATTATATACATGGTTTGAGTTAAAAGTTCTACTAAGGTGTACACGCCCATTGAATTACTTGATAGCAAATACATTCAAGTCGAACATTGGCAAACAATATGTATTTCACAATGGAGTAATTTTATACAATTCATTACCAAATGAATTGAAATATATACATGATGCAAGAAGGTTTAAAATCAATCTTGAAAAATACTTGCTCAGGACAATTTGAATGAAAAATATGTGGCATGATTTGATTAGTCAGAAATGAAATCTTATAACTTTCATTTGAGAAACAATATCAATTCGTTTCCACTGAGTGGAATTCATTAATTAACCCTTTATCATATTTTGTTATGTATTCATATATCCCTATTACATACAGAAATGTTTCTTGGGGTAATAAAGACAATCAATCATTGGACTTTGTTTTGCAGTCGATTGCCGGGTGTTCAGCTTCACCGTGATTCTATCGGTGGATTATCTGATGAAAGTGGCTGACTTCTTCAACGCCTCGGACAGTCAGAGGCAGCAGAGCAATGTAGCTCCCACCAAATCGGCCGCTAGCGTGAGTAGAACAGTGGCTAAAACTCAATTGCCGGTGGTAAACGAATCTGAGAAAGTTAACCAGATGACGATAAATTTGAAAGTGGAGAAGCCGGATATCATTTTGGTCGAGCATATGGATAATATCGATACCAACGCCATGATAATGAATGTAAGTATTTGGTCCTAATGTATATATCGGTCAGACAGGTAGAAAATTCAATCAGCGGATTCATGAACATAAATTATTGAATAAGACTGAGTATATGGTTTTTCAACAAAAAAAAATGGACGAAATATAAATTCAAATCTCAAAAGCAAAAATAAATTGAAGTGGGACAAACATATAAAAGTGTTGATGAAAAAACATTCTCCTATTATTGCCCAAAGAAGATGACCCAAGCTCGATACAAAAATTGCAAATATAATTCTTTATTCTCATATACTCGGTCGCATTAACTATTTGATAAATGTTTTGGGAATATTATAATTGGGGAACAATTTTAATAACATATCTGCATTATACAAAAAGACATATAGCTATAAAAAATCTGGATTGAACTAAATAGAAATATACAGGGTGTCCCATTCGAAAAATGATTTTTGAACTCCGGTAAACAAAACTGAAAACACCCTGAACTACTTTGAATTGATTGTCTTGGGCTGTTTCAGGCGGAAATTCTGATCAAACTACGGACAGCCGGCGTCCATCAAGTTTTGAATGGGGTGATAAAAGACTTGCAATTGTACACCTGCGTATACAACCCGGCACTCAGAGCAGAGACCAGAGGGGATGTTTTGCATCCTGTTACGATAAGCGTGGCCGGATCTACACCCCTGGATAAGGGACTTCACATCGAGGTAACACAAATTTTTCCATTTTTTAGTAGGCAAGGTGACTTCGCCCGTCACTTTGGAGTTTCCGTAGAGATGTATAGAAATTTAACTGGTGCGCTTACCCTATTGAAGGTCGTTTGCAAGTTTCTCGATGGCGCCTACTCTGATAAACCTTTGATAAACATACTTGACATGGGTAAATCTCGCTGAGCTTATCTTGGTTACAATCCATATTTACAGGAAACATATTACCGACCGATAAATATTTGGATACGTATATGATTTGGATCAGTGCAGTGAACTGATTTCTGATCAAAGGATCGAAACGTCAATTTGTCAAAAATATTCTTAACATGCTAGTTTGTATACACGTATTGAGAAAGTACGTTCAAGAATAAGTTCAAGGTGTTTTCTGGAAAAATCCCTAGGTATTAGAGGTATCTTTTGATTCTTTCACTGAGAAAATCAACAGATCAATGAAAATATCTTCCAATTTGAATGGAATTCTTGGTGCATTCGCAAGTAGTATCTATATGATTAGTTGTTAGTTGAATTCGTACTTACTTTTGGTACAGAAAACATACGGAGTTGCGGATTTTTATACGATCCGCATATATTGCAGCAACGCCAGTCCATGATGAAATATAAAAACTAAACACTATAAACCAACTAAACAACAAACCTACTAAACAACAATAAAAGAATTAAACACTAATGAATAACAATTACAATTACAGGATTAAAACACTTTATATCTCGTACGAATTTTCCGAATTTTCGAATCTAATTCGCTGTATACGAATTGACACCAATGAACTCAATACAACTGGAAGGGACCCACTGTGAACGACGAGTGAGGCAAAAATATTTTTCAGGCAACCCGCAGTGTTTACGGATACCTATCTATCTCTATCTTGTGTTGGTTAATGGGAAGCGCTCGCATAATTTGAAATATTTTCTCGTTTTTTGCTTCTATTTAAAAGTAAACGTGATTAAATAAAAATATTCATTTAGGAAAAAGGATAATGTTGTAATCAACTATCATTAAAAAATTATTACTGATTTTTTTATTGACTTTGAAATGAAATTTCAATCTCACTCTCACAGGATCGGAAAATCAAATGAATACAAAATTGAAATTATATATTTTTATTCAAATGTCACAATATATTGTACAGGGTGAGCGAAGCACAATGTCTCAGAACTATCAGAAGGAAAAGAAAAACGATAGGAAAAATTTGAAAGGAGGTTCTTGAATGGTATTGAGTGCATTTTGAGCATAATTTCCATAGGTTCCTATTCCTTCTTCCTTCTTCTGTCATATTTGAAATTTTTAGGTGTCCTTATTACGTTTTGTCTCAGTGTCTTCACTTTCCTCCTCAATACAATATATTTTATTGGTAAACCTCGAAACTTGGGAGCTGGAAGTGGTAGGCAAGTCAAAGTCAATAAAATGGGAAACTTCTTCCTTTAGACCTAAGTTATGAGCGTCCATAGATGCATCCTGAAAACAAATTACTAGCTAGTTTTTTTTTTATTTTAATGAGGTGAAAACATACTTTTTTTTCATTATTAATCAACTAGGTACCTATGAGTTTTCTTATTTTCCTGGGGGAATCAGCATTTTTTGGTAACAAATGCTGAGGAAATAAAAAATATACTGGGTACAGCATCTGCTTTAAAAAACCTAGCAGTACCTGGTATGCCTAAATAATCTGTTGTTAGGAAATGCTCCCCACAAAGCTTGCTGCTTCTATTTGGAGTCCAATTCTCTCTACGAACTGCCTTTATCCATAATTCGAGAATGTCTGGTCTTTTGAATGGAAAGCTGCTACAAATAATATTACTCAATATCAATATGGACGTATTGAACTTTGACAAATAATATAGGTATAGTTTTTGAACATATTCTGAGACTGGGAACATTGTATACCTAACTGGATGATCATTTTAAGAACTATATTTTTCAAAAATCTTAAAACAATATTCAACTTACCCAGGGAATGCTCATTCCCTTTTGTTTTGTACGTTCTTGCATCCAAAGGCGACACAATAAATCACCATTGTTTATCAATATTAATCACAAACCTTCTCAACAATCAGGTCAGTGTTCACAACAACAAATTCAGTCCTTTTGATACAACAAAACACGCCAAATGAATAGATATTTCACCTCGTATTTAGCATAAACGAAGACAATGAACTTATGTCTTCACTTTCTTGCCTGTGTAGATGAGAGAAAAAATTCCTAGCTACTTTAATTATTAGATAAAAGAAAATTTATACACCAATCCACCATTAAACAACACGAGTTGGAAGAGGACAGGTATCCGTAAATCATGCTATCTCTGTTGCAGCTGCCCCTGACACACTTTGTGCTATTCGAGAGAGCGGGCGTATCCCTTCCAGTTGTATTGAGTTCATTGATTGACACATGTCACCGACGGAAATCGACCACAGAACAATGATGAAAATAGATTCATCCCTCACAGAACCAAGGTTTTGAACGATTTTACGATTATGGCGCCTCTATCGTCAAATACCTGAACCCCACGTCCAAAACTCGCTTGCAATTGTTCCATATCGAGAGTTAGTCTGACGAAACAATTGAAGAGTGAGCCCACATACAATATGATCACAAATCAGCGACGAAATTCACGAAATAGACTCGTTTTTGATATGTTCATTAGTGAAAAATGGCTCATTCAAGTTCAGATTTCCCGAGTAATATCGAGGAAGCCGCATCAAATGCACTATTTTTTTCGTCCATCCATATTTTATAATGTAACTGGTGTTGAAATGAACATTTTCCTACAACTGTCACTTTTTTAATATATTTTGTGTGCCATAAGTGTACAATTTTTCAATATCAAAATTCTCATTCCAGATTTTTTCGGATTTTCTCTCCTCGTTTCTATAAAATAAAAATATGAATATTATCTCAATATACGTGTAGTAAGGACAAATCAGATGAGTTACAGGATGTTTCCATTAATTAATCTTGAATTTCCCATTTTCATTTTCATATTTCAGTAGTGAATACCATGTTCTGTCTATATCAACTGAACAAGAAGCAATGCTATTGTCTCCGTTCAGAAGAATGCAAGCAGATTCCTTGATTTTTCTCTCCTGGTTGTTATCTTCTTTTCCAATGATTTTAATATTATTCCACTCTGCCATATGTTGTCCGTCTTCAGTAAGGATATGTTCAGCTAGTTCCGATTTGTCGATATGTCTTTTCTTTTTATTGTACTGATGTTACTTCCTCCTTACTGGAAGAGGTCTCTTGGTTTCACCTGTATAAAACTTTCCACAAACACAAGGTATACTGTAAATACAATTTTCTGACGATTGTTCTTCACTTTTCGGCTTTGTTTGAGTTTGAATTGATCTCATTGTATTTTCAGTTTCGAACACGACATTTTTCATTTGAAATTTATCATCAACACGTTTAATTTTTTCAGATATGCCGAGAATGTATGGTATTATATTTGTCGTTATTGATGGTTGATTCTGTTGTGGTTGACCCTGTTTGTTTTCAATTTGATGAATCGTCCTATCGACAAAATTCTTTGGATAGGACTTGAGTTGGAGAAAATTTGTTGGTCAGATGTAATTGATTTGGCTCTATCATGGAGTGATTTGATTATTCCTTTCTTAATACTTTTCTGATAATTTGATTGAAAGTTCAAGTATCTGTTAGTATGAGTCTTTTTACGATATACACATGTTAGAAAGATGTTATTTGATTTCTCAGTTGAGAACCTTACCTCGACCAAAGTCAGGCAAACTCGGACAACACGTTGACTATGGTTGAGTTGTTTGGAAATTGTCTTACGCGAGTATAGATACTTCCACGAGAAACAGATTCTTCCACGGGAAGTGCTCCTCAGAAGTTTCTGCTATAATTTATTCCATCGCTAACAATGCCAGTCAGACGAAATCGACAGGCCCAGTCAGCACACCCTTCACTCGTTATCCTTGAAATATGTCGAACAACATTCTACCAAAACTCGTTCGTCTATAGGACGGCGAAGCTTCGTAATTTTTTGCAATGGGAAGTATTGCCAAGAACTTATAACCAGAAATTCAAAAAAAAAAAAAATTCAACACCTACCTTCTCTCCCTATCCTCCTTAGGTACGCACGATATCGGCGAGACCTACGTGCTATGTGAACTAACATTCGGTGGATTCCCGTTGGTGACTTGGCAACTGGGCTCTGCGCTGTCTAACTACGGGGTACAAGACGCGATGCGATGTCGCAACGTTTCACTTGAACCACCTTTGGTGTAAATTGATAACGTTTTTTCTCGAACACAAATGTATTACCTGTATAGAGGAAATATTATCCAGTTGAGAATAAAGCAACTAGGAATGTTCATAGCGAGAGACAGACTAATTCTGTTATTTCCAGCTGTATTTTGACATCTGGCAACTACGTGTTACACTCACTGGGTCGTGACGTCAGTAGTTATGAGTGTCAAATATCGTTTGAATGAGACTCTGACTCCATTTGTGATTTTGTGGTGTCAACGATTGTGATTTTCATTTCGGGTTCACAAACGTTGAATTTTGAATAGTAATTTTAAATTAGATAATAACGATATTCTATGAATATCTACATCCTACCTGATGTAATTGCCTCCTGTAGCATATTTTTACTAACGAACATCAATAAAAATACAGTTTCATTTAAAGAAATTATTGCTTGCCAAATATACATCTTTGCCCTATAAAGTTCATGCTAGGACAAAAGCACCAAGAACACAAAACCCACAACACTTCAGTCAAAAAATGTGGTGAATTTTTCTCTGAAATATCATATGAGTATTTTTCCAACAGTTTTTCAGCCACTGTTCATCATGTTTAATTTGACGTTTGACAGCTTCTGGTAACGGCCATCCACGTCAGAGTGTCACCTGCTACGATAGAACTGCTCAATCGTGTCTTGGTCACAATGACGAGCAGTGGAATAACGGAGGATGAAAACACCGAGGTAGTTTTCAACTACACTGATCTTTGGCAACAGAAACCTCTCGAGGATAAAGATTATTGGTTCTTGAGACCAGGTAGGATAGAGTTAGAAGAATAGACAAGTTTAGCAAATGTTGAAGGAGACATAATGTCTTCGTATTTTGATCCAACGTAAAAAAGGTCTTCAGTAAAAAAAAGTTTGGTCTACTAATGAAATTCTCAGAATTTTACTTTGGAACCATCGACGATTTCATAAAACACCATTCCTTTTATTATTCCTTTCAGAATATGGCTTTGATGCATTGGCTGAACAATTTTTGGCTCCTTCCGGATCAATGTTGGACGCTGCGAAAATTAAATTGCAAGAATTATGCATAATTTCGATGCCCTCTATCATAATAACAGTGGAAATTGGAGTGGGAATAAAAACTCTTCCAGTGCTAATGCTCGAATCGGCATTCAAAGGATCTGCCAGAAATTGGAGTTCTCAGGTGAGAAATACAGGTTGAATGAGAATAAAAAATGTGACAGTTATGACATGTTGATTAGTATTGATCATTGCAGCATTGTCGTTCTGAATGAAAACCCAGTTAGTTCGGAATGTGGCCAACAATGGCGATTTGCCTTCTTCACTGAACAGACAGTATAGCTCTCGCCTAATAACTAGGTTTTCATTGACGATGACTGTGGTATAACCACAGCTTAGTGGTATAACCATCTCATTCATTGCAGTTATGTGTGCAAGCCAGCCTGACCCTTCAAATGGGTTACTACAACAGTCATCTAGCATTATGGGAACCTCTCATTGAACCTGAAGTAGTGAGGAATAATAATTTTTATGTACCATGGGAATTGAAACTTGAGGTAAGTTATCTCTTCAATATTGACTCCAGACAACTTAAATTCATTCCTTGTTTTTAGGTATCGATGAATCAAAATGACGATGAATCTCAGAGCACCTTGAGTCCCGGTTCAGAAAGCGAAGTCGAGCTGCCGCAACCGCTGATGAGCATCGACGTAATCTCAGAAAAAAACTTGGAGCTAACGATCACCAAAACGTTCTTGGAGGACCTGACCAACTTGCAGAAAGCCTTCGCCAGTGCTATTGACGCCAAAGCCGTGAAGCCCACGACTCACGTAGACGCGCCTTACAAAGTGTTGAACGAGATAGGCGAAGACGTCACTTTGCTGCTAGAGCAGAGTTCCTTCGAAATGGTTGAGGGCGGAACCCCTGAAGACATCAACAAGGCGACAGCTATAGCGCTGCAACTCAAACCGGAGTTCACCAGCGACAAAGTCGTGTATTTGGGCAAAGAGTTGGCTACTAGTTCGACGAAGAAGGATATTTATCTGCAAATCAGAGTGGACGATAAGAGATGCGAGCTGACTTTACCAGTCATGAGGGCCGACAAGAGGTTCTTTTCGTTGCATTATCGCAGTGCAACGTTGGACAACTGGGGAATCGTTTGCGATATCAAAGTCGATGATGGAGTAACCGTTATCACTCTCAGAAGCATTTTGCAAGTTAGTTTATATTCTTCTTTCAGCAGTATTTACTAAAAACTAGTAGTTACCTTTAGCCCCCAAAAGTTCTTTAATTGACCAATACCTCTTTTTTATGATACTTAAAATCTTTGTCCTTGTGGATAATATTTTTGTATTGAGTTCTTGTTGAATTGTCCCTGCTCGGGCGCCAAATGTTGGACAACTGGGGTATCATCGACGATGGAGTTACCATTATCACTCCCACTCATATCACCAGTTAGTTACGGATCTTTCTAAGATCGAAAAATGTTCAATACCTATTTTCTCTCCATTGCTACCCCAGGTACTCTCGCTTTTTCACGAACATAATGGGGATTCCCTATTGTGAGATCCTGACGATAAAAAAGTCGAAAGTTATACCTTTGTAGTCTTACATTTTCAGCAACATGGAACCTACTACAGCTGAAAACTTTTTCCCTGTGGAATATATGTTGTAATAAGTTCTCGTTGAATTGTCCTTGCTCGGGCGCCAAATGTAACGATTCGCGTTGTTTAATCAATACGTTGATTGTTCATCCATTCTAAATAGATTACTCCTTGCTGAAAATCTTCTGTTTCCTCTTCCTTCCCTTCTCGGTATAGAATCACTTCTCCCTCTTCAATTCCTGTCAATCTTTGACTATAAACCAATAATTATTCTCTAGGTGCATAATCACTTCACCGTACCAGTAGACGTCTACTTCATGACGACCAAGGGCGACGAACTAGAGTTCATCGGCTCGATAAACCCGAAGAGCCTCCTGAACGTCCCCCTAAAAGCAGTCTACAACCCCACCAATGAGCTCTTCTTCGCAATCTCCGATTACTCTGTGTCGAATACTCCTTTCATCTGGAAAGATCTGCAAACGAATCTCAGTGTCACGAAAAAAATGCACTGCTCATCGAAAACCTCGGGGAAACCTGCGGAGTCTTTCGTCATCAAAGCTGTGGGGGAGATGGAGCAGGTGTATTACGAGAACACCAGCCGGCATACCATGTCCAGTAACTGTTACAACATACATTTGAGGCCGGCTGTCAATTTCAAGAATTGTTTGCCGGTGGATATCGTTTGCTGTGTGGACGAATCGGCTGAGGAGTTGACGGTCAAGGCTGGGGATACTTTGCAGTTGGCGAAAGTTGATCCTGGCCGGAATGTCTTAGTTATAAGGGTGAGTACTTTTATTTCTACTGTAGGAACACAGTACCACTGTCTTTCATTATATCCAGGGTCTTTATGAACTGGAGTGAGTTTATTTATTTTAGTTATTGCATTACATCTTATTATTTTGAAATGGGAATAACATAAACAAGAAGACGATACTTATTATAATCAATGAATTATTGATTAGTCAGGGCTTTTATATTAGACACAGAGTTACAGCATAAACTACATTTCAGATATGTTTTAGTGTTGATTTGTTGATTCTATGAGTTGATTGATAAGAAATTTCATACAAGTTTTTCACAAGTTACTGTTATGAAGTGTGAAGACTGTGAAGGGATGATGATAATTTGAGTATAAATCAGGTTATATCAGTTCCAAAACATTTCTCGAAAATTAACATCAGACAACGATAACTTTAGGTCTTATGATTGATATTGTCACCAAGTCTCTTCAGTATTTCTCAGGTGTTTAAAACAAGATTGGTGCTGTTGTTTGTCATATCATTGTCATTTTAAGTGAAAACCTAGTTAGTAGGCGAGAGGTATAATATTGTTTGTTCATTGACCCAAAATTTGTCGGTCTGTCAGTGGCGCCAGTTTACTGAAACCACATTGGAAGCTCATTTGTTTCAATGATCCCTTTGGGGTTTGTTTTTGCCGATATCGCAGGAATCTGGTCATCTCCTGTTGTCACATTGCTTGGAGATGAACGACTATCGTGTGTCTTCGATATCGGCAAAGTTTCTTGTCAGTGGGGAAGCATATGTGTTATTTATCCAAAAACAGGGGCTAATTGACTCTCTTATTTATTTATGTATTCATTGCTACCTTGTATAATTTCGAATATACATGGATATACATAGAATAGTTCCACCAATCAAAAATTTTGAATTATTTCCATTTCTTAACCAATTCATATTGTTTCATACAAACAAAGCGCGTCGTCAAATTTTGACTTTTGTTCAGAACTACTCAAAAAATAATCGCATGGAATAACATTCGATCTTCAAAATCTTCAAGGTTATACATCACAAACTTTCTGAATTATTACAAATCGTGTAGTTTAACATAATGATCCTCCCTCTTGAGAACCAGACAGACATACCATGTTGATTATGTCCGATATTGCCCTCTTATCACAGACAAAGTAGGTCTCAGAATTGACACTGTTGCCAGTAAACTTTAATTCCATATCTACTAATAGTACTTATCATTCACAATGTGTTTACTTGTAATGGATTATAATATTTTCATTTTATATTTTATTATAATTTTTTTTATGAAAAACAATAATTGTGCAATTATTATTGTTTAGATTTATTATGTTATATGTATGTTTTGTTGTATATATCCCTATTATAAGCAATAATGTTTCTTGGGGTAATAAAGACAATCAATCAAGTTCCCTCAACACGGCTCGAGAGTTTCAGAAGGCTGATGCTGTTTGCCTTACTTCTGGCTAATTCAGAGGATATTTGAATCATCTGACACTGATTGATTGAATTATGGAAACTATGGAAATCATCCATTCTTGAAGTGGCCCAATGTATTTTCAAACAAGAGACAAACTCAAAGTATAAAGTGTGGTCGACCGACTTTGAGTTTGTCTTTCCTTGTCTTTTGAGTAACCTTTCACGTTCGTAGAACGCCGAATATCTGGACAGAGAATGGTCCTGTCTCAAGGAAACAGTGTCCCATTAGTTGCTGACGTGCAAACGTCCCGCAGTTACCAGTACCTTGTTGGTTATGTCCGCCATTGCCCTTTTATGACAGACAAAGGAAACTGTATGTCTAAGAATTGACACTGTTGCCAAGTTCCTTCAGCATGGCTCAGGAATTTCAGAAGGCTGGTGTTGTTTGTCTTCTGGCTGATTCAGAGGATATTTGAGTCATCTGACACTGATAATATTCAAAGTGTTACTGAGGAACAATACAGGGTGTAAATTATGGAAACTATGGAAATCGTCCGTTCTTGAAGTAGCCCATGTATTTTCGAAGAAAAGACAAACTCAAAGTATACAGTGTGGTCGACCGACTTTACCTTGTCTTTTGTAACATAGGGTGTTACAAGAAACTTAAGGGTACCTTTCTCTCGATGAAATAGGGGTAAAATTAATCTTCAAGTATCCTTTTACGCCCGTAGATCGCCGAATATCTAGACAGAGAATGGTCCTGTCGCAAGGAAATAGTCTCCGATCCTGACGAGTTCTCTGTGTGGACCTTCCACAGCTACGACAGTCCTACCAAGATGTCTCTCGATCTGGGAATGCACATCCTCAACAAGTACGGGTCGCTTCTCATGACCTTGTATTGCCCGTTCTGGATGTTGAACAAGACGGATATGATGCTGGTATACAGGGTGAGTGTGTTTTGGTTGCAGAGTATTCGAGCTGAATGGATTTTTCAGATTATGTTGTATTGTTAGTCGATTCGTTTTGTGAAAATACATTGATTGATTTTTCAGAAGTCAAAAAAATCCTGTGATGGTCCCGAGAGCCCCACAAAGGTATATCGTAGCTATTTTGAGGAATGTGAATCATTTAATTTTTTATTCACTGTTGATTTGGCATGGTTATTTTTCAGCTGTTTTTGGGTTATGAATTCAGCAAAAGTTTTACACACTGTTATTTGACGCTCTCTCTAGCATTTCCATTTTTTTTTTGGTAATTCTTATGACAATTGCAGATATAACTTCTGCTCAAAAATGTTTTCTAAAAATTTGCTTTGAAATATTGTTCATCAGTGTGTATAATTCTTTGTGTCGCGGTGTGTATTCTTGCTTCAAATTATTCGATTTTATATTTATCTCTTTCATACAGGGTGTTTCCGAAATTGGGGCGATGAATGGGGTATGGAAGACGAAAAAATGAAACGAAATAAAAGAATACAATTTTGTCGAAAAAAACATATTTTGGAAGATATTGAGCTTCAAAGTTTGCCTGAAACTGTTGTAAATCATCGATCAGAGGTAAATAGCCCAACCCAAGCGTTTGCTTTCGGCGAGATCAGAAGCACTGGAAGTATCAATGACTTTTGCAATGTTGACGGATGTTCAATAATAGTTGAAAGTTGAAGTATGGTGGGAGCGCACATTTTATGAAAAGTTTTCGAATCAATTTTTTTCGTGATTTATCGTGTCATATCTCATAGATTTTATTTTCATTCATCGCCCCAATTTCGGAAATATCCTTTATTGCGAATTTTATTTTATTTTATCAAACAGAAAATGATTTCATTGTTTCTTGTACCTGGTGGATTTTAATATTCCACTCCTATACTGAGTGTAACTTGAAAAACATGTCACACTTCCTATTTTCATCTAGTTCCAAACTTAATGACATTTGAAATTATTTTTCGACATCTAAAAGATTATTTGCTATATACAGGGAGGTTTTCAACGCATAAATCTTGGAAAATTATAGCGCATGATAAATAACTACCATGATGCAAAAAAAATATTCATATTTGTTCTGTTTCCAAGATATTTTGTGTTTTATAAAAAAATCATTCCACTTCCACTCAGAAATCAGGAAAAATATTTTTGGTATCTATCAAGTATAGTTTCTTATTGATTTTCATTATTGAAAATGAATAAGACGCATTTTGAATGTAAAATCTGGATTTCATATTCATATATCTGTATGAATTTAGTTCATGCATACAAAGTAATGAATCACTCTGTATAGGAGTCCGAATAAAACACACACAGTTTACAGAGTTTGGAAAAATATTTTCAGGCATTATCAAATAGTTATTGAAAGTGAGTAAGGAGAAACGACCAAACTCTAGAAGTGTATTCTACACATTAAAAACTTCTATATTGTTATCCAATCTTCATTTGTTGTTGAAAATTGGTTTTCAATTATCTGTAAAACGTCTTGGCTAACTTTAATTAAATTTCCAAAGTGATGTGCCCACGATATTTTTCTTATTATTTTTAGTGTGAACAAATGATAATTGGGTAACATTCAATTTTTTTTTATAATTGTGTAGACTCCCGACTCACCCCACTCTGTACAGTATTTAGTCAAGATACAGGGCTATGTTTGTTTGAAACAAATCACCTGTTATTTTTGTATATTTTGCCTTCCTTGAGCTTAACGTTTTGTTTGCTAAAAAACGAAGGCTCAAAATATTATTTAACTATAATTTTTTCAGACTTCCGATGAGAACATGAACGTCCTTCATCATCCGGCGAATTTCAAAGGACCGATTCTATTCTCGTTCAACGCGAAGAATTTCTTCGGCAAAAAGAAAGCCTCCATCAAAATAGCCTCCGGAGAATGGTCGGATAAATTCTCCTTAGACGTTGCCGGTTCTTCTGGAGTCATCACTTGCAAATACGAAGAAACCACTTACCAAGTAATTATGTTTTGCAAAGCTTATTTTTTCTAGTTGTATATGGGTTTGATGCAAGTTTGAATCCTGGAATTGAAATAAACTCACTTTTATATTTTGTTTTCAGATGAGATTGTTGTCGTGTGACTGTTTCATTTGAATAGTTGATAATTCTTCAGTCTCATCGTCCATAACTGACAATCTAGAGAAAACTAGATATTTCTGTCAATAAATACTAAGAATATGTTATCAGGTTGAATTGTCTCGAAATGTCACTCAAACAAAGTGATAACATTGGGAAAAAACGATCAAACAAATCATAAAAGTAAAGATTGCTAATTATACAACTAGCTCCACATCAATACACGGACAGTTATTCAACAAGTTGTCCTTTATCAAGTGGGGAATTGAAGGATTATCACAAAACCATCACATAACCTAGATCAGATTTGAGACTGGAAGGAATTGCAATGTAAATCAACATAATAGCAAGACTCGTTATATTCACATTTCTCTCGTTATATTCCTTCAATTTTCATTTTTTAAACACGCTTTGTTAGTCTTAAATTTACTCTTGATAAACCCAGTGAGGTTTACTCAACTTACAAAGAAACTCGCCCTGATATCGAAGAATTCTTTTGAAACAAACATATTTTTAAATATTTGGCAAGTATCTTTTGGTAAATAATACTTCTTTCTGAGTATTAAAAAGAGACAAATCCATATATCTTCAAAGTCTTGTCGATTGTCCATACTCTAAATATACAAAAACGTCAATACAAGAGTGTCGAGTGTCTAGTACACGCCTCCACCTCAATGCCCCGCCCCCAATTGCAGATAGGCGTGCACAACTAGCTGATTTAGAATGGCCTGACCAAGCAGGTGACCTTCACGCCCTACTACGTAATCATAAACAACGCCATCTTCGCCATCGAGTGCCAGAAGAACGACCGACCGGCGGATCTTTTGAAGCACGGAGCTCTCCACCGTCATATTCTCATTCTCGTTGTGATAAATAATGTTCCTTTTATATGATACCCACCACCCCACAATATTTCTCAGATGGCTGCAACGTGTTCATATTCAATAACATTCTAACATGATAAGAGTTTGATATGATATTGGAGTGGAAACAGTCTGAGCTGTATTAAAATCACTTTCGAATAGGCTGCCCCATTTTAGGACACGGTGAGCGAGAGGTTCAAGGAACTCTAGAATACGTCCTCGACTCGATGCTATGCCCCCCCCCCCCCAATTTCAGATAGAGGTGACTGTCACCATTTGAGGACACATGCGCAAAAGGGTTAAGAAACTCTAGTACACGCCTCTGCCTCAATTCTCCGCCCAATTTCAGATAGGCGTGGCTCTCCCCATTTGAGGACACGTGCGTGAAAGGGTTAAGCAACTCTAGTACACGCCTTCGCCTCAATATTCCTCATCCCCCAATTTCAGATAGGCGTGGCTGTCCCCATTTGAGGACGCTGTGAGAGAAAGGGTTAAGGAACTCTAGTACACGCTTCTATCTCAATGCTGCGCCCCGATTTCAGATAGGCGTGCACAACCAGCCGACCTCGAATCAAGAGGTTTTCGAACTTTGAACTAAACCATCTTGAGTTGAGGGAATATTTGAAATATCATAACAGTCTTATCCTAGACAATCCAACAACAACGGTTCGTTGTGGGCGAATTAGCTTCTCGTCCAAATATACAAAAATGTCAAAATAAGAGTGTAGAGTACATGAAGAAACTAGTACACGCCTCTGCATCAATGCTCTGCCCCGAATTTCAGATAAACGTGCACAACCAGCTGACCTCGAATCTCACTATCATACATAATGTTCTTTTCATTCGATTCCCACTTCTTCACAATATTTCTCAGATGGCTGCAAGCGTGATTAATTTCAGTAACATGGTATGAGATTGGGGTGAAAACAATCTGAGCTGTATGCAAATCATATTCGAATAGGCTGTCCCCATTTGAGGACACGGTGAGCGAAAGGATTAGCACGGCTCTGCCTCAATGCTCCGCTCCCAATTCCAGATAGGCGTGCACAACCAGCTGACCTCGAACGGCCTGACCAAGCAGGTCACCTTCACGCCCTACTACGTCATCATAAACAACGCCCCCTTCGCTATCGAGTGCCAGGAGAACGACCGACCGGCGGATCCTTGGGTGGCAGTTGAGCCTCGTTCGTGTTCGCCCTTGTGGCCGAAAAGCGAGAAGTCGGACAAACTGATGCGGATGAGGGTGAAGGGCACGCCGGATTGTACGCCGCCATTTTTGTACACCGAGAGCCACACCACGCTGCTCAAGTTGGCCAACAAGGTGAGAAGAAACCCTTTTCTTGACTATTTTCGATGAAACAATGAAGTCGAGTCTTTACAAAGTCACTTGAGACACCGAAAGCTGTTGTCAAAAGATTCTTGGATTGTTCTTACGGAAACGGTTGAGATTACCTATATCTCCATTTTGGAACAGGACAGGTGAGAGGAATAAAACATTGAACTGCCGGATCTTAGAAGATCTGCAGTATATCGGTAAGTTTCCAGACCCCTCATGAGATATTACTACGGCCCTTTACATTTTTTAGTGAGTGTTCCATACACATTTTGTTGAATGACTTCTTTCAAAGCATTATCAAGCTTCTCGAATTTTTGTCTTACTCTTTACTACCATGATCCACAACATCTGTGACCCGGTTATAATAACTGAAAATGGTAGTACGGCCGATTTAGGTCAATTCCTGAATTCTCTTAAAATTAGGATTTTCAAATAACCATAAATCTCGTACTTGAGACATGAATAGATGTTCGTAATAACCCTTTGTGTTTCAACTTGTAAGTCTTTAAGGGCGAACTCCGCATACTCTACTTCCGAATCACTATCACTAACTTCGTTGTCTTCCTCGAAAGGCCTACAAAATGCTATAATATTCGAATTCCGATTCAGAACACGGAAACACTGATTGAAATAATAAATTGCCTGAGTTTCGAAACGATTTCGCATTACCGTACCACATTGCCTCAAAAAGTATGAACTCACGGAACGCTCAGTAATGACCAATCAACATTTAGTTTAGTTTGAGGTAACCAATGAGATGCGGATTCTCATATGACAGCGCTTGTCCAGCCCACGTTGTCTGCATACCGGGGAAGCTCAACATAACATATTTCATTTATTCCTATTAGAATGTGAATTAAGTTAATGGATCTTCGTATTATCTTCAAAATCGGAAGGGTCTCAACTGACGTTGCAAAGACTATAGATTGTATGTCTTCGATATCATTTCCTCACCTGATGAAATAAAGACTTCATTGTGGTGTTACAGTTTTAGTTATTATTGTACAATAAATCATGTTTCTCATGGAATGTTAATGTCCATGCTGGTTAAACAATGTACTAATTCAAACATAGCTATTTTCATCGGATGTTTGGTATATTGGAGGATTTTGCAGTTTGGTGGCATCAACGTTGACATTCAATTGACTGAAGGAGGAGTGTATATCAATTTGGCTGCTTACGAGGTTGGATCGGCGCCTGCCCTGCTGATAAATCATTCGACAATGGACATCACTTTTTGGGAGAAAGATTCTGTTCAAAAAAGGTAAAAAGGTCATAGCGATTGTTGCAGGTCACAACTATAGTAACGTACTATTTTTTTTTTAATGAACATAATGAAAAGATGGCCAACATACCGAAATGTCTATGAGATGATCTGAAAGAAAATCAAGATTACGACCAGTGGCGTATTAATTTCTCTCCTTTGAGGTCAAATATTGCTCTATATATTTTTTAAATTCTTGTTTCTATAATAGCAAGTACATTTTGGGACAAACTAAAAATAAGATAGTGAAATACTTGATACTCATACTTTTACTTATAGAAAGGATGAGGGGGCATTCCTCAAAATGATCCGAAATGAAATCAAATGACTAGTTCAGGGACACACTTTTTTTTTCTGAAGGGATAAAATTGTAAAAATATGTCAACTCCTGAACCACCCAAATGAAAATAAAAATTTACACTGTAGAGGCGTAGTTATTTTTTTTGTGAGGGTTCAAAACTAGAAAAAATGTCTTCTTAAGCACCTTTGAAAATCAATAGTTTCTTCAGTATCGTACCCAGTTGTTTCAGAGATAATCAAAATCACGGCTCAGGCGCGTACTATTAGGACTTCAAGGACGTACTCAATTTTCTGAGGATGGAAAAAATCTTGAAACATCATTTTTTTTTTCAGAACCATCGAAAGAAAGGAAATTGAAATCATGAATCGGGAGCTTTAGGGGCATACTATTCTTTTTTTTTTTTTTTCGAGAGGTCAGGACCCAAAAATATCGATTTCAGAATCATCTGAAAGAAAATCAAAATTACGAATCCAGGGGTGTACTAAGTTTCGTTCCAAGATAAACAATTAACGAAATATCAAAATTACGACTCCAGGGGCGTAACTAATCATTTTCTGAGGTTCATCAATAAAAAATGTAGAAATATCGAAATTTCTTCAGAACCATCAGGAAGATCAAAATCACGTACGGAAAAACATGAAAAAATTCAAAAATATTGAAATTTCTTCCATACCATACGAAATTGTGACTTCAGGGGCGTTCCCATTATGTTTTCTAACGGTCCATAATCGGAAAATTCCAAAACAAAAAAAATCTTCAAAATGAAGGCACCAGGAGCGCACCCAATTTTTTCTGAGTGGTCAAAATTCGAAAAAACAAAACCTCCGAAATATACAGGCTGATTCACGGTGAACCAGACAACGGATCACTTTGAAAATTCAATGGAGGGCATATTCGGACATTCTCTAGCCAACTAAAATATTTTCGACAATGCGGTGTTGCCCGCTTCTATTAGAAAGCAGTAGCAACTTCGATTTTTCAAATGGAACACTCTGTATATAATATTATTTTTGGAGTCTCCAACAATTGCCCGACAACTTTTCTTGATATTTCCCTATACCTATCTGTTACCGTTTTCGAAATAAAAATTAATTTCAATTTTTTCTTCGAAAATCATGACTTCTAAAAATGCCGATATCTTTTAGTTAAGAAGTACTATGATATCGAAATTTGGTTTGGAGTTAGGTGATACTTGGACACTTCCCACACGTCAGCCTAATCTCCGTTACTTCAATACAGGGTGATAAAAAAATACAGTTTTTCCGTTTGCTTGAAAAAGTTGCTGAAATTTGATTATTTTGAATGGAACACCCTGTATATTATTGAAAATGCGGAAAGCTGCTGAAATTTGCTTTCTTTCTATGTTTATCATACCTATACCTAACTAGTCAAGTTTCGGACTTATGAGCATTTATCTGTGAAAATTGAAATTAATTTTTATTTCGAAAACGGTAACAGATAGGTATAGGGAAATATCAAGAAAAGTTGTCGGGCAATTGTTGGAGATTCCAAAAATAATATTATATACAGAGTGTTCCATTTGAAAAATCAAACTTGCTACTGCTTTCTAACAGAAGCGGCAACACTGCATTGTCGAAAATATTTTAGTTGGCTAGAGAATGTCCGAATATGCCCTCCATTAAATTTTCAAAATGATCCGTTGTCTGGTTCACCAGAAACGTCTAATGTGCCATCCACCGTGAATCAGCCTGTATGTTCCAGAGTTGGATCCATGGGCCTACCCAAAATTTTTTCTAGGGGGTCAGAGTAATAGAAAACAAAAAAATCCTAATTCTACCCCACAGTCCTCCCACCCAAACACCTCTGTTTCTACACGTGGGAGAACCCCAGCGGCTCGCGCATCCTCGTCTGGGACAGGGGCAACCGCAAAGAGATCATGAACGATCTGCGCAAAGACACCTGCGGTGAATTCAAGTTGAGCGACCGCCACAACGTGTGTTGGGCCTCGTTCTTGGACGGCATGCAGCGTATTAATTTTATGAGAGGGCAAAATTGAAAATGTCAAAACATCGAAATTTCTTCGTAACCACTCGAGAAACATTTCTAGAATGCTACATCAGGGGCGTGCCAATTTTTTTTCTGTTCCGAACGTAAAATAAATGCCAAAACATCGAAATTACCCGAAAAATGAAACTCCATGTGCGTACCATTTTTTTTTCAAGGGGGTCAAAATTATAAAAAAATAAAAAATTACTGTTCCAGAGTCCTCCCACCCAAACACGTCTGTTTCTACACGTGGGAGAACCCCAGCGGCTCGCGCATCCTCGTCTGGGACAGGGGCAACCGCAAAGAGATCATGAACGATCTGCGCAAAGACACCTGCGGCGAATTCAAGTTGAGCGACCGCCACAACGTGTGTTGGGCCTCGTTCTTGGACGGCATGCAGCGTATTATTTTTTTGAGGGGGCCAAAATTGAAAATGTTAAAACATCGAAATTTCTTCGTACCCACTCGAGAAACATTTTTAGAATGCTACATCAGGGGCGTCCCAAATTTTTTTCTGTTCCGAAAGTAAAATAAATGCCAAAACATCGATATACCCGAAAAATGAAACTCCATGGGCGTACCATTTTTTTCCAAGGGGGTCATAATTATAAAAAAATCAAAAAATCTGTTCCAGAGTCCTCCCCCCCAAACACGTCTGTTTCTACACGTGGGAGAACCCCAGCGGCTCGCGCATCCTCGTCTGGGACAGGGGCAATCGCAAAGAGATCATGAACGATCTGCGCAAAGACACCTGCGGCGAATTCAAGTTGAGCGACCGCCGCAACGTGTGTTGGGCCTCGTTCTTGGACGGCATGCAGCGTATTATTTTTTTGAGGGGGCCAAAATTGAAAATGTTAAAACATCGAAATTTCTTCGCAACCACTCGAGAAACATTTCTAGAATGCTACATCAGAGGCGTCCCAAATTTTTTTCTGTTCCGAAAGTAAAATAAATGCCAAAACATCGAAATCACCCGAAAAAGTAAACTCCATGGGCGTACCATTTTTTTTTCAAGGGGGTCAAAATTATAAAAAAAAAATAAAAAATCTCTGTTCCAGAGTCCTTCCCCCCAAACACTTTTGTTTCTACACGTGGGAGAACCCCAGTGGCTCGCGCATCCTCGTCTGGGACAGGGGCAACCGCAAAGAGATCATGAACGATCTGCGCAAAGACACCTGCGGCGAATTCAAGTTGAGCGACTGCCACAACGTGTGTTGGGCCTCGTTCTTGGACGGCATGCAGCGTATTATTTTTTTGAGGGGGTCAAAATTGAAAATGTTAAAACATCGAAATTTCTTCGCAACCACTCGAGAAACATTTCTAGAATGCTACATCAGGGGCGTGCCAATTTTTTTTTCTGTTCCGAAAGTAAAATAAATGCCAAAACATCGAAATCACCCGAAAAATTAAACTCCATGGGCGTACCATTTTTTTTCCAAGGGGGTGATCATTATTAAAAAAATCAAAAATCTCTGTTCCAGAGTCCTTCCCCCCAAACACGTCTGTTTCTACACGTGGGAGAACCCCAGCGGCTCGCGCATCCTCGTCTGGGACAGGGGCAACCGCAAAGAGATCATGAACGATCTGCGCAAAGACACCTGCGGCGAATTCAAGTTGAGCGACCGCCGCAACGTATGTTGGGCCTCGTTCTTGGACGGCTTGCAGCGTATTATTTTTTTGAGGGGGTCAAAATTGAAAATGTTAAAACATCGAAATTTCTTCGCAACCACTCGAGAAACATTTCTAGAATGCTATATCAGGGGCGTCCCAAATTTTTTTCTGTTCCGAAAGTAAAATAAATGCCAAAACATCGAAATCACCCGGAAAATTAAACTCCATGGGCGTACCATTTTTTTTCCAAAGGGGTGATCATTATTAAAAAAATCAAAAATCTCTGTTCCAGAGTCCTTCCCACCCAAACACGTTTGTTTCTACACGTGGGAGAACCCCAGCGGCTCGCGCATCCTCGTTTGGGACAGGGGCAACCGCAAAGAGATCATGAACGATCTGCGCAAAGACACCTGCGGCGAATTCAAGTTGAGCGACCGCCACAACGTGTGTTGGGCCTCGTTCTTGGACGGCATGCAGCGTATTATTTTTTTGAGGGGGCCAAAATTGAAAATGTTAAAACATCGAAATTTCTTCGCAACCACTCGAGAAACATTTCTAGAATGCTACATCAGGGGCGTGCCAATTTTTTTTCTGTTCCGAAAGTAAAATAAATGCCAAAACATCGAAATCTCCCCGAAAAGTAAACTCCATGGGCGTACCATTTTTGTTCCAAGGAGGTCATTATTAAAAAAAAATAAAAATCTCTGTTCCAGAGTCCTCCCACCCAAACACGTCTGTTTCTACACGTGGGAGAACCCCAGCGGCTCGCGCATCCTCGTCTGGGACAGGGGCAATCGCAAAGAGATCATGAATGATCTGCGCAAAGACACCTGCGGCGAATTCAAGTTGAGCGACCGCCACAACGTGTGTTGGGCCTCGTTCTTGGACGGCATGCAACGCGTGCTGCTCTTCACCGAAGAGAAATCCTTGGCGGAGGGGGCGCAGGCGAGTAACCTCTTCGAGGTCATCCAGCAGGAGATCACGGTGGCCGTGCACGGGGTGGGCGTGTCGTTGGTGAATAACGCGAGAAGGCAGGAGATCATGTACATCGGGATCGCTAGTACGGGTATGTGATTTCTTTTGTTTTCGCTTCAACTCGTGAAAATGGCCTAAGTAACGAAATAAATTGAATGGAATGTCTTTTGTATCGTTTACTTGATAGTTTGTTACATAACACATAGCGTCAATTGTATTTCAGAATAGTCAATTTCATTTGAGAAAGCTTCATCTGTATTGACAGGATAGTCACGTGTCTTTCAGAAAGCGTCAATTCAATTCAATTCAATATATGCTTTATTGCCATAAATACATTCGTATTTGTTGACAAAGCTCGTACATATACATATTTAAATGAAATATAATAAACAATATGCAGTTCAAAATGTGAAGCTGTCTAAAATAATTTCAAAATATACAATCAAAAGCTCGTATAAAGCCTTAGTTAAAAATAAGAAATAAAAAACAACATAGACAATGAATAATAAAACATATAAAATATTGTAATAAAACTCACATGTGAGAGCTCCTATGAAGCTATAGTCAAATATTTCAAGATTATATATATGTTGTATAGAACGATCCTTTTAAGAATTAATCAAGAAGAAAAACATAATTTCAGAATCTCTGTGAAAAATATTCCTCGAGGTTGTATAGTGGAGTCTGAACGAGCAACATTTTCACCTTAGTCCGGAATTTTTTGTTACAGGGAATTTCTTTGATGTGATTTGGCAAATGATTGAATATCTTTATTCCGTTTTAAATAATGGAGTCTTTGATCATAGTGGTACGGGGTCTTATCAATTTAACTTGTCCGTTCTGTCTTGTGTTGTAATGTGATGAAACAAGCTCTAAAGAAGCTATGTTTTTTTGTATCAGAGCCGTTGTTTCCAAGATGAATAAACCAACTACTGTGAGGATGCCGCCATTCTTAAATAAATGTCTACATGAGTCTCTTGATTTCGCTCCACACATATATCTTAGGGCACGTTTTTGTAAAACAAAACTTCTCTGGAATAGCTGATCATTGCAGACTCCCCAGAATGCAATTCCATATCTCAAATGAGATTCGATGAGGGCAAAGTATGCAGCTCTAGCAGGCACAAACCCTAATTCTGCAGCAATAGCTCTAACAGCGAAGCATCCAGAGGCTAACTTTCTACACATTGATGTTACATGTTCATCGAATATTAGTTTTTTGTCAATGTATAAACCTAAAAACTTGGTCGATGATTTATTTTCTATGTTATCGCTTCCCATACCTAAATTTGGTAGATTGCAATGGAAGGATAGAATATTCGTTTTCTTTATATTGAGCGAAAGAAGATTTGAATTACACCAGTCTTTAATTACTTCAATATCGTGCATAACAGTTGTGTGCAGTACAGCTTCACTCATATCTTGCCAGAGGATAGTGGTGTCATCAGCAAATAAAGTGATTTTACCTTTGATGTCTAAAAGAACTATGTCATTCACATACAGTAAAAATAGCAGTGGTCCAAGAACTGATCCTTGCGGTACACCATGTTTGATATGTGCGGTCTTTGAGACGCTGCATGTTTTAACAGATTGTTGACGACCTGTGAGGTAAGTCTCAAACCATCGGAGCCGACTATCAGTAAAACCGTAACGATGCAGCTTCCGCAGCAGTATTTCATGATTTACGCAATCAAATGCTTTCGAAAAATCACAAAACACTGCCGCAGCAGCTGCCCCTCTGTTTAAGCTCATATACACCTCCTCCATGAAGGAAAACAGAGCATCATTTGTGCTTTTTTTTGGCTGAAATCCAAATTGATGTTCTGTCAGTATTTTAGTGCGTTTCAAGAATTTTAATATTCTAATTTTAACTAATTTTTCGATGATTTTTGCAAGAGTAGGTATAAGCGTGATTGGACGATAATTATTTGGATCTAACAAATCACCTCCTTTGTGAATTGGTATAACTAAGGATTGTTTTAGGAATGAAGGAAATACCCCACATCTAAATGATTCATTTATGAGATAAACAAGCACCGATAATGCAGAATCTGGTAAATTTCGGAAAATATTAGCTGATATTTCATCCACTCCTGACGTATTTTTCTTCTTTATGTCATATATAACTGACTTCAATTCAACAATATCAGTGTCAGTCAGCTGGAATTCTTCATTAATTTCAATAGATTGTATATTGTCAAGTGGATCCTGAGCAATCTTCACATCATTAGTAATCCGTTCGGCTATAGTGCAATAATGTGTATTGAGAGTATCAGGGTTCAATGAGATTTTTGAGTTTGAATTCGCTTTGCCCCTGAGCTCATTCATTACCTTCCATGTTTCCTTCACAGGATTGCCTGCATTTTCAATTCTGTGTCTGTAATATATTTCCTTCGCTCGTTTCACTGTTTTACGGTAGATATTCCTATATTTCAGATAATAATCATGGAACCATTTTTCGTTCGTGAATTTTCTCATGAAATGCAATGAGCGTAAATTATTGGCAGAAACTTTGATACCTAGTGTTAGCCATGGTTTTTTTATTTTATGTTTTATTTTTTGGAGTGGAAAAGCAAGATTGAAATTTTGTAAGTTTGTTATAGAATATTTGGAATTGATTATTATTTATGATATTCCAATTAGTTTGATTGCAATAATTATAGAACTTCTCGAAGTTACTTTTACTGTATAGCCTCCCGTAATGGAAAGTTCCATTTTTCTTTTTAATCTTTCGTTTATTACTTGTGATAATGCAACTCGTCAGTATGGCTTCGTGATCAGATATACCAGAGGGTTTTACACTTGTGATCACGTCATCAAGGTTACTGCAGACATAATCAATCAGTGATTCTTTGCTCGGTAACAAGTGTGTTGGCTCATCTACATGCATTTTCAAATGACAAGAGTCTAGGACATTCATCAGTACTTGTGTAGCATCATTACTAGTTTCATAATAGTTTATGTTGAAATCACCCGCCACTATGATCGAAGACCTTAGGGGCAAATCTGACATCAGAACCTCCAGTTTTTCCAGGAATATATTCACATTTGATGAGGGTGATCTATATACACAAAAAATATAAATGTCAAGCTCCCTACAAAAAACTAGAGAGAATTCAAATACTTTCTCTTGAAGTAAAAAATTATATTTATCGATTTCACTAAAATTATAATCATTCAAAAGCGATATTTTGATAAAGATTATCGTACCACCATATGTTGTACCCTTTTTCAGAGGCGTACTTGTTCTAGAATATTTTGCTATAGGTCTATAACCTGGTAGATGAATATTTTCGTCAACGAACAACCAATGTTCCGTAAGCATTATTATGTCTGGAAAGAAGTTATGTTCTAATAAAATGTATAGTTCATCAGTTTTGTTCCTGAGTGACTGGATATTGAGTAGCATCAAGACAAGATCGATAGTGCCACTTTGCCTATCCCTAAAAAATCTTTATTGACGGGATCATTAATATTTTCGAGATTCCTTTCTGATGTTACTTCTGACTCATTATAATTTTTTTCACTTGATTCGCAATATTCTCCCACGTTGTAAGATTCATAGTTGATAGCAATGTTATTAATTGTTTTTAGGACAATAACTTGATATTTCTCGTAGTGATCAATAGAATTTTTAATTTTTGCCAGTATATCAAACTTACTTCCTTTTATATTCTTGTCAGCATAAAAACTGAGTGAGCAATTCTTGTTGAATTTCTTGTAGGAAATCATACAGCTGAATATAATATTATTAATGTTTTTGTCCTGGATGGAGTTACATTGGGAAATTATAATCACATTCGTTATTTTACTCAGACCTAGGGTGTTATTCAAGAATAGCTGCAAACTTCTATTATTACTCACGTTGATTGTATTGAACATTACTATTATCATATTATCAAGTCATTTTGACCATAGTCTATTGATTCGAGAAATAAGTTTTTTGTTAGCTCTGACACTTCTGATTCGGGGTTTATTATTTCACTGACCTTATATCTATTTTCTAATGTCTTATTCAGCACTTTTGAGAATCCGATCGCGTACTGGTCGCCGCAGATGAGGATTTTTTTTCTTCCATCCGAGTCATATTTTGCAAAGGGGTATGTTTCATTTGGATGACTGATGCTATCCAGTTTTATACTTGGGTTCATCTTCAAACTGTTATCAGGTTCTTCCATACAAAAAATCTTGTGGGTACGATTTTGTGTGATTTCATTTTCACTGTTATCCATATTGATGTTGTCCATGTCTTCAAAATGTGTCGATGCATTATTCCTTTCGTTAGCTTCAGTAGTGTTATTGGCTACTTCCATTTCTTCAAATAGACTAGTTGAGTTTCTATCTTCATAATTCGAGTTCTCCACCATCAGTTTATCATTTTCTTGCGCATCTGTATGGGTAGTTGATTGTTTATTCAGATTCAAAGTTCCCTCTGTGACTGAAAATATCTTATCAGTGGTGTCCGATTTTTTTTTGGTTTTTGGTATTTTTCTCAGATTCTTTTTCTCTATTCCGATTTTTGTTCTTACATTTACAATTTCCTCCTTTCCCTTGTACATTCCTTTTTAATGGTTCACTTTTTTGTTTATTGTACATTTCAGGGTTCACCTGCCGTTTCGAGAGATTTGTCAACGTTGTAAGATCAGTTGAGATTGTCTGTGTACCTATGTGATTCATGTTATTTATCAATGAAGTTTTTTTGCGGGTTTCCTGGGTTTGAGTCTCCGCGTCAACAAAAAGTGGTGCTTCTTCATGTCGATGTTTTGCAGCACTTACAGGTTTTTTCTCATTTTGTAGTGTTGAGATAAACTGATTTTTTTCGTTTATTGTGTCCAGTAATTCTCGCTCCATATTCAGAGATTCTTCGAGGAAAATATCATGTTCCTCCTTCAGTTTATTTATGTAATGAGATTTCTGATTACACACCTCTTTTAATTCATCCACGAGTGACATCAAAGGATTATCCACCTCACTTGAGTCAAGGTCTGTGTCACATTCCCTACATATCACTTTATAACTGCCTAAATACCTTAGTGATTTGCATTTTCCTGCACAACTTTTATGGAATACACCTACACACTTTACACAAATGTAGTACATATTCAATGGTTTAGAATTGTACTTGAAAATAGTCACCTGTGTTCCAGAAAACGTCAATTGTATTTCATGATAGTTATCTGTGTTTTAGAAAGCGTCGATTGTATTTTAGAATAGTCAATTTCATTTGAGAAAGCCTCATCTGTATTGACAGGATAGTCACGTGTCTTTCAGAAAGCGTCAATTGTACTTGAAAATAGTCACCTGTGTTCCAGAAAGCGTCAATTGTATTTCATGATAGTTAATTGTGTTTCGAAAAACATCAATTGTATATCAGAATAGTCATCCGTGTTTTAGAAAGCGTCGATTGTATTTTAGGATAGTCACTTTGTAATTGTATCGAATGTATTTCGAAATAATCAATTGATATTATCAACAAGCACTTCAAATCTAACTTCATATTGGTATGGAATTCTCAAATCCATGAACATCATACTAGACAATATGACTTGTTTCATCTTGATGCTGCTAATTCTACACTTGGCCAAAAAAAGTTCACTCACGAAGCTTTCTCAAAATTCAATAAATTACCTGATGATATCAAAAGTTGCCCAAATATCACTCAATTCAAAATTGAAGTCAAGAAACATATCCTCTTGCAAAGAGAAAATCAAACCTGCGTGAATGATTTCTCATTCACTAATTTATTTCATCATGCCATAATGTACTTTTCATGAGCTTTTTATTTTATTATTATTTTTGAATCTGTTGTTTATTACAATAACTTAGAAACAATAACGCATGAATAATCTCATACCAGATATGAATCTGTCTGATTATTCATGTGATTTCATTGTAAATCTTTATGAAATATATTTATATAAAACGCCCCCCCCCCTCTATATCTCAGTTATTAGTCATGCGATTCCAACCAAATTTGGTGTGGTATGAATAACCATCAATATGGTCAGTTTTACAGAGATGCAGATTATTTTGAAAAGTGCCGTGCGTTTTTATTGAACTAAAAATGGGTCGATTTTTCATAAAATCATATTAGGCATTTTTTAACAGGAAATCTAACCTCATATTATTGTTCCTCATGCTTTCAAACCTCCATACGCAAAAAATCACCTAATTCCGAATTAACAGGATTGGCTTCATTTTTTTCAGTTTCAGTCTCGAATAAATAGTGACTTCAAATCAACTACGAATTTTGGAACGTTCAATGGCTCCGGTAGGTGGAAAATCATGATTTGGAAGGAAAAACAAGTTATACTTTTTTATATTGAACCGTTTCCGAGTTAATAATCATTAAGTTCGCAAAAATGCTGTTTAGATGTGCTTGTTTTTCAGAAACCCTTCATAGGCATTTTATGAAAATCCACATATGCGGGTTCGAGATTATGAAGAAAAATATTATGAGGTCAGTTTTCTTGTGAAAAAATGCCTAATATGATTTAATAAAAAACTGACCCCTATTCATTTCAATAAAAATGCACGGCACTGTCTAAAATGATGTTTGTCTTTGAAGAACTGGTCATACTGATGATTATTCATACTGATACAAATTTGGTAAAGATCGCACGAACGATAGTTGAGATATAGAGGGGGGGGGACGTTTGAAATGAGATACGCTGTATATGAGATGCAATGTAATGTTAATTATTGAAGCGTTATTCGTATTTCGGAATAGTCAATAGAATTTCATGATAGGTTATTGACTGGACGTTATATTTTCAATAATAAATGAATGAATAAATGTTTCTTATGCATATCGCTGGTGCCGGTTTACTGAACAATTTCAATAGCTCATTTTTTTCAATTGAATATTCGTCAATATGGACAATGTAAGGTTGAAGTTATCATCTATTTTTTCATAACTGAATCATCTATTTTTCTATAACTGCGTACAAGCGGGCCGACGACGTTTGGCGTTTGTTTTTTGCTGTTTCTGCTCCAATTGACTATAGACAACAGACTACCTACAGAAAAAATATTTTATGTTGTCGTTCTACAGTGTCTTTAAGAAAAAAAGCATCATGTTGGAAAATCTTTTAACGATAATTTATTCTGAAATTCTACGTAGGTGTTGAGTTTCGCTTTAAAAAATTTAAAGAATGACCTACTCGGTCAGGGTTACATGTCAAAAGTTGAAATATTTCGAAAACGTTCACTGACAAATGTTGTTTCTATTCCGATTTTCATATCTGAAATCTGAACGTTCTATTGAATTTTTTAGTTTGTGAAATTTTTTTTCATTTTTTATTAGAAAATTGAAACTTTGGCAGAACTGTCCTAAACTTTGGTTAGATACTTGAAATAGTTTGATGATATTTTGATTTGATGACTTTGGCATCATTTCAGTAATGAAAAAAATCCATTCCTAAATGTTTGAAGATACATCAACCTTACATCAAACATAATAGAAAGTCAACGTGGGATTTTGTTTCTCCTTTTTCATGTTTTTTACGCTCCGTGAAAATAATCTCCATCCTCCTTAGGAGTCATATGGGAATCGAAGAAACCCAACAGCAAAAGATTCAAACACCTCGGCCCCAAAGACTCCCTCACAATGGAAAACGCCTTCCAAGACTACCTCAGACGCAGCGAGAGCGACTCCAACCTCACCATGGACCGCGTCATAATCGACGCCAAAACCGAGGTGGATTTCAAGGCCGGCCTGATGCTGAAGCCGCACAAGCGCACCATCCGCAGGACCTTCCTGACCGGCCTGTGGATGCAGCTGAAGACCAGCCCCAGCCAGATGCAGCTGCACGCGAAGATCAACCGGCTGCAGATCGACAACCAGATGTACGATTGTATTTTCCCTGTGGTTTTGGCCCCTGTGCCGCCTCCCAAAAGTGTGTCTGCTGATAGCGGTGAGAATACTGTGTTTTCTCTCATTTCAGAAATTGAACAACATTCAACAATCCACAACGGGGAAGTTTTCTTCAGATGAATTTTCATTAAATTAGTTCGGCACTTTACAGTTTTATGTCCACCTGTACAGAATGGCGATCGGTAAAGTCCAAGTCGTTTTTATCTCCAACATATAGGAATTCCTCATTTTCGGGGCGGCAAACTGCGACGTATATTCTGAATCTAGTCTGAATATAACTGATGATGAAGAACATTGCTAACGAATAAAACAAATTTAAGGAGAAGAAGACAACTTGGCATCGTTTCCGATTGTATAATGAAAAATAACGATGATCAGCTAACTAAGAACAGCTATTCGCAATAGAAAATAAGCGTACGCCACCTATCGGAGTTCTTGAAAGCTGTCAATGCGGTATGTTTACTTTGTTTTCATTGGTTCACATATGTTTTTTGTTTGTGCTTATTGGTCATATCATCAAAACATGCTCAGAAGTGTTCAATTTGTTGCCGCCAGGTGGGGCGATGTGTTATTTTCTATCGTGAATAAACTGGTTAACAATAACATACATAATGATAAATTCAGATCAGCTTTCGATGTGACTGTCAGTATTTTGTGTGGTGTGGGCGGACTCAAAGTATTATGCGCTGTTGCAAGATATAATCTGCAACGTTACTAGAAAATAGATCCGTTTAATAATGGAACAAATTCATTTGCAAAATAATGACTGACAAGTTATGGTTATCATTTTGTAATATAACGAAAGTGAATAATTGAATATACTATTGCAAAATATCATAATGAATCTTTATTAGTAATCAATTTCATGTAACAAATCAGAGGTAAATGAAAAGTATTCATAATACCTACGAAGTAGGTTTAAAAAACTCACAATGTATTGAAAAATGATTTCCGGCATACTGGACATATTAATGATGCCGGCAACGTCCTACTGATACTGGGTATTGGATGAAAAAATTAGCCACACAATGGGCTTATATCACAAAAAAAAGAATTATTTCATAATTCGATAGAACTCACCCAAACTAGCTCACCACCGCAAACCGTTTCTTGATGTGAGCTCCTTACGTTTTATAAAAATTTATTGAAATCCCCGATTTTTCGGACCTCTGAAAACGAGGCGATGATGTGACGTCAAAACCCTGATACTGAAACAAGACTATTCCAGACAGAGATATGATACATGATTTCTGACAAAGTGAATTAGCGCGAGATCACAGTTGAAAGAATTAATATATCAGTTGCCTCAGTCTCCGTCGGGCGTTTGGTATTTTCTTTTAACTAGGGCGAGATGAGGTGTCTACGTCATAAGAGGGTCCGTTTTCAGAAGGTACTATTATTTATGTCCAAAAATTAAACATTCCAGTTGATTTTTCGATCGAATTATGTCACCAATCATTATTTATGTATAAAAGGATCATCAAACATGGTTTGAGTTGAAAGTTCTACTAAGGTGTACACGCCCATTGTGATATTAAACAAAAACTTGTATTTCCAGTTTCAGTCCATTTTATGAAATACAGACAAATTTAATTGCTTTTACAAAATTGGTTCAAAACATGATCTATGCAAATACAACTAATTCAAATTCCATCAGATGAATTTTGCTCTATGGACTAATGATTTTACGTGAAAAACGGTCACTATTAACTGTCCCCAAATTTCATAGTTGCTTTTCTTCCGAGCCGTTCAACTAATTTCAATGATTTTTGTTAAACCATTCATTTTTTATTCCAATTCAAGCATGTACAGGATGCAATGAGGAAATATAGAACGTTTTCACGTGTGACCGGTTTCCATTTGTGGGGCAGTTTATTTCACTAAATGTAAAAGCTTTGGTGAAGAATAATAATTTGAGGTATTATTCATGAATAATTTCGCATTAACAAACCTTGAATTTTTGTAGGTGTGAAGCCCTTCGTTGAAGTGAGCATTGTTAAATTGCTGTTGAAAAACAGTCAAATCCAGCAGTTCAAATACTTCAAAGTATTGGTCCAAGAGTTCCATATTAAAGTGGACATTGGCTTCATCAATGCCATTATGGATATGTTGGAGCATTCTGAAGATTCTGTCGAATCTGAGGTTAGTATCTTTGCCTTATTGATAGATCGATTAACAATAAACTGATTCGCGAATATTTCATCTTGTGAATCCCACTGGATACTGTTTCCGAATGCTTGAACTCAATCCATTGCAAGTTGTGGCGTTCCAGAAGGTTCAGATTTGGGACCCTTATGGTTTTCAATTATGTTTGTGAATCAGCTGACATCAAAATCATAATTGAAGCCCAATACTTTCGGAATCTGCACAAGTCCATCTCATCAGGAAAATCTCTAACTTTGAAATTTTGACTTTTTAATGAAAATATTTCAATCCGGCTTCGATGCGCGACATTCCTTCTTGTTTAAAAACATCTGAGAATAAACTTTCGCATACCCTTAACTAGTCAACAAAAAGTTGTTTACCTTGTCGCTCATAGATACCGACACCTAGAGTGAGTTAATAAAATAGAGTGGCCACAATAGTGATGCACTTTTTGATTGCTCAGACCTCAAATATGGAGGTGCAGCCACCCACCTGTCTAGTTTTCTCCAGCATTCCTATGCATTCTATGTCACTGTGTCACTATTACCCACTCTTTGTACACAAACCATCCAACAATCAGACATTAGACTCTATACGTCGGTACCTTAGATATTAATCATCAGAAAACTATCATAAAAAATATCAAACTCAACACCACGTGGACACTTCAAGGCGCAAATTCATTACTGCATGGCAGCTACCCTTCAGATTTTCAGCTATTGAGTGACTTGACCACGAATGGCATTGACATTTTAGTCCTCTGCATAACCAAAATTCAGATGCCACGAGTTTGCTGTTGCCATATTCGATATGAATACCAAGTTTCAGTGGAAAGACCTAACTGATTCTTAGAGGATAAAACTGTGCTCTTAACCTTTTAGGTGGAACTGTGATTTGAGCTTTGTTACATCATGAACGGCAACCGGAAATGGTAGCCATTTCTGAGGTCCATTGTCGCCACTCTATTTTATATAATCTCTCTACCGCCACCTACTGAATAGAATTTCTGGCTACATTGCTCTCATAAGGATGGTAAGTGTGAATAACCAAGGCTCATATTGATTTTTTCATTAGAAAGAACTGTTCCTTGCCGAGATGAAGATAATCGACGAAGAGCTGTATTCGCACGTATCTTCTCAGTCCATCCAGGAGCAGAAGAGCTTCTACGATTTACTGCATTTCTCGCCCTTCAAGATCCACATAAGCTTCTCATTGGCTGCTGGCTCGACTTCCGGTCAGAATCCTTCCACGCCCAACTTCCTGAACGTCTTGCTGCAAGGATTGGGAGTTACTTTGACGGATATGCAAGATGTCGTCTTCAAGTAAGCGAAAATTGTTTACATTTTTAAATGTCATGGAAGCATTCAATTTTCGGTCCATATGCTGTGAGGGAAATAGGTTACAAGCATAGACATATTAAGATGGGGAGATATAACATTTCATTCATAAAACACTATTTGTTGACAATCATACATACTCCCAAAGTTTCAAATACGTTATAAAGAGATGGCTTTAAAAAATGGCAATGTTGTAAACTGTGCGCCATTGTTCACATTTTTCTTTACCAGTCGCGTAGATTGAGGTAGGGGCAAGATAATTTTACTACAATGACAACGCTATTATACCCTATTAGAACATGTTTGGGTCTAATATTCATAGTACCTTAGGTATTCACCTAATTTTGATCAATCATTCAGTGGAATTTGAACAAAAGAAACAACGTTTCTTGCAATAAATTAGTCGAATAACCTGATATAACTACACCATTGGTCAAGTTGAAAGGAACATAACCTTACTTACCGTCGAAATACCAATTTGGGGTTTGGATAGTGAACTTTTTCACAATCCACGCACTAGCGAATCATATTAGATTATTAATAATTGTCTTCATATAGTTGCATAACAAGAAAACACTGAAAATCAATTAAAATACAGGAAATCCTAAAATGGTAACAAACACAGCACAACAACACTGTAACGTCGGCTTTCGACATACGTGAATGACTTTAAGAAACATTTTGCGTCACTCGCACTAAACACGCCAATACAGCGTTGCCACAGTTATTTCCATGATACATTATAATTTTATGTAACACAGGCTGTAGATCTGGGGCAATCCACAGACATTTATCACCATCGTTTTCTGCTGAAACCGATGTTGGATCAGGACCAAATGTAACCAATTTGTGTCCCCTCTTCGTGTATGTCTATGGTTAGAAGTTATTAATTTTAGTTTTCATAAAGTGTGTTCGGCTGACAGTGTTTCGTTTGTGTTCCTCATAAAATAACTTTGGACCACTTCGAGAAATGGATGATTTTAATGATTTCTTTCATTTAAGGTTAGCTTTCTTCCAACGGGAGCACACCTTCTTGACCCAGCGACAGTTGATCAGCGAAGCGACCAGTCATTACGTGGGCCAAGCTGTCAAACAGCTCTACGTCTTGGTTTTGGGATTGGATGTCTTGGGTAACCCTTACGGACTCGTAGTCGGTATAACGAAAGGGGTGGAGGACCTCTTCTACGAACCATTCCAGGTATTATCAACAGTAATATCAGGATTTTCTGAATATTAGGAGATCAGTTTGTCGCATTGTTGTTCGAGAAATTTCGTTACACACCGAGTCCGATGAGATTGAATGAATATCTGCTGACGAGTTTCCTCGAATTACAAGAGTACACAATAAATAAACAGTCAATGATGCTTAAATTACTACCAAAGAATCCAAATAATACACACAAGCAATTGAACCATTTCAAAACAACTAATTTCATATAATTCCACAACCGGCCACTATGGCGCAAAGATCTTGAATTCAGTCGCCTTCCGAAAGCAATCAAAAGAGCCGTGACGATAGTTACAATGATTCAAATGTTGAATATTCTTTCCTTTTAGGGCGCCATCCAGGGCTCCATGTTGAATTTTGAAATGAATAGAACCATAATAAAATTCTAACTTGATGGGAGCCTGAGTGAATTCTCATTGATTCCGAGAAATTAGTAAATTATATCTGGTAACGCGCCCACAACCAGTTTTACACCAAACCATGCTGATAGCTGCGCGGTTTTATTGAAGGAGGTTATGTTTCCATTGTTCGTTGTTGTTTTTTGTTTGTGCCTTTTTTCCTGATTCATGGTAATATGCGCTGTTTTCTTTGTATTCGCACTTCAAGTTGGATTTAATCTCTACGAACTGATTAGTCCGTCAGAATTGTAATATTTTCTGATATCACTGGTAGTGAGCATTATCGCATGAGTAAGCCTTATGAAAAAGTGAACCGTTGATATTTTTCCTTCCAAGTCCAAGTCGTTTTTACTCTCAAAATAGAGCAATTTAATTAATTAATTTTCTTGGCGGCAGATTGTGATTACATTCTGAATCTAGTCTGGATATAGCTGGTGATGGAGAATATACCTAGCGAATATCTAACGAATGAAAAACTGATGAAAAAATAGAAGAAAAAGAAGACAACTTGGCGTCGTTGATGATAATATCATGTAAAATATCTCACTAATAATACAAGTATAAACTGTAAACATTGACTAACGATTAACTGGAGAACATATATAACCACAAAATCAGATCAGCTCTCGGTTTGCTTGCCAGTATTTGTCAATGTATTATGCGCTGTTGCAAGATATAATTTGCTACTTTCATAAAAAATTGATCTGTTTTATAATAGAGCGAATTCATTTGGAAAATAAAGACTGACAAGTTATGATTATATCATTTTATAATATAACGAAAGTGAAAAATACTGATACTATTACAAAATATCAAAATTTATCTTCAATATTAATCAACTTTATACAGCAAATGAGAGATTTATAAAAATTATCCATAATACTCGAAGAATTTCCGAAAATCTAGACATCTTGATAATGTTGTACTGATATACGGAATCGTATTTTAACTCTTTATGAATGTGGCTTTTCAGAAAGAACGTTATAGGAATGAAGAAGCCGAGTTCTTCTTTCATTTGTTTTTTTCTGAACTGAAATTTGAAAAAATATAGAATCCGTGAGATGCAAACCTCCATTTTGGAAACTACTCTATTTGTAAAATTTGTGAAATTTTTATATCGCTACTTCAAAGTTGGGAACCAACTCCCCAGAAGTCGAAACTTGTGCGAAGTTAGAAAGACTATAGATTGCAAAAGCATGCTTCTGATCAGTGTGACACTAATTTGATGATTATTTTTTCATTCTGTAATCAAAAAGTCACCGAAAGTGACAGATACTTGTAAACAGAATTACTACTCATTCCAAATATTTCGCCTCAACATTCTGCTGAAATTGCTTAGTATCAAAAGGTAGTGTGCCTTCAGTGAACTGTCATTATTTTAGAGGGGGAAGGAATGTCACATTCATTTCCCTTGTTTTTTTAATATCAAGTCTTGACTTATCAATAATAAATTAATAATATCATTTTCAGTTGAACTAAAAAAAATGATTTCGTCTTGAGTGAGTCTTATTTTACTGTCTCCTTTATTTTGTCAAATATATTTATATATTCACCATGTTCCCTGCTATAAACAAATGTTGTTTAATAATAAAGTTTATTGATTGATTTTAATACCATAAAATGCCTGTTATTAAAATAACTAGCTAGATAAACGAGAAACTACTTAGGTGACAACGTCACAACTGACAAATTTCACCAGCTGATCAACTGCTGCTGATTACTGTTGAAAACGTATTCCGAATTACAGCACTGTATTTTATATCTCGGACCACAGATTCTCCGTGGATCTACTAATTTTATTATCCGTGCTTTCTTTTTATAGGGCGCCATCCAGGGCCCCGGCGAGTTCGCCGAAGGCCTCGCCCTGGGCGTGCGCAGCCTGTTCGGGCATACGGTGGGCGGGGCGGCGGGCGCCATGTCGCGCATCACGGGCGCCATGGGCAAGGGCATCGCCGCCCTCACCTTCGACGACGACTATCAGCGCAAGCGCAGAGAGCAGCTCAACAAGCGGCCGGCCACCGCTCAGGAGGGGTTCGCCAGGAGCGGCCGGGGACTGGTCATGGTGAGAGGTTTTGTTTTTTGGATGTATGATAAATTGATATTCATTATACAGGACTTGGAAAGAAATTCAGAGGATTTTGATTTTTCATGCTCTCTTTTTGGACATTCTTATCTTATCGTGTGTGTTCAATGGTTGTAATTCAATGTTCGTCGTGGCATATAGCCAGGAAAGTAGTTGTTTTCTGTTGAATAAACCGAGAAAGAATTAATATTTTGATCACATGGAGAATGCGGATTCTCAATGTACAGTCGTATACAATAAAAAAGCGTACAAGAATTAAAAAGAGAGGATTTCGAGATCCTAGTTCTAGTTGTGTAAAACTGGCTCAGCCAATGCTTTGTGTTTTCGAGAACCTATGACAACTTTACTGTCAACATTTGGTGAACAATCATTACCGATAGCCCGTTTTATGCAGAATAGGATGACGTTAATTTCTCTCTGTAGATTGTAGATTGTAGATGGGTCGTATAGACTGAGAGACATCTCGATCACTGCGACCTAGAAGATCTATTGTGATTACCCCTATCTAGTTTTGGTCCTCTTACCCTAGACTTCTGATGAAGCCTACGATTTTCCTGACGGTTGAATTTTCCACCTCAGCAGGGGTGAGATAGGCCTGTTCTAGGTGGTTCAGGCTTTGGCGGACTAATACTTCACATGAGCAAAGTATGTGTTCCGCGGTTTCGGTCGCATTGTTACAAAAGCGGCAAGTGTCAGTCTCCGCCAGACCCATCTTTTTGAGGTGGTACCTCAGAGAGCCGTGTTCTGTGAGAAAGCCTGTGATAAGCTTTAGCTGTGGTTTGCTGAGGCTGAGTAGCTCTTTGGCTCGGTTCTGCGAATGGTTGATGAACCTTTTCGCTTGTCGTTGACCTGGAGTTGCTCTCTAGTAGGAGGACTTTTCAATTTCTTCCCATTTCCCGATTTCTCCCTTTAGGTGACATTTGCTTATTCCACAAAAAGGCTCAGGACCAAAAAGTGCAGATGCTGCACCTTTTTTGCAAGGCAATCAGCTGCCTCATTTCCTTTGATTCCTTCATGCCCTGGAACCCACATAAGTGTGACTTTGTTGTCCTTTCCCAGTTGCATGAGTGTTTCAAAGCAGTCCCATGTAATCTTTGATGTGAAAACGAATGATTTTAGGGCTTTTAGTGCGGCTTGGCTGTATGAGCAGATATATATGTTGGCACCCCTCAGACCTTTGCTCAGGCACCTTTGGGCGCAAAGGTTGATGGCATGTATTTCAGCTTGGAAGATAATGGGGGAGTGACCTAAGGCTTTAAATAGCCTACATCCGGGTCCATGTACACCCGCGCCTACCCCTTCTTCCATTTTCGAACCACAACAATTTCTCTCTGTAATATACTTGTTTTTTTTAATGCGATTGTATTTCTTTATACAGGGTGGGTCACGGTGGATGGCCTATTAGAAGTATCTGGAGAACGAAAAGACAGAACATTCTGAAAATTGGGATGCTTTGATAATTGAACATTCTCTATTCGTCTAAAATTGTGTTGCCACTTCTATCAGAAACAACTAGCAACTTTGTTATTTCATATGGAACACCCTGTATTTTATTCATTTTTGGATTCTTCCTGAAGAGCTGATTTCATCAATGGGGTTCAATCAGGAATAATTACAGAGATATAGGGTGTTCAAAATCGAGATTTTATAATTTTGGAATTTTTTTGTGTTGAAACTTCATTATCGATCAAAACGGTTCTAATGAGTCAGATAGTATCAATGTCGAAATATCGAAATTTCTCCGGAACTAAATAAATAAAAAAATTTAAATGTAATTTCAGTGGAGTAGGTACCAGTTTTTTTTAGGAGCCAGAATTGAAAAATGTTGAAATATCGAAATTTCACCGTAATTATCCAAATGGAACTGAAATTTGTAATTCCAGCGGCGTACCAATTATTTTTTAAGGGGTCATAAATAAAGAAGTATCGCACTATTTGCGGTTCCAGGGGCGTACTAATTTTAATTTTTTTATGGGTAAAAAATGTAAAAATATCGAAATTCGCAACTCTTTTGTCATTTTCAGGGCGTATACTCCGGCGTGACCGGAGTGTTCACCAAACCGGTAGAAGGCGCCAAAGAGCAGGGCGTCGAGGGCTTCTTCAAGGGCCTGGGCAAGGGGGCCGTCGGTCTCGTCACCAGACCAGTGGCGGGCGTCGTAGATTTCGCCAGCGGCTCGCTGGACGTGGTGAAAAGGTGAGGGGTTACTTTGCTGTGTGCACCAGTAGCTATTCTAATGATTGTACAATGCGTTGTATTTCCTGCAAAATAATATATTCTTTTTTCTTTTGATGTATGATGAATTGATATTCATCATACAGGACGTGGAAAGAAATTCTTAATTGAGAAATCCTAATCACGAGTGAAGTCATATAAACTGTTTGTGAGAGATATAATTCCCATATCACTGATACGAATGATTTTTTTGGAAGTTCAGAGTTTATACAAGTATACTTCTCATATACATTCCAATTTTCCTCTCAATACTGAAAATATTGGTAAGTCATATTTTCATATCATAATATATCATATTATTTTAACCGATTTGAGAGATAATGTCAATTCTCAATTTCAGAGGATTTTCGTTTCTCATGCTCTTTCTTTGGATGTTCAACAGATATAATTCAATGTTCGACGTGAAAAATAGCCAAGAAAGTAGTTGTTTTCCGTTGAATATTCAGAATGATATTATATGCATATCTTTATATGAAGGAGAATGCAAATTCTGTACTTCAGAAAGTTTTGTTTTCAAATTCTTATCGTGTGTTCAATAGATATAATTCAATGTTCGTCGTGGCATATAGCCAGGAAAGTAGTTGTTTTCTGTTGAATAAACCGAGAAAGAATTGATATTTTCATCACATAGAGAATGCGAATTCTCAAAGTATTTCTTCATGAATATATACATTTTGTTATGTTCATAATTATATCTGAAATTATTCCTTTTCATGATATACTCAATTTTCATTAGGCTCAAGATAGTTTTGTCCTGATGGCGTCACGTGCTGTTGCACTTTCAGGATTGCTATAATATCAATTGTTTTCTATAAACTTCCGACACTTTCTGACATTTCAAACGTATATTGTCAACTTACCAATGCACTTTCATTATTTCAGTACCCTCTATCAGTTATCAAGTTCACTTCAACAGGACAGTATACTCGAGTTGTTTAAGAAATGTAATCTTCAAATTATCCCAGTTTGGGCGAGAGAAATTTTAATATGTTTGTGCCGTAGTCATAATGTGTGTATTTCATAACATTATTTTGAGTACTAACCCTAACTAGTCAACTATCGTGTACCGTTTTTTCCTCAGAGCTCCATTCATTTTTTGAATAATTATTGAAATTCACGATATTTCATAACATGAAAAACGCGGGGAAACATCGAGAACAATCCAATGCAATCATATATGCATCAGCTGAGGGAATTTCGCAACCTTTGTTCGTTTGAACTATTTGTTGGTACATGTGAAAGCTCCAGCTGCTCGGCAAGTTGTCTTGAGTGCTGCTCTGTATCCTTTGTGAAGAACTTGGCAGTCTTGAAAGTTTGATTCGAATAGATCCGGCTCGAAGGACCAATATCTTCGATTCTTTATAGATAACGGACTGTATTTGTATGGTTATATATTGTATGATAATGAAAAAAGCTTGATATGAGAATTGCAATTTGTATTGCATTCCTTCTTAATTTATTGCTTTTATTGATTAATCTTATGTTTCAGCAACACGTCGTCATGTCAGCAACACATGAAATTCTCTTTTAATATTATGTTATACAAGTATCAAACTATCATAATATAGGGTGATACAAGTACTAAACAACCTTCAAGAACTAGTTCCACAATTTTCTTCTCAACGTGTTAATTTTGGTGCAAAGGGCCGCCGAGTGCAACGAGGACACGTCTAGGCTGCGTCTGCCGAGGTTCCTGCAAGCGGACAGGCTCGTCCGGCCTTATAATAAGCTCGAGGCGGAAGGGCTCAAGCTGCTGATGGAGCTGTCGAAGGGCAAGTACGCTACGACGGACGTTTACGTGGCGCATTACGCGGTGGTGGCGAAGAAAGAGATCTTGCTGCTGACCGACAAGAGGGTGGCGTACGTTTGCCACAACGATATTTTCGGGGGATGGCAGGTGAGATTTGATTTATTGTATTTATAATAGACCAGGGCCGATAATTTTTGAAATCGGAAAACAAAAAAGGATAAAAAAACCCATTGAAAGAGAAAGAGAATGTAACAAAAATGAAAGAGAAAATAAATTACGGTCGACCTGAGGTCGGGAAGTGGAAGGGGTGAGCTTTTAAGGGTAAAAGACGGTTAAACTCAATTTCTGAAAAAACTACAAGTCGTATGATGAATGGCAAAGTTGTAGTTCATGAAAAGATCCATAACTCTTATAGATACACTTTTCTCAAATAGGTTACCTATCAAAATTTATGTGAAAAATTCAAATGACCAAGTTTTTGGTTTTGTATTTTTACTTTACGAGAAAAAATCACAAAATTTTGTGAGAACTCACCTTTTCATATCTCAAACACACTGTTATTTTTTTGATTTGAAATATTCTTTTTTCCACCTAATTTTGACTCAATATCAAAATATCAGCTTTTTAAATACATCCATGGGCTTTTTGTTTGTTGAAATCTCTATTATCTGAAGTTGTAAATAAATATTTACATTACCTTTTTGAAAAATCTGATATTTTCACGCTAGAATTTTCGATAGAATGGACCCCGCACCGCATCAATGGGAAATTGGCTTTTGGTGAATTTACTCGAATTTTTTATATATTGTAGAACTCGTGGTGCTGATCAGATGTCTCCATTGCACAACGCTCTAAAATCATCAGTTTATATTATATATGGTGATAAAGTTAACTTTTCCAAAATTTTAGATATAAATTGTGAAGACACCTTTCATAATTTCAAAACCAAATCAACTGTGCATTGACTGTTCGAATGAAAAGTAAATAAGTTATTATGAAGAATTTTCGTCAGTAATATTCAATTTATGTTCTTATTTGTAATCCAATCGCAAATAAATTAGTATCGTTAGATTCGTCAAAATATCCTTTTTTCTGAAAGTGCTTGTCAAAAAATGGTCGCCATTTGAAAAATAATAGTTAGACACCAAAATATAATTTTGCCAACTTGTCTTATTCATATCTATCATACTTGTCACTAAAACTTCGCCATTGTAATTTTCTGTTATCACCCGAGGTCCTTAGATTAGTTTACTTCCGATCATGGCCACCTAGATGTAATTTCAAGTGAATCCGAAAAAATCAAGTAGGCATAAAAACACATTCTGATCTAGAATTGTCTCAGAAATCAAAAAATGTTACAATATACAGGGTGTTCTATTTAAAGATTTAGAACCGGAGCCATTTCCGGTGAAACCGGAAGTGGCCGGAAAGTGAAAAATATGTGAAAACTCTCCTCTTCGCATACCATTTACCAATACCAAATCTCATGTTGATACACTTAATGGTCTAGAAGTTATGACTTGTCTATTAGATTCGTTGACACCCGGTTTATCAACTAATTTTAATTCCAGATGGAATGGTCGTACACATGGGAAGAAATTCAAGCACCCCCCAAAGTCGTGCCTAAGGGTATCAGTTTCACAACGTCCGAAAAGAGAAAACTTTTCGGTTCCAGCGAATATAGCAAGACTATTCTGATTGATGATCCATCGATTAAAGAGGAGATATGCGTAAAAATTGAATCTTTAAGAAATAGCTAGTTTTTTTTAATTATTTTTTTTATATATTTTATTATGCAAGCTTTAATATATTATTACAGAGCACAACCTATTATCGAATAAAATAATATATTGAGGTTATTTTCAACAAATATCTCTATTCAAATTTCTTCCCTCTGCCTATGTGCATTATTGTATGTATTCATAAAAATAATATTAAATAACACCCATCTTCATCAGCCTTATACATATTCAAATAAGAGATAAGGAAAAATATTTGAGCATATGTTCAAGCAGGTGATCCTTATTCTAATAAAAATGCATTTTTACAGATTTAAGGACAGCCAATATACAGATATTATGTGATTTAATTCAGTATTTGGTTGATTGTGGCTACATGCAATTTTATTTTATTTATTTCTTCTCAATTAATAGAACTTGCATTCAATTTCAAAATGAGAAGTAGGTTCTGAAAATTCACTGAAATTTCTTCGATGAAGTATCCTTTTTGTTTTCTCAGAACAACTCGGACATCTGTTTAACCATTGTCTGGTAAATATGGAGAAAAAATCTAGTGAGCTGGAGTATCTGGTCTGCTCAAACAACGAAAATCACCTACAGGGTTCTGTGGCCGATACAGTAGCACCGCCATACGGTCAACTCGAGGAAACACTTATTTCAATTGTTTTCCTGTCAAACCGACATAACCTTGAAAATCGTACATGAGTTGAGCCTCCCTCAGCGGTGGCGGTGGTAGTAGTAGTAGTATCGATTATTAGCTTTTGATCAGGGCTCTGATTTTCTTACTTGTAATGATCCTGTAACACTTAATATAAAATGTATCCACTTATATGTTGGAAAGGAATGTCACTTGGAAATCAATGAATGGAGACGGTTTCACACTTTCTGGTAGGCACAATCAGAGGAGACAGAGTTTATTACAAATTTATCAGAATAAACTATTATAACACTGGGAGCACAACACAAAACTATATCTATGAACGAAAGGAATATTAGAACAATAAGAATTGAAAAAGAATGATATTTTAGGAAAAAAATACGAAACAAGTCACGATGGCAAGACAGCTCTTGACACTGACAACTTACATAACCACAAATTTCGAAAATTTTCTAGAAGAACGTGAAGATCATTTCGTCCGATACGGTAACATCCTCTAGTGGTCATACACTCAACTGAGCTATAGGGAAGACCAGTAGTTCCAGCTCACTAGATTTTTTCTCCATATTTAGCAGACAATGGTTTAACTAGAGGAGAATGTTCTGACAACTTGTATACGAGGTGTTTTTGAATTGAAGAAAATAATTCAGTTATCATTTTGGCGATTCATGTTTTCGAGATAATCACATTTGGAAGTGTTTCATTTTTCAGAAAGGACTTCTGCTATTATTTCTCGAAAGCAAATAATAGGTTCTAGTGAAATACCTAGCTATAAACTATTTTCAGATGTGAGAATGATCTATTTTCGAGTCGAAAAATGTCTTTTTGGTCGCAGAATTGAAATCAAAGCTATATATCTCCGCAGATAGTGAAGATATTTGGTAAGTTTGACAAATGGTGAACTTCAGAGATCTTGGAGAGAATAAACCTGAACTTTTTTCAGAGCGGAAATACCTCAATTCTGATTGTGCTATATTAGATTTTCGGGGTCAAAAAACGGTTTATTAGGTCGCAGAATTGAAATAAAAACGATATCTCGACAGATGTTGAAGATATTTGGTAAGTTTGATGAATGGTGATGCTTCAGAGATCTTAGATAAAAACCTGAACTGTTTTCAGAGCGAAAATAGCTCATTTCTGATTGTGCTATATCAGATTTTATGTGCCAAAAAACGGTTTATTCGGTCGCAGAATTGAAATAAGAACGATATCTCGGTTGAAGATATTTGGTAAGTTTGACGTATGGTGATGCTTCAGAGATCTTAGGGATGAAACCCTGAACTTTTTTCAGAGAGAAAAAAGGTCAATTCTGAATGCGCTATTAGCATTTTCTGGGCCAAAAAATGGCCTATTCGGTGGCAGAATCTTTGAGTAATAACTGAACTTTTGCAGAGCACAGATATGTCAATTCTGATTTCGTTATATTAGCTTTTCTGGATCGAGAACGGCCTATAGTTGTTGCAGAATTGAAATAAACACGATATCTCGACAGATGGTGAAGATATTTGGTGAGTTTGACGAATGGTGATTGCTTTAAAGATCTTAGAGAGAAACCTGAACTTTTTTCAGAGCGGAAATATGTCAATTCTGATTGCGCCATTCGCTATTCCGGGTCGAAAAACGGTCTATTTGGTCGCATAATCGAAATGAAAATATCATCTCGACAGATGGAGATATTTGGTAAGTTCGCGACAAATGGTGATCAGTGGCGGATTTACCGGTACGCTTATAGTATGCTCTCAAGCTTAGGGCCCCGACCCTTGCAGGGGCCCCCGAGGGGCCCTGGCATTGCATGACTATTTTCCCATATCATTCGTTTGTATAGATGAAATAATGATTGAAATGAATTTCTCTTTTGAGCAATGGGTATTTATTTTATATACCTAGAAGCAGCGGCAACATACCAAAAAAGTTAAAAACCATAAGCAGGGTCATGCCGATCTCATAGCGACAGTGGGCCGGTTAAGGGAAAGAAAGTTGCTTAAATCCGACAAAAGTTCAATAACTTCCTCGATATGGCATTTTGCAAACTGAAAAAAAAAACGTGCCGTTTCGATTTAGATAAAATATCAACAGTAAAAACAAAATGATTTTCTGTTTTTTCATTCCAATTTTTCAGGAACGGCAATTTTTTTCATCTGCAAAACGTATATACCGTTGAGGAAATAGTAATAATATTCCTATGAAATCGGCGGGACCCTATATACTGAAGGAATCATGGACGTGTTTTTCAATGCAAAAATACTACATTGAACTTGTTTTCAACACTGCCATCAGTGACCAATTGCGGAGGAGAGCGTTTATTTTCAAAATTATCAATATAATCAAATCAAATTGTGTACCTTATTCCGAAGAGAACATAACAAACTTTGGGAATGCTTTCCATCGGAAGTGATTAGATGAGCAGTTCGATTTATGATGGTGCAATGAAAGTATTCGCAGATTCGTGAATCAGAAAATTGGAAGTGATATCGTAGTATGTTTCTCCTAGTAATTTCGTTACGGTTTAGTTCTTTTATTTTGAACGTATCTGATCCTAGTCAGTGTTATAGTTACGTTCATTTTTTGATTTTTTTTATTTTTTATTATATTCTAAACCATATCAATGAATGCACTTTTTTTTGTTCCTTATATCCTATATATTTTCATCATGCATTTTTCGCTTCTATTTGGTCAGAAAATGTTAGATGGGAAAATTGGTGAGAAGAAATAACAGGAGGAGAAAAAATGATTGGTAGGGGCCACAAGGGCCCCAAGAATTATCAAGCTTAGGGCCCCAGAAATCGTAGATCCGCCACTGATGGTGATGCATCAGCGAGATCTTTGAGAAAAACCTGAACTTTTTTCAGAGCGGAAATAGCTGAATTCTGAGTCGAAAAACGGGCTATTTGTTCTCAGAATAGAAAAAAAAACATCTCGACGTAAAATAGGGCGATTCTGATTGCACCGTTAAATTGGGCCTGAGATTCTAATAACAACTATTTTCACCGCGGATTTAGCTCGATTCTGATTGCAGCGATGGCTTTTTTGGGTCGCAGAAGAAAACAAATTGTACAAATCTAAATAGAGCTTCAGATCCAGAAAAACCTGAAAGTTTTTCGAAGTGGTAATTCCGATGGCGTCATTAGCTTTTCTAGGTCGAAAAACACTTTACTTGGTCGCAGAATTGAAATAAAAACGATATCTCGATATATCATGAAAGTATATTACCCCTATATACTTTCATAAGAATATTTTTTATTTTGCTGACACATCAAAAAATTGAATTCGCACTGCATTGCCAAACATGAATTAAAATGCGTAAATATAATTTCTAAAAACATATGTTCTTATATGATTCTCAGTTGTTTTCATTCTTAATTTGAATAGATGTGTGACATTTTATAAGATATAGACTTTGATTAACTTTAATCATACAAATTCGGAATAAATGCGTCAAACACACAACAAAAAGGACCAAACAATCGAGTTCGTACGATTGAATTATCATGAATGCGTTTTTCCAAATTATTTTTACTTCACAATACACATCTGTTGTTTGGTGCGTTCCTCCTGACTCACCCTGTAAGTTTGACAAATGGGGCTTAAAACATCCAAAACAATGTCTACCTTTTTTTCAAAGCAGAGATAGGTCAACAATTCCTTCTGGGCGAAAAACCTTTACCATTATCGTTTTAGTTTAGATGACAACCTAGTTAGATAGTTAGTAGGCAAGAGCTATTTAGTTCTCATTTAGATCGACAATAGGTCCCAAAATTGAAATGAATACAATATCTCCACAGATCCTGTAGATATAATTATTAGTCTCTTAAGATAAGCCAATATGGAAAAGAATATATCAAGGTTGGCAGAATTGACAGTCAAACAGTTTTACCAACATTGAAACAAGTAAGTGGCGTGCTCTGGTGGCAAGTGATAGCACCCACCTTTGATAGCACCAACCACTTTTCAAAACCATGAATGCACAAGAAGGTATGACAAAAAAACCAGTGATGAAAAAAGGATGTATTTAGTTGATTATTCATTTCCAAAGAATACAATAACATGAGAACATGTGAAGTTTGATAAAAAATCTAATTCTAACAGACAAATCAAGACCACAAGAATATGACTTTCCTCTGGACATAAATGATGGAACACACAAGCACACACACTTTTGAGTGTCTTAGCTCTCTTGATGGCTCATAGCCCTTGCCTGAGCCCTGACCCTTTTCTCATACTCTAGTCTGTTCTGGCAATAAATAGTGTAGGCTTCTGCTTGTGCAGGATCTTTGACATTTGGCTCATTTAGCAAGTCTTGAATTCCAAGAAGGATTTGTTTGATAGTGATAGCAGGTCTCCAGTCTTTTTCTTCATCCAACAATGACAGACAAACAGTGCCTAAAACATTAAAATGTATGATATTTGCTTGACTCTATTGTGAATTTTGAGATTCATACCTGAAGGATATACATTTGGGTGGAATAGTGGTGGTTCAAATTTGCACTTGGGAGGGCTTGTAGGGTAGTCTTCCTTGAAGAGCATCCTCAGTTTATAGTGGCCCTCTTCCCAAGGGGTTCCTTTCTTACCAGGAATGGAGCATTCCCAGTTCATCAGATTCAGTGTTCCATCAGGGTTTTTGGATGGACGGGCAACAAATCCAAAAGGGTGATCCTTGCGCCAAGCTTTGCGTTCTTCAGTAAGACGAGCACCTGCTATACCAGACATCCTGGAAACAAGATGATATAAACTAAAAATGGTAGGATGTTTTGATTGAAAATTTGAAAAAATGAAAATGAATATTGCGAGAATATTCAAGTAGACATGGCAATTCGGTCAGTTCTATCAGTCTTTCACATCTTCTAGTGAAATTTTTCAAGCACTACCTTCAACACAACACAAATGTGCAACTGCCATTTTTTATGTTGAGCTTTTTTCATTGTTTATGAATTTTTAAATTATAGAATGTTTGAGATGAAAAGGAAAACATGATGATACTATTATCACATCTGTATACCTGAGATACTCCTATTGTAAAATTGATAGACGAAAAAATTGGGAAATGAAAGAGCACCGAATAAAAACCAACAACTCCAACAGCCCGTCGTCAGCCGTCCCGCGTCAATCCGATTAAAGCACAGACAGGGACAGGACTGACAGAATCGAGAATCATCACAACAGACACAGAACACAGACACAGGACACAGATTACGATCAATCTAGATCACCCGATCTCCACCTTGACCTTCAACCCCAAATCAAAGGCCTGTTCGTTTGAATCGTTTGTCATGCTCACCTTGCTAAAAAGTGATGTAAGCAATGTTTGATATACGTTTGTTCCGAGCAATTGATGATTGAGGCCCGTATTTATCAAGGATTATTAACTGAGGGTTAATAATCCTTGCGTATTTATAGCCGTTTCCTCAGGACCTCCTCAAGTCTTCTCCATCTGAAGATTCCTTGAGAATGAGGATTCATTAGCACTTGACGTGAATCTTGCTTTTTATAGATCCTCCTTGAGTGACCTTGAGTAATCTTCGTAAAAGCAGCCCTCACACTTGGCAACAGTGTATAAAATGAGTGTTCTGTGACAGGAATTGGTGTTTCATGTCACTTTTTGTCACCAGAATTTGCTACAAAATGAAAAATGTCAGATTAGACAGAAAAATTCAAATTCTCAATGTACTCTGGCAACGTTCAGTAGGAGGTTGGACGTTAATCTATGGTCAATTTGTCTAAATTCGTTCAGACCGCAGTAAGACTATGGATCGGACCGTGGTCCACGTGGTCTCATCTGAAATAAAGCATGCCAAGCATGAGCTAAAGCAAAGCTGAATCGTTCAGTCCGTTATTTCCGTCTTTTTCCATCAGCCAGCATGACATGCAAATGCGCTTGAAATTGAATGAATGATTTCACATAATTAGCAGTGACTGGTGTCCACGCATGGATCGTAGTTTACATGTCATCGCAAAGTCAGATGATAACCTTGACTACCAAAAATCGGTTTTCATTGCTAGTTGCTACAGTATACACCCTAGAGTATCTACTGGGTATTTACTTTTATCATTGTTTTCGCTGTGGATCCGAGTACGCCACTGGATTCGTGTCAAATGTAACGGGTTGAATCGGAACAGAATCAATCACCCACACGCACACACATCTCTAGTAGTTTTCGAGGTTATGTCTTAAGTTAGCTTCTTCAAGTGTTAAGTGTGGTTATGTAGTAATAAAATGAGAATTTCTATTTCTACTTTCTAGTTTCTTTTGAATCTGGAATGGTAATTATTATAGTTGTGAATAGTAATGTGATTTAACAACAAAGGAGAAAAGGGCTCAAAACAGTTCATCATTACAGTAAAAACTGGTTGTTAATTTCAAAAGTCTTTTTCTTTTTGAAAATACTAGTGGAATTCATAATATTCTTGAAAGTCGTCTGGTTAGTCAGGCAAAGGAATCTGTGAAAGGAAGTAAAAGGGTAAGTAGTTGGATATATTTTATAAAATATTGATAATTGTTTGTTTGGCATTGATTTGAACCATACTTCGGGATTATTTATAGTTGACCTAAACTCCCTTTTAAAATAAAGTAAATAAATTAATTTGATATTAGGGAATCTGAAACCCATCTAGTTGTACCTTAATAATGAATTTTCCAAAAATACAGGTAACACAATGAGTCCACAAAAGAACAGTACACAACCATCAATTGAAAACAGGCTCAGTAAAGATACTGAAATAGTTGAGAATGAAAAGGTTAAACTGAAGCAACATATGGGACTTCTAGAAGGTGTTGCGATAATTTTGGGAATCATATTTGGTTCTGGTAAGTATTACCTACATAATAAACCTGTAATTAATTTTTTCCAAATTTCATAGTTTTGAATTAATATATAAATTAATATTTTTCTATTTGATATTCCTTGACAACAACCTCTTCTTTTAGGTATATTTATTTCTCCAAAAGGTATAATTCAAGAGGTAGATTCTGTAGGAATGTCTCTAGTTGTATGGGTGCTTTGTGGTTTATTATCAATGGTAGGTGCCCTTTGTTATGCTGAACTGGGTACATCAATACCAAAATCTGGTGGTGACTATGCTTATATTCATGAAGCTTTTGGACCACTGCCCTCTTTTTTATATCTATGGGCAGCCAATGTGATTTTTGTGTAAGTAAAACATATTGAAAATACCAAAACATGATAGTTTCAATCATCTGTTATCCTGTTGAATTTTGCTGATGTGAGTGTAATTTGATATGCTGCATACTTTTATGATAAGTGTTGAAATACCTTGGAAATTTGATATTGTATATGTCTACTTTGAGTAATTTATTTACTGATAAAATTACTGATTTATGACAAATCCACAGGTCACAGTCAATAATGGCCAATGTTACATGTAAAAATTCTTGTGTAAGAAAATAAATGTCTATTTTTAACTCAGCATAAATACCATTTGGAAAGAATTATATCAAGATTATTACCTAATAATGGAAATTTATGATCATCATTTTATTGGTATCATATTTATAGAAAATACTGGGATTTTATGGCTACTAAATTCATAAGAGAAAAGTATATTTTTGTGAATAGATATTTTTTCAATAGAATAATATAAAAAAAATACTTTACTTGGAATACATTCAGGTAAATTACAAGAAAAATATGTATAACTCCTAATGTGATTGATATTAATATTATAGGTAGGTATTTACATAAATGATGAAAACATTTACCTGTTACAAGGTGTGATATTTGAAGAATATAATTTACATTCACAGAGAGATTTTCAAAAATCTATTGTACAAAATAGAAAACATCAGTAACATTAATAATAATTATTCTAGTTTGCTGCTATGATGAATCAAATTTTTTTCAGTCCAACAACAAATGCCATTATGGGTCTGACTTTTGCTAAATATGTTATTCAGCCTTTTTTTCCACAATGTATAATGCCTGACCTTGGTGTGAAATTGATAGCAGCAGCTGTAATTTGTAAGAAAAACAAAAAATGAACATTGAAAGATATTGTTCACACACTTTTTTCAGGTTTCTTAACTTTCATCAACAGTTCCCATGTGAAGGCTACTATCAGATTACAGAATGTGTTTATGTTCTGCAAGGTTGCTGCACTTGTCTTGATCATACTGATAGGACTAGTGTGGATGGGTATGGGAAATGTTGAAAATTTTCAAAATTCTTTCACAGGGACCACCACCAACCCTGGAAAAATTGCTAAAGCCTTCTATTCTGGAATTTTTTCTTATTCAGGATGGTGAGTGAATTGATTGATATTTATTTTCCAAAGTTTTGAACTAAACAATTTCATAAATATCCTAATTCCTGATAATTTACAGGAATTACTTGAACTTCATGACTGAAGAGCTAAAAAATCCATTTGTGTAAGTATAAGTAATATTTGCACTTCAAAATATATATCAGCAGAAGTACTTGTATCATTTCAGAAATCTACCCAGAGCTATTTACATATCATTACCATTAGTAACTGGAATTTATGTGATGGCCAATATGGCATATTTATCAGTACTGACTCCAGATGCCTTACTATCTTCAGATGCAATTGCAGTGGTAAGTTCAGGAAGTGTATTTCTGGTTCTGAGAATATTTCTAACAAATCCTAATGTTTCCATTCTCAAAACTGAAAAAAATCGACTTACTTATTTGCTAACAATGTGCAATATGTAGTTTATCAATATTAATGTATTGTGTTCTTTGAATCTGGTTTCAATATTGTGCCGTGATTGCCCAATATATCCCTTTTTTTTCTATGCATTGTTGAATTATTTTCATTTTCTGCACTTTCTTTCTTCACAACTTCTGGAAGATCTCTTAACAATTTCCAAATTCTCTATTGCCATTTCTTTTTGTTCAGGAATTGTGTGTTTAGATCTATGAGGATATTGTGCTTGTTTATGGTGGACTTTTTGAACATTTTTTTGACAGATGAACATCATACAATGAAGATTTTGTGTGGGATGGTGAGTTGAATAAATATTTTTGTATTCAAAATCTATTCACTCATACATGTGTACCATTTCAAACATTTTTGAGTTAGATATATCATAATATGATAGGTATTTAGCATTTCATTTATAAATATCATCAATTCAGGAACACCAAGTTGACATCACTAAATTGGGTTTTATTTCTAAAGATGGCAGCGAAAAGTGTATAATAAAAACTGCTTTGAAAATATTGGAACAATTCGGGTGGATTTCAATGTTCTGTGTCATTAGCCAAAAAAAAGTAGCTGTTTTTTGCTTGTTGTCTACCATTTTCGTTATATTTTTTCACTTAGATTCAATAATTCACCCACAAGACAAATACTAAATACTAAAACAATTCAAATCTTTGTTTTATAAATAATGAATTTTCATATTTACATAAAATTAGTTCTAAGACTTCAAAACACTAAATCAAAATCATGGTCAACACATCTAGTCAATGCATATTTATTTTCTTCATTTGAAATTTCCAGACATTTGGTAACGCTTTATTAGGAAAGTTTGCCTGGATCTTACCAGTGATGGTAGCTATATCTGCTTTTGGAGGCCTGAGTGTTCATATTATGACGTCATCGAGAATGTTATATGTTGGCGCCAGAAATGGACATTTTCCGGAACTGTTGGCTCACCTGAGCCTCAATACCATGACACCTATACCTAGCCTAACGTTTTTGGTAAGTTGGTATAGATAATAATAATAATAATAATACATTTATCATTTACCATTTATACATGTTACCATGTTACAATGAAACACAAATAGGATTGGTTGTACAATGGTAGATAATAGGAGAACTGTTAGGCCTGGTGGCCGATTCTTCCACAGTTTCCTCAAAAAATAATAATATGTAAAGAAAATAATAATAATACTAATAACTGTTAGCATCTAGCAACTAGATGAGCTACTGCTCAGTGGAATGTGCTTAGATCAGAGCCTATGACAGAAATGTGTGAAGACTGGCTCATACAGTGTTTGGCAGGCAGCCGAATTAAGAGCAAGTGTAACCCTTGTCCACGTCATTTGTGCTCGTGTTTATTGAATTGTGATCATAATATACAGGGTGTTATTTAAGTACGTGGCCAAACTTGAAGGGGTGATTCTTTGAGTGATTCTAAGAGGAAAAGTTCCTATAAACATGGGGTCCTGTAATGCTTCGTTTTCAAGATACAGAGTGTCAAAAATTTCAAAAGAAATCGTTTTTTTCGTAAATATCTTAATAACCATTCAACCGATTATAATGAAATTTGGCAGTGTTATTCAAGGTCGTAAAGGGCTAATTCAACCCTAACTATATCAAATTTATCATGTCCAGTCGCGTCCCGGAAGGCACTGTAACCAATATTTTTGACAGAAGAAATGTGCGCCACTGATTTTTTTGCAATTTTTGTATTTGTTTCACATTGAGCAACTAGAATAGAGTATCAATATGTAAAAATATTAGTGAGACCCCAGTTTTTGATGGTTTAGTAGTTGAAATGTTTCATTGTGTTGTCACAGCGATGTGCCATGAAGTGATTTTTATGTTTTTTCTCAAAAACAAAGCAAGATACGAAAAAAATTCTGGATATAAAAAAGTTGTAATTTTAGTTGCTCAATGTGAAACAAATACAAAAATTGCAAAAAAATCAGTAGCGCACATTTTTTCTGTCAAAAATATTGGTTACAGTGCCTTCCGGGACGCCACTGGACATGATAATTTTGATATAGTTAGGGTTAAATTAGCCCTTTACGACCTTGAATAACACTGCCAAATTTCAATGAAATCGGTTGAAGGGTTATTAAGATATTTACGAAAAAACGATTTCTTTTAAAAATTTTGACACCCTGTATCTTGAAAACGAAGCATTACCGGACCTATGTTTATATGAACTTTCCGTTTTAGAATCAGTCAGAGAATCTTCCCTTCAAGTTTGGCCACGTACTTAAATAACACCCTGTATAACAATAACAATAATAATGAGAAAATAAAAATAAAAAATATAACAAAAAAGAAGTAGATTATTAATTATGAGATTTTGTAGTATCAGTCATTGTGGAGAGAATAGAAGTCGTTTGTACCAAATTTTAAATGCATCATGTGATAAGGAAAAAATGGAACATCCATTATATCGCCAAAAAGTGTAATAATAATAATTATAAGAAAAAGACCGCGTGAATAGATGTTTCTTTTGCCTGGGAATCATGAGCATATTTCTACGCCTCAAATTCAGATTATGTACATCCATTCTGAATGTAATTCTCGAGGTAATTCTCCGGTATAAGTATTCAGGTACTTTACTTTTCAAAATTTTATAAAAGAAGCAAGCCATATAGAGTTCACGACGATTGAACATGCTAAGCCAACCAGTGTCCTTCAATTTATGGGAAATACCCTGTGGTCGTCTAGTCTGAGGAAAAAAAATCTTATGAAGAAGTTATAATAGAAGAAACAGGGATAGGAAAACACTAGTGGATTTTCAGATTTTATTTAGTGAAATGACAAGTAAAAACTTAGAAACTATTGACGACGGTAATGGTTTAACAGGTTATGTGAATGAAATATCCCTATGGCTTACATGAGATGTTTATGTTTGGTGTTTATAGTGAGTTCATTGTTATGTTTACGTTATGAGTAAACTTCATATATGAACAGTCGATAATATAGAACTATCGCCCAACAATCCAAGTACAGGAATCTGCCACTAGAAACCAGTTAGTTCATCTATTCAAGGAGAGATGGCGTCCCATCATTTTTTTGATTTTGTTCCATAAAAACCCTCCCCGATTCCATATTACCCTGTTTCACGGTAACATAGTGGTTTCTAGATATACGCCATATACATTTCAAGATTTTCACTTGTGATTCCATCCATACCAGGTGTCTTATTACATTTCGATTGTAAAATAATTGTTTCAATTCCTTTTTAATTGGTTAGATCGAGAAAAATAGACTCCTTGATACCTATAATTTTTTGAATTAACTCGGCCGTTAACACAAACGATAAGATTTCCACAAAATTCTCAAACACAGGACATGTTTCCCTGACATAAAATTGCTGCATATAATAGTATGATACACAAGCTAGTGAATGTCCCTCTGTTGGAAATAAATTTCAATAAAGAACTCAATATCATAAAACAGATTGCAGTCAACAACGGATACAACGTTAATTTTGTAGACAGTATTCTTTCTAAAAAACTTCATTATAAAGCTATTCAAGAAGTTTATACTACCATCAAAAATAATAATCAAAATTATAGAACTTTAACCTATTTCGGATCATCAACTGAAAAATTAGCTACATATCTACAAAAACAGGACTTAAAAGTAGCATATAGAACAAATAACACGTTGGGAATGTTTATCAAAAATAATAAAGACAAAACTTCTAAATTCCAAAAATCAGGGGTATACAAACTCAACTGTCGATCTTGTCCTAAGGTATATATCGGTCAGACAGGTCGTACGTTTGATCAGCGCATTCATGAACATAAGATAACTTTTTTGAAAAAGAAAAATTCAAAATACGCCAACCATATATTGGAAGAAAACCATAGTTTTGATGATAATTTCGAAATTCTACACGTAGAAAATAAAGGAATGCAACTCAATCACTTTGAATCTTTAGAAATCAACAAACTCAAAAATTCTGACATTTTACTTAACGATCAATTAGACCTCAATTAGCGATAGAAAATAAGCGTACGCCAACTATCGGAGTTCTTGAAAGCTGTCAAAGCGGCATGTTTACTTTGTTTTCATTGGTTCAGCATCAAAACAAACCGCTCAGAAGTGTTCAAGTTGCTGCCGTCAAGTGGCGCGACATGTTATTTTCTATCGCGAATAGTTCACCACTGTTGAATTTGTTTTCTTAGTAGGTAATAATATGTATTTGCTATCAACCCTTTCAAGTTGATCCCGTACACCGTATTTTAATATAGATATTGTGCCTAATTTCCGAAAATGAAGATTTATCGAAACTGTCCACAGGTAACTAATCCTTCAGTTTGGCAAAGTAGGATATCTAAGCAAGACAAGGTTAGTTTAGTTCATCGTACCAGTATATCACCTGACGAAGCTACTGTGTTAGCGAAATATGTCGTGTGTTTGAGAATTTTGTGGAAATCTTATCGTTGGTGAAGTTTTCACATTTTCCTTGATACTAGGTTCTCATTATCACCCCTGTGCATTAATTGTAGGCATCTACAGTTGTCGGTTTCCATTTTCCAGAATATTTTATCTCTCATCATGCTGTGTACCAGCGACATCCACATGTTGATTCAGTATTGCACGATCGTCGAGTCGTTTTTCATCACGCTCTCTGTGGCCGGCTTGCTGTACCTGCGATGGAAGAACCCGAAGATGTCTCGGCCGATCAGGATCCACATCCTGGTGCCCATAGTGTTCGTTCTGATCTGCCTGTTCCTGCTGATACTGCCGATGGTCGACTCGCCTCTGATCGTGCTCGGAGGATTGGTTATTACTTTGTCCGGGGTGCCGGTTTATTTTTTCGGGGTGTACTGGAAGGCGAAGCCCAAGGGATTCCAGAAGTTTATGCGTAAGTTGCGCAAGCGCTTTTACTTCTAGCTTGTTGGAAGGTCATGAAAAGTGAAGGTGGAATGTTCAGGGCTCAAGTTTCGTTTAGCTGAAATTAGAGTTCCTAAATGTACTTGACACTGCTGATTTTGACGTTTTTTGTATATCAGAGTACGGATACTATGACAAGCACTGACAATCAGACATAACCACAAATAAATTGATGGAAAAAGCGGGAACTGACAGTACACGGACGTACAGACATAAATTTCAAATGTTTGACAAATTGAGAGAATTAGGAGAAAGATGTGAGTTTGTTCACTTTCCAACTGTGAGAACACGGGAAACATCGGTTAACGTAATTCAACAAAAATGGAAACAGAATATGATGCAGCCGGCATGGAATATAGGTTCAGGCCACAAAATTTGCGAGGTATTCTAATTTCTTGGTAGGATATAGAACATTTTTACCCACTTCGACTTTTCTTATGTGTAAAATTTTCTTGACAGAATGAAATAAACAAAAAACGTTGTTTTTGCTAATGCACACTCCGCAAATTTATGCAACACACATCACTTTTAGAACCGTGTGCATGGTCGATCACAAAATGCTTCAAACTTGATTCGGCTCATAAATTTTGCTAGAGATAAAGTAGTAGATAGTTTTTTCGAATTTGTGAAATAAATGATTTTTCCAAATACAACTATATTCCATTCCAACTTATTGGAAACCATAGAGAAGCGTTCACCTTCACTTTGATTGGTTAATATTGGAGGCAACATTACATTTGTTCAATATTAGTACGTATGACGTCACGTGAAGATTGACATTTCATTTTTCTGTCGTATTTTTTATATTATAAAAAATCCTTAGAATGAACACGACCTCAAAGTTGAAATCAATCATTAGAATGGTTATGATTTCCAATTAGGTGTCATTATTATATTCATTTCTTCAGTATAAACATCTTCAGAGAGGAATAGTTCTCAAAATTCTTTGATGTTTTTTCATTTCATCAAACTTCGTTATTAATGGAATAACTTTCTATTCAACGGATTTTATCAATCGTTTTGTTTCACTTACTGGACTGGACTTTTGAAGTATTTCAGTGATATACTTTCAAATATGTATGTATGTAATTATGAATATTAATATTGCTTGGTTATATGGTGTTAATTTGATTCCAGTTTTTGGTATAATTATTATTTTATCATTTGAAACCTTGTAATTCTTAGAAGGTATTTTTTTTTTTTTTTTTTTTTTATCGCTTGGAGCGCACGAAAGGGAATCCCTATAATGTTCAAAGAACATCGTGCGCTCCTTGGGAGGATAGGGACAGGAGGTAGGTAAATATCTATTTACGTTAATTAGGATACTAATATCGTACCTCAAAAAAAAATTCAAGTACCTTTTTTTATTTTTCATTTGTTATTGTTGAGGAATATCATAACTAGATAACACCTTTTGTTTCAGATAATATAACACTCATCTCCCAGAAAATATTTTTTGCTGCACATGAGGAAGCCTAAGTCATTGATGAATCTCTTTTAGTTTTATTCTAACTTATTTATTAATTGGTCTCTATTTATTTCAAAATAATTTTATATATAACCAGACATTGTGTTGTGTTATCATTTTTCTCGAATAAATTCCAAAGATTCTCAATATCTATGTTGGTATGAAAAATAAGTTTAATTTACTTATTGTACAGCAACTATATATTTTACCTAAATGACAATGACAACTACTCAACAGCATATATGTTGCATCTTGCTGTCATGTAATTGTCAATATAGATCATGAATTTTATATGAATTTTGTGATATTTTCTAGTTTTCGGGCCAATTTAGTCTCGTGGAAGTTGTCGTTTTTCTAAGTCTTCGAATTTTCTTGTTTGTGTGGGTTAATGAAATTGTGATTGGGCAGTCAAAGAACATGGATTATTTTTTATAGCAGACTCATAAGATTTGTTCATACTACATTCAAATTTAGGACAAGCTAATCAAAGAAAACTCGGCAGGACTTCTATGTTCGTCACTGAACCAGGCTTTTGTGACAATCATGGGAAGTATGTCATCCCTAACCTAGATTAATAAACGCGTAAGTGTCTTAAACGTCATCTAGTCGTTTCTTTATCTTATTGTTGAAGTAATATTCCAATCAAGACAAAACTACAGGATATGTTTCCTAGAAATGAGGTTCAGAAAAAATTGTTGGCAGATAACAGCCAACTATAGCATAACCATACAGGAATTTCATTTTGATATGTATCTGTAGAATTGCATTAAGCCCTTAGTTTATTGGTAAGGCAAATATTACACTAGTGCATCTAGTGACACAATTTGGAATCTGACCGATATTTGACACTTTGACTTGAATAGTTATCTGGACTTGAACTAGATACATGTTATATCGGTGGATTGTAAATTGAGGGAAAAGACAATGTGACACCACCGCTAAACATAAGCCATTTAGTTGACAGCGACAGGTGAGGATCGTTCGTAGGTTGTTCAAAATTCTGCCACTAGAGACCTTTTGTGTCGCCAATATAAATTGAAATTGCGGTATGTTTTGTTAATTGCTTCTGATATTGTATTGGATGGAGATTGTATTACTTATATTACCTATTGATCATCATAATGTTTTTTCGCTCAATAATTCCAATGATCATTTTCTAACTAACAGATGCTTTGCACTGTCTTAAGTACACCTTCATCTGGATTTTGGGTATTGGGAGAAAATGACCATAAACGTGTTGAATCTTATAAATGTACTTTTTGTATAATAAAACTAAACTGTCAACAATAAGAATGTTAAATATTTTGTAAGAGATTTTACAATAAACGAGAGTTCAAAATTATGTTATAAATCATTCTTCATATCCAATAACTACAATCTAATTCTAATAATGAACAATTTTTGTAAAAAAATAGCCTGATCATTCAAACTAACAAACTCTTACCAATTGCACTACTTAGCATTCTTGAGAAGGAACGCCATACCGTGAATCCTGAAATGAATATTCAACGCCGCACTATCCTCAAATTGTACTCTACAGACCCTACACTGATTTTCGCGCACTGGTTCCTTAGACTCACCAGGTGCCAAACGCATAGTGTTCTCCAACTCTTGTACCGCGTCCACGTCATAACAGTCATTTTCCTGCAAGTAGGACTGGTAGTCCGAAATATTGTGAAAGTGCATCAAATGCTTGTAAAGCGAGGGCTTCACGACGAAACACTCCCCGCACTCCATACACTGATAAGCAGTGGAAATGTCCCTGTGGGTCTTGATGTGAACGTGAAAGTCGGCTCGTTCGGTGCTGGTAAACTCGCAAGCCTTGCAGTTGTAAACTCCGTCGAACAGGACAGGTTTTTCCGCTGTCAAATCGGGCTCCATCACTTTCCTGCGACTATGACTCGGCACGTGATACCTTTTCCGTTTCTTCTTCTGGTTTTCTTCGCCTCGGTCTCCCGATCGCCTTAGAGACAGTCTGCGCGAAGGTGAGATGTCGCCATTGGAAGACTGGAACGAATCATCCGACACCATCTTGTCTAGGACGACCATAGGCCGTGCGTACCGGCACACTTTCATGTGGGAAATTTTCTCCTTGAACTGGATTTGTTGGCTGCACAATATGCAGTAGTATCTTTTCGTGGTTAGCTTCGGTTGTATCTGCTGCGACCGGCATCTGCAACAGCTCTTCACCGGCTTGTCAGGTGGGTAAATGATTTTGTTGTGGCATATCTCGCAGTCCGCTGTTACATACTTCGTGCTGGATTTACTCGGCTGGGTGACAGCCTTTCCTTTATCATTACATTTCAGTAAATGCACCGCGTAGGTTAAGGTTGAACGGAAATAACTGCGGCAATTTTTGCACATGTACGCATACATGCATCTCTCTGTGTCCGTTGTATGATACTCTAAATGTGCCTCGAAACCAGATTCATTGAGAGTCCCCAGATCCTGGCAAAGTGTACATTCGTATTCCCTGCGGAATTTGCAGATTTCCTGGTGAGTAGCAGCATGTACCGCAGCTTCCTCAGTCTTCAGGAACACAGATTTGCACAAGCAACAGGTGTACATGCATTTAAAGTGTATTTTAAAGTGAGCTGCGAAGGTAGTAGGGGTGGCAAACAATTTACCGCATCTTTTCCCGGGACATCTGAACCTCACACTCTTCGAGAGGTGGAAACAGACTTCGTTCATGTGGCTGTTCACTTGGTCGTAGGTGTCGAAGTTTTCGCCGCAATCTGGACATATGTGTGGGGCAGCACCGCTGTGTATTCTAACGTGGGCACGCAGAGAACACTTGGTTGACGCTATGAACTTGCATTTTGAACAGCACAAGGAACTGTCAGTTGGCCTATTGTCGCCTTGATAATGCTCAGCCATCGTACCTTCTTGCATTACGTTGCAGTCTAAACAATAAGGCAGGTCGTCGGCTTTATCTTGTAGGGATTCGACTTTGGAAATGATGGGAAGGGTGACCTGGTCGCAATAATCGCTCGGTTCGTTTTTTATTTCGAAGTTATCTTCGATTAGACTTTCGACTAGGAAAGTCTGTTTTCTCAAGTTGTTTTGCTCCTCTAATGTGATGAACTCGCATTTCGGTAGGTTTTTGCATATTTGTTTCAATCCGAGTGTTGTAGTAGAATTTTGTTTGAATAGCAAATCACTGGGTGTTAGTACAATCTGTGATTTCCCTTTTTGGATAAAGTCAGGACTGTAAAACTGTGCGTTGATGTAAACATTATTAGCGATTAATTCTTCTTCTTCTTCTCTGTATAATGGTTCAATACCATGGTAGGGAAGAAATCCAGCGAGGTGAATTGGTAACGGATGTATTTCTATGTCGGATAGATTGATGTGTCCCTGATCCAAATCGAAATGAGTGCGAGCGTGTAGTAAGAACGAACATCTGTTGTAAAATATTTGTTTCTCCAAACATATGGCACAGTTGTACTTCAGTAAAATGATTCTCCTATTGACGTGGTCTTGCAGGGATCTTAGGGATGAAAACCTGAAAACGTGTTCCATTGTAGTAGAGAAACCAGTGAATTTTGTTTCAAGGTTCATTTATATAGTGTCCTATATGTTTTCAACAATTGAAGGATATTTTTTTCTGGTTGTATTAAAACAATAGTAGCTCATAGTCAATAATTTTTGTACCCTGAATTCTACACCAACATGCTATTGAGATTTGTTTTATTTGAAATGTATAACTTGATTTAACCACTCTGAAAAAAAAATTAAATCCGTTTTTTTGGATTATGCAACTATTTTATTTCATCTTATCACATTCGTTTTGATATAAATGTATATTTAATTTTGAATTACTAGTTTTAGTTTATACAATGAATATACATAAATAGTACATAAAATATTTTTTTGTATGAACTTATGTTTATAAGTTGATATGCCATTGAACTGATTCTATATGCAAGTACAATAATTTGAAGTGTGATTGATGAACAATCCATGTACAATACCGATATTGAATATTTTTCATTGACTGTAGCGCCATCTGTAGAGTAAAATTTGACCAATTCCAGGGATTTGTACCTTAGAAAATAACTGGGAATAAGCATACGCCACCTTTCGGAGTGTTTGAAAGATGTCAAAGCAGTCTGTTCACTTTGTTTCCATTCGTTCACATTTGTTTTTTGTTTGTGCTTATTGGTCACATTTATCAAAATACTGCTCAGACGTGTTCAAATGAACATAATTAGTGAGTTAGTAGAGATGGATTTACCATTAAATATAATATATATCTTCTACTTCATAATATAGTGCATAGTAAAATTTTATAAACAAAAGTAAGTGATTTCTAAAAATGAAGAACTGTTGAATCGAAATCGTTTGAATATACGAAATAATATGATTGACTGTATTCCAAGATCTATAAATTGACCGTTTTTCATCTGTTGGAGCGCACGAACGGAAATTCCTATAATGTTCGTGGAACATCGCGCGTACCTCGGGAGAGGATTGCGTAAATCTTTCGAACCATTCCCAGCACGTGAGATATTGAGATTCGTGTTCTTTCACGATTATTTTTCACAATAAAATTGTGGAGATTGAGTTTGGTCAGGCAGTTTTATTCTGGTCCACTGATAGCATGGTGTCAGATCGTGGGTGTCAGCCGACTGTGATCATTTATGTAGTGATTTCGGCTTTCAAGGATGTTTTTTCTTCCTTTGTTAATAATTCTACGAGCGGATGCGCATCCGACTGCGTTCATAATATATCACGTGATTCCCTGTGACCAATCTGGACAATGAGGTTTGGGAATGGTTCGAACACTTTAGGCTCTCGTCCAGGGAGGATAGGGAGAGGGGGTAAGTGTTGGAATTTGTTTTGAACTTTTGGAGGTTATAAGTTCTTGGGAATATTTCCATTGGCAAAGAATTCCAAAGCTTCGACGGTTTGTTCAGTGTTCAGCATTGTTTGCTGATCCTTAAAAACTTTATTGTTACTATGACCGTCTCTATTTACATAGGATGATGAACAGAGATAGCCATAGAAAAAATCAACTTCAGCATGTCATTGGACCTTATATATTTGTGAGGGGCAACCTTATTAATATTGAATGTGAAGGTAGCTTCCTTCAATGATTCCTACTAGAAATGTTGGCATTCTACCAAAGAGTAGGGTGACTAACCTAATATTCTTTGATTCTACTCTCACATGGAAAAACATCTGGTATTGTAAGATTAAAAATTATGCTATGAATCATCAATAACAAGTATGGACCTATGCAATTTGAATCTACCGAAATTGATGATGGTTCTAACGTCATTTGTCATTCATAGAATAAAATGTAAGGTAGAACATGGGACAACTAGGTATCTCCACCATAAGTTTCAATCCAAGTTCCAGATTTAATGGGAGATTCAGAATACATAGGATATTTAAAAATGGCAAATTCATGCTTTTGATTTGCAAGTAGAAACATTGAAATACTTCAACTAAAATTGTCATTGCTTGTGGCGCCATCTGTATTCTATTGAATTGAACCATAGTGGAACTACACTATTCTTTACCACAGATTAACAAACCTTATTTGTTAATCTGTGTCTTTACCATAACATTCTATTAATAATCATAACTTTTACTTTACATCTGAGATTATGAAAAATGAACTCTCCTGCAATAGGTTCAGTATGTTACTCACATATGTCTGCAGGAATAGCAGGGGTACACATGTATGCCTAATGTAGGTTTGAAGCTAATCCACTCTTTGGAAATGTCTTCAAACAGGATATTCCACAGGTATGTTGAAGAAACCTTGTGGCCCTGAAAGATGAAATCAATATTAACATTTTCAAATTGTAGGAAGCATCTCAGCTGTAGGTATAAAATAATACTCACCCTGATGGTCTTATCATTGGAAGGTGATCTTGACAATTCGGGCATATTACTGATGGGTATTACTAGGAGTAGGTATGACTGATATTCTCAAATGAAATTCACTGAATAAATCATTACACTTGGAGAATACAAAATCATAATAATAAAATATATTGTTGACAGAAAAGAACGAGTACACCCGACACCGCCATCAGTCAACATGTGGGGGAGGGGCTAAAATGACAACTGACAGCTCAGATTGTTAAAATTAACTGTCACCTGTCGAAACTGTGAATGTGCAGCCCATTTTTATTTTACAGTGATATGTCCAGGAATCAAAACGGTAAAAAGTACCAACTTCAGGGGCTACTTTTATAACTGAAAACCTACTCTTGAACCAAAACATGAAATTTTTGTTGATTTTCTTAATATTTTACATTTCTTCAACTTCAACGTTTGCTAAAAAATCTCAAGATGAAAAGAAACCAGACTGGGCTAAAAAAGATATAAGAGATTACACAGATGCAGACATGGAGAGACTGCTGGATCAGTGGGAGGTATGCATGCACATATCTTTGTTAGGCAAATAACGATTAATAACACATGACAGGAAGATGAAGAACCCCTTCCTGAAGATGAACTACCTGAACATCTTCGCCCCATGCCACAACTGAATCTCAATGAATTGAATCCTGATAACCCTGAGGAGCTTCTGCAAACTACCAAAAAAGGAAGAACCTTGATGACATTTGTTCAAGTTGTTGGGAATCCAAGTAGGGATGAAGCTGAAGAGATAACCAAACTGTGGCAAACCAGTTTATGGAACAATCACATCCAGGCTGAGAGGTAAATGTAATTTCTAGACTATTTGGGTCAGGTTTTTGTATGTCACTTGATGTTCAACTGCTGAATGTGTAATCTTGAGCTGTCACTTTGAAGGTGTAATTAATTTTTTAGGTATATGGTGGATGACAATAGGGCTATATTTTTATTCAAAGATGGATCTCAGGCTTGGACAGCTAAAGAATACCTCATAGATCAGGAATTATGTGATAGTGTTACAATTGAGTCAAAAGTATATAAAGGAAAACATTCCAAAGAAAAGAAGCAAGAGTTATAGCAAAATTCTATTTAATAAATAGTTTCATTTTTTGATAATGTTTATCATTCAACCAAAAGAGTACTGACACAGGTGAGCAGATTAAAATTACAGGAGCTTTTCATGAGGTAGATTCATTGCCACACCTTTCTTGTATAGACTGAGATTGGGCTTCCTTCTTGAGTTCCCTGATTACTGTGGCTAGTAACTCTGGATTCACCCCAGCTTCACAGAGTCTGACACAAATTGCTAATGTTTCTGGTTCCAAACCGGTGCAAAGTAATCTAGATAACTCAACCAAAGATTGAAATGTTTCCTTGGCATCTTTCAGAGGTGACAACTTCTTATAATTCATCTTATGAGGAAATACTGGTTACATGTAGGAATCAACTTTCATCACATGAAAGGTAAACATTCCATTATTTGCAATAAAGCCAAAATAAGTACATATTCTTATTATCAACGATTTCCATAAAGAACCAAAAAGAAAATACTTCAGCGTCACAGTCACATTTCACATAGATTTTTGACATATGGACACTATATTGACAGATTAGTAAATTAGCGGCATCCCGACATCTGCTGGTTTTTCTGTTTACTAAAGTGACGGAGTCGGTGTTGCCAGCGTTATATTATTGGTATTAGTTCCTCTACACTCACAAGAAGAGTAATTCCGTTAATTTCCTTTTCCCAGAGTTATACTATTTTTCATCCATACTGGTGTGACCATTATTCAAGAAAGTATTCCATTGCCTGAATATTAATAGGAATCTATAAATTACCTAACCAGAAAGCCAGAATTTTCTATTTTGTCATTGGTACAAATGGTACAATGGGGCTGGTATAACTGATATCAACTATCGCCTTCCTTTTATAAAACTTTTCGAAACCAGAGTGCCTCAAACATCTCATTACATGCCCTTTACAGAGTGGACACGCTTGTCAACATTATGGTTACCATTCATATTTGAGTTGCCATAGAAATACATTGAATGATGTATGTAATATTGATATAACTACAAAATGCGCTTGATGTGCGATTGGTGTTACGCCACTGTTGTACTAACGCACTGTTCTGTTAGGGAGTTATGTCTGCACTTGTTCAATGAAGGGGTGGGATACAGGAAAACGACATTTCATCTCTTATAAAACATATTCGTGTTTCATGTTTTTTGTTCAGCTATTTAACAATATGACAAGTGTGTCCACACTCTTCAATGGCCGTAAAATGAGATGTTCGGGGCACTCTATTCGAAACAACCTACTTAGTCAAAGAAAGACTCGAAGTTGTGGAATTTCGAGTAGACTTGTCAGCGTTGTAATACATGAATTGTGTCAACGTCATTAGTGCCAAACTGTCAAGCGTCAATCTGAAGTTGACGTTGACATTTTCTTTAGTCAAATTTGTGTTTCTGGAGGATTTCAAATATATTTTACAATTTATATTCAATTTATATATAATTAAACTTTGAATCACGATGGCTCTACATTCGAGTAACAATATCATGAGAATGGTAGTTTCTTTAAATAACAGGTGATTATATTTCATGATAATCTACTACACCATTTCCCTTAACTGCATCCTTCTGTTCAACATGAGCTTCTGAACATCTCAACATTTCTTCATTTTCAAATGTTGTATCTGCTTTTTCGAAGGCCATGGAAACTCCATAAAGCTGCAGGCGAAACACTCAAAAAGTATAGCTCAACAGAATGGACAAATTTGACTGAAAGGCCAAAGGTAAAAGTGACTGATATGCCACCAATGAGTGAACCTGTTAAAGGTTTGCCTAGGCCGGTTTACATAAATTTTAAGGAAGAAAATCAGCGGACAAAAGTCTCTGTTTTGTCAAATGGACTGACTGTAGCTTCAGAGGAAAGATTTGGGGAATTTTGTACCGTTGGAGGTAATAATACCTACTGGAAATAGAGAAACTTCAAATCCATATCAGATTCTGTATTCTCCTTTTTTAAATTTCAGTTGTTGTTGACTCAGGTCCAAGATATGAAGTAGCATATCCTAGTGGAATCTCTCATTTTTTAGAAAAACTAGCATTCAATGTAAGTAAGTACTCTAACACATAATGAGCTCATATTCCAATTCCTCTCTGTTACACAAAACATAAAAACCTATTATTTTCAGTCTACTAAGCACTACCCTAATAGGGATGACATGATTGATAAACTGGAGAGACATGGTGGCATATGTGACAGTCAGGCTTCCAGAGATACATTCATATATGCTGCATCTGCATACACTTCTGGATTGGATGATGTCATTCAGCTGCTTTCTGAGGCTGCCCTGAGACCTCGCATCACTGATGAGGAAGTAGAAGTTGCCAGACAGGCTATCAATTTTGAGCTGGAAACTTTGAATATGAGACCTGAACAAGAAACTATTTTGATGGATATGATCCATGCGGTAATTGTGTATTGCAAATTTTTAACTAAAGAATCCAAGTTCAATTTCTTATCTCTCAAATAATAATTGAATTCATGTTGAAAATGTGTTGCCTCTTCCAATATTATCAGGAGTACATTGAAAAATATTGATAACAATCTGAGTCTGTTTGAGATAGTTCAACAATGCATTATTGGCTTGATTGTTAGAAGAAGAAAAAAGATGAAGATATTTAAAATAATTTCAAAAACTTCTATAAAATACTTTTGAATATATGAACATGAAAATTGTTATTTTTTGAGGTATTTAATTTCATTGATTGTTTAGGTACCTATTTGAAATATTTTTTTCTTTGTCCACCAATTTTGATAATGGATAACATATAAAAAAAAATGTATTGAAATGCATATTCTCCTAAATATCACATGGCATTTTGGAAAAGACAAAATAATTTAATTTATTATTGATAGATACTGATATAGTACCTAAATGACACATGAGAATGCATTTCACACATACAGGGTGGTCCAGTAAATAAGGATTTCGTTGAAAGCAGAAAAGCCCTGAGGTTTGTATTTATCAACAGATTTTGAATAAGAGAATTGATCGGCGTTTTATACGACTTTGGAGATTCAAAAATACAAAATCATATATTGAAAATACACTATACTATATATATTTGAATTCATAGAAATCTTGTACTTTCAAATTTAATATTAATATTGTTTCATGGAAATTGAATTTAAAACATGGAAATAGTTCAAAATGATCATAAATTTCAATTTGTTTCTGAAAGATAAAAATACAAAACATTGAAGCCCTAGAATAAATGAAAAAAAAAAAAAAAATTCAAATATAAAATTTTTGGATGATCTTTCTTTCCTGATTTTTAAATTCTATCATATGTTACACTCTGCTTGTTTTTGAAATATTCAACGTTGATTTTCATAGTTAGCTTTGAAAATCATAACAATTATGTACAGGGCAAATTTTATTAATGTGAATGTCATCTTTTTTGTAAACCATTCATTCAAAAAGATTCAAAACTGATTTTTTGACAAATTTTCATGTTTGTTTCAATGATATCTCATCAAATATACAGGGTATACAGAAAAATATATTAATTTCTGTATGCCCTGTATATTCAAAGAGATATTGCATCATGTTAATATGAGTGAAATCTGTGTGAAAAATTGTATAAAATCAGTTTTGACATTTTTGAATGGTGGAAAACAGAAAGTAAAACTCAATGTCTCAGCAATATCAAAAGAAAAGAAACAATAAAAAATCTGGAAGTTTCAAATGAGGTCCATTTGATGCCAAATTTAAATATTTGAAAACTGAAGAAATGTTATTGAATTCTCATTCTTAGAAAAAAGTATCTTCATTTCGGAATATTTAAAAAAAGTTAATTTTTCTGGAAAAAAAAAATTTTTGAGAGGAAAATTTGGCAGACTAGAAAAATTGAAAGACAAAAGAAATTTTTTCTTTTCAGTTTTTTTTTACAACCCTTGCTAAAATTCTGTAATTGAATTTTTTGATGGAATACTTCTTCAGAAATATTTGTTGTTTTTAAACATGCTAAAGAATTTGTTGATGACATTATTCCATCCTCATCATTGGGATCTCATAAACCATAAGAGATACTGGGTCGGTTGAATTATGGCAAAGTTGCGTGGTTCAACGTCTAACAAAAAGCCGTATCCAAAGTTGGAAAATACATTCGGAGATATACGGAAAAACCGAAATGAATGACACTATTCCTCATGGTCACTTATGGAAAAGTTGCTGTTTTCAAATTTGAATTCCGGCGTTTCATCTCCCAGAAACCATCATAAACTTATCTTTTTCGCATACGGAGCTGGATTTGTTACTTCTGTTTTTCATACCTTCGGGTATTCCAAAAGCTATGAGCTATCACAAAAACTGACATTTCCTGTATTATTTTTAATATTTTATTTATCACTTGTCCCTTACTGCTTTATGATGACTTGTGTTAAGGTGGGACAACTGAGAAGCTGCTTAAATAATATCCACGTCTTCAAATATCAAGTTTGTATTCTAGGAAAATAACACCTTTACAGCTCTCTGGTCTCAACTCTACTAGTCATCCTAACTATTCCCTGTCACCCTCTCTTATCTAGCTTATGTAACTCCTTAATCATGCATTCAATATCTCTTAGTCATAAAACCGGCACCCGTCGATATTCTAAACATAATACGGGGCGATGGTACTGAATCACACAACATATATAATAATAATAATGATAATATAATACTAGTGATTAATGTAATTTGGTGGGTATCTCTGGAGTGTTTCTAGCACTTGGCAACGATTGCTATTAATAGACTCATAACGCCCGCAGCGTTATGAAGGGCATCATTAATCATAACGCCCGCTAATTCGTATTCATTTCCATTATTTCGCTATGACTACACATAGCAAGCAGCAATTACATTCACTGATAGTACATTATACATCAAGGGACAGAAATGCAAGATTCCAAGGTGCGATTTGTAGCTTGAGGGCAAACAGATACAGGGTGATCAGAATTATGAATCTTGAACCACCCCGTATTTGTTTCAAATAAATGTCGGTAGATAGTAAATCACAAGTTGAGATAGGGACATGAAAGCCGTTTTGACCAATAATGAATAGTTTCGACACAAAAAAATGAAAAAGTTGAAACATCTCGATTTTGAACACTTTATATCATCCCTGAAACCATTAACAGCTAGACCCCAAGTGAGATGCATTGATGAAATCAGCTCTTCTTGGAAAATCTAAAAATGCAATAAAATACAAGGTACTCCATTTGAAATAACAAAGTTGTTGCTTCTTTTCGTAAGAAGCGGCAACGCCGCAGGGCTGAAAATATTTTAGAACGATGTCACCCTCGAAAATGAAGTTGACGTGTTTCAGATATTTTTGAAAAGGCTTTTAGTTTAGGAAATATCGAATTTGTTCCATACTTTACGGACACAGTGTATATAAAAAAAAACGACTGAAAATGATGAAATATTACTATGCAATCTTCTATTTTGGGTCGAATATCTCGAAAACTGTTCATTTCAGCTCAGTTGAAGATGATGCATTTTTTGAACAAAATTGAACAATGAAATCGAGGAATTGGAAATAATTGAAATTTAATCAGTGGCGTAGAAAATATGAGAGGAAAAGTTGCCACACCCCCCCCTGTAGGGCACCACTGGATAAAATGTCCGGAATAGCTTCCTGGTCAAAAAATGACCCATTCAAAGATGAAACTATTTACCGAAGTTGACTGCATTGTATTCAATTTATCTTGAGATATTGCCAAACAACTTTTTTTTTCTCAACTTCAACGCCCTGTATCTCGAGAACTGAACACTTGAAGACCGTATGTCCCTATCTCAGTGATTCACCTGTCAAGCATTGTCGGTCGAATTTCGCAACACCCTGTATACCCGAAAATATTCGGAGTTTTCCGAGTTTCGAAACTGCATTTTGTTAGGCATTTAATTGTGCAACGTTGTCATGATTTAACAGACCCTGTATATCTTACCCTGTACCCACCAATTTCCGTTAGGCGGCGTACAAAGACAACACGTTAGGACTGGCCAAACTGTGTCCGGCAGAAAACCTCCCTAAAATCGACAGAGAGATGATATTCACGTACTTGAGCCACCACTATACGCCCCAGAGGATGGTGATAGCTGGCGTAGGGGTGGACCATCAAAAGCTGGTCGACACCGTGCAAAAGTACTTCGTGGATGTCAAACCACTGTGGGAGTCCGATCCGCACATTGTGCACCACAGGAAAAATTTGAATACCGATCATAGTGTGGCACAATATACCGGAGGGATGGTTCAGGTAATCAGACATTTGAATTTTCATTATTCGGTCATTGTCATGTGCTATATGTTCCATGAAGCTAGTTCGATGGGTTTTCTAGTTTGGCCTACATATGTTTTTGAATAAGGCAGGTAGACTAATTTTGTTCATGTTTTAAATAGAATCATCACCGAACTACTCTTCAATTCCATGTTTTTGAATATTTTCGGCCGATTTTAAGGGCCTAAAATCATCAATAATGCCCTTGTCTTTTTAGATACCTTATTGTCTTCTTGCTTCAAAAATTATGTAAACCCAGTTTTGAAGGACTTGAAGGGGGGTCCACCCTTTTATTAGCCCAAATTGTAGGTTCCAAAAGAGAATATGACTTTGAAAAGCATGATCTTGTGGGTTATAGAAACATTGAGAATTCGGTATCTTGCATTACAACTAACCGTTTTCCAAAAAACTTTATCAACGCTCGAAGCTCGAAGGGATTGCATTGTAGGCCACATCATTATAGGATGAAGGAGTTTTATCTTCATCCCAACAATATTATATTTACATCGAATTTTGAATCACCCTGTACATTGAATAGGTTTCTTTCTTATTTTGTCCATCTCCCCAAAACTAGTCGCTTGATTCCAATAAAAAAAATGCAACAGATTGAATTTATCTTCTTTTCAGTAACTGAATTAATTGAATTTTTATTTTTCGTTTTTTTTTTGTTCCTATTTCAATGTTTGTACCTGTTGGTATGTGATATTATTTGATTAATTCTCAATACTATTTCTTTATTTATTGAAACCAAGGTAAGTTACTTACATATTGCTTTTTTCCCTAAATATTGACCTAGACCTCCCCCCCAGGGATGAATCTTAATTACGCCACTGATGAGTACTGTTTATGTATGAGCTCCATATTCTTTTCAGGAAGAATGTGATATACCGCAGTTCGCTTCTGCCGGGCTGCCGGTTCTTTCGCACATAGTCATCGGCCTGGAGAGTTGCTCGCACCAGGACCAAGACTTCATCGCTATGTGCGTTCTGAACATGATGATGGGTGGTGGGGGGTCGTTCAGTGCGGGGGGGCCCGGGAAAGGGATGTTCACTAGGTTATATACGAATGTTTTGAATAGGTAAGGAAACACAAAAAACTCTCGTCCTACCGACTGCGCCATTTTTTATAGATAGATAGATTGATTGATACAAGAACACTCATTTCTAGAAAAAATACTATGACGTTCCACTTCAAATTGGAGCATTTGTGTTTGAAGTAGTGAAACATACTTTATTAAACGAATATCTGCTGAAGAGTCCCCTCGAATCACAAGAGTACACAAATAAACAGTCAAAAGTGGAGTTATCTTTGCTTAAATTACTACTAAAAAATCTAAATAATACAAAAACATATGAACTATTTCAAGACAATGTACTTTCATATAGCTCGACAACCAGCCACTTTGGCGCTACAATCTTAAATTCACTCGCCTATATCAGTGAATTTATTTTATACTATCCATATTGAACATAATCGCTTGCAAAATTGCGCGTTGTGTGATTTGACTGAGATATGATACTATAAAACCTTAATGGGCGGTTTGCATGTTTTTTTTTGTATTGCCAGTACACTTTCAAAGGTCATTAGATTCATTATCACACTCCTATTCCTCTATAGCAACATGGTAGCCTGGAAACTGATACAGGCAGAACTTTCATGGCCTTGAAAACTCGTATCCTACCGACTGCGCCACTTGTAATACATCAGGAAAATCAGTCCATGTGCTTGAGTTTTTACAACCTCCATAGAAGTTGATAGGATCTTTAAGTTAATATAAAAAGCGTTGGCCGTAAAAATTTCGGTTTTTGAGTTTTTTTCATGATGACATTTGTGTAATATGGCCAGGAAACTTATTATTTCTTGAAATTCCGTAATTTGGATGTGTAGGTACCACTGGATGTACAGTGCGACCGCTTACAACCACGCCTACGCCGACACAGGACTATTTTGTATTCACGCTAGCGCTCCTCCAACGCACGTCAGAGACATGGTCGAGGTTATCGTCAAAGAATTGGTGGCGATGACTGGAAATGTGACCACGCAAGAATTACAAGTAATTATTGAATGTTGTTGAAGGTTCCTCGGTTATTAACAATGGTGATTTTTTCGTTTTAGAGAGCCAAAACGCAGCTGCAATCGATGTTGTTGATGAACTTGGAATCTAGGCCGGTGATGTTCGAGGATATCGGCAGACAAGTATTAGCAACAGGGCAACGTAAACGACCGAAGTATTTTATCAATGAAATAGGTGAGTTTTGTCGCTGAAATGAATCGAAGCAGTTATTTATATACTCCACGGTAGTGAAAGATCATTATCAAGTTGTGTATATCAATGACGATAGTACCGTTTGGTCATTGAGTGTCTCTTCTCTCTCGCACCTGCAAATTTCAGAATAGGGAAGTTTCCTTCAGATGAATTTTCATAAAATAAGTTCGGAACTCTCCAGTTTTATGTCCATGCTGTACAGAATGGCGACCGATAAAGTCCAAGTCGTTTTTATTTTCAAATTGAAGCACTTACTAATTTTCGGGGCGGCAAACTGAGACGTGCATTCTAAATCTAGTCTGAAATTAGCTGATGGTGAAGAAAAGAGCTAGTGAATATCTAACGCATGGCTAACGAATGAGTAACAAATGAAAAAAATAGGAGATGAAGTAAAACTGGTAAACAAAAACATACATAACCACAAATGCCCTGGGAGCAGGAATGCAGAAGGTATTTGGCTTCATTCTGACAAGTTATGGTTTTTGTTACTTATGCATTGAAATATCTCGAATTGAGCTCGATCCTAATGGAAAATATCACTGAATCAATGAATCACTATTGGCTACATTCAATGATTCTATCTTTCCGCATTTACAGCCATCGGTGAGAACAGAATGAAGCCGACACCCATGGCGCCTTCCTCTTGTTGTGGCTGTCAGTATTTTGAGTTGTGTGGAAGGACTCGAAGTATTAGGCGCTGTTGCAAGATATAATCTGCAACTTTTCTAGAAAATAAATCCGTTTTATTAATTAGCAAAAAAATGACTGACAAGTTATGAATAATATATTGTAATATAACAATAGGGAAAACATCATAGATACTATCGCAAAATATCATAATTCATCTTTATTAGTAATCAACTCAATTCAGCCAATGAGAGATTTATGGGAATTATTCATAATACTTGACAAAGAAGGATTAAAGAATCCATTATATCCCATTGCTGTTATGATATAAATAGTTATTATGCATTTAAAGAACAATATCCGGACATATTGACGATGTCGGCAACTGGCACATGGAATCGTATTTTAACTCTGTGAGAATGTGGTATTTATTTTTTTTCACAGAACCGAAGCAAAATATCAAAACAACTCAGAAGACCAAAATGTTGTATTTTTAGTTGGTCAATAGGATATGAAGATACAGAAGTTGAAAAAATCAGTGGTGTACATTTTATCGACAATAATATTTGCTAGGGTGCCCCCGGGACGCCAGTGGATTTCACAATTCCAATTCACGACAAAAAGTATCATTGCCTTTCAAGAGAATCGGTGAAAGGATATTTGAGATATTCATTTATATGCATTTCCGGACCCACGTGTATATAAAATAAATTTTATGTTTTCTTATGCAGAATCACCCCCTTGATTCTTTGCACATAATTTCCGGACACCCTGTATAGCAAAACAACGTTATGCGGGTCGCATATAAGCACAACGTACATCTATTTGGCATGCGGCCTGTGTCTAAGCTTTCTGGTTGGTTGATGCCAAATAACAGTACGTTCTGCCATTGTTGAGTCAGAGTCATGTACGTTTTGCGCGTGAAACTGCAATAACTGCATGGGATATCAAAAATTTATTATAATAATGATAATACAATATCGAAAATACTCATCACATTCACACATCGATAGTGCGTTCTAAAAACATAAATGTACAGGGTGTCCCACGACAATTAAGACAGGGAATATCTCGAAACTCAAGAGTAGTAGAAGATTGTAATTTTGGGGTTGAATATTATATCACCCAATGAGCTTTACGTTTTCGGTCACGTGACATCAGATTCAAAATTATTAATGAGACAACCTGTTTATTTTGGAATTACTATGTTCCTCTCGATAAAACAATTCCAACAATCTATCACACTTGTAGCCTAAAACGATTAATTCAAGAACTATACCAGGTACTTCAATATCTTTTGTCCCACGGCGATTACTACAAACGTCTGAAACGAGCAGTTGCCAAATTATTTGAGTTTAGGGCGTCAATGTTCATGTGGGCAATCCTATATTCATTGTGATGATTAAAGCGATGCAGAATTATATTAATCATTCATATTTTATTGAAGAGCGTAGTCAAAAAACTTTGGGACAATGGATATTGACGTACCTGTAGTTCTCAAATTGATCGTTATAAATAGAGACTACAATTGTAATCGTTTGTTGAAATCGTTTTATCAGGAGGAATGTGAAAATGCCAAAATATACAGGTTGTCCCATTAAAAATTTTGAATCTGACATCACGTGACCAAGAACAAAAATCACATTGGGCAACGTAATATCGAAAGAAAGGTTCTCAATTGCTTTAATTTTCGACCCCAAAATTCACACGAATATTCCCATGAATACTTATTGTTCAATCAAACAGTCACGAAAGCTTCCACTTGTGAAATATCTATATACATACAAAGTCGCGCGTGGTCGCGCTGAACAATTCCTATTGCTTCTACCCACCCCTACCTCCTCCAAACCCCTAACGAAATCTAACAAAAAAAATCCTCTGTTACATCAAAACTATCATAAATATCACCCCACTTTCAGCATAGCACAGCACATAATAATTAATAAAACATTATTACTTAGCTATACTTACGAACACACAAAAAGTTTTAAATTGGGAGCACTTTCACGTACGATCCATTTCGTGTGATTTAACCTAGAAAATTCCCGAATCCACATATCACATTCTTCCAGATTGTGTAAATCTCCATAAACTGTTATATTATCATTGTTAGTAACTCCATTCGTCTTATATTTGAAAGATTGGGGTAATTCCATATTGAAATAAGATATTGAAATCAAACTCAACTAGGTATTCAACTCAATGATAGGATGCACGTGCTGCTTGCATAATAATGACTGACCATTGACCAAAAACAAAAACAAAAGCGCGAGCCCTATGCAGATGGCAAAGTGTACATCTATTTTAGGTATCATGCGCAATTCGTACTGCCTATTTGGCGGCGAGATCTGCAGCAAATTGTACATCTTTTTGGCGCCGGTATAGCAAATAGATGTACGTTTTGCTTATATGCTGCCGGGTCAGCTAGTTCTCTTGAAAAAAATGCATCATCTTTGAGAACACCATGTATATACCTGAAGCCACAATAATACCTTAGGATAAAATCATTCGGTACTGAGGCACAATTTTTTACTAATAGTAGAATGCCAAACAAATCGTAAATCGCTTAGATCAAAAGTTGGTGGGAAATCGAAGGTAAAATGCTGTGACATAGCTAGAATTGTTACTTACCATCTCCAGATCATGAACCCACTTGTCGTCAAAAAATCGTCCCGTGCGTTTGGAGGGTAGGGGTTAATTTATAAAAAAAATATAGATTTTTTTTGTATTCCTGGAAAATATTGATTCATGCTTCGATTTTCAAATTCGAAGAACCATTCGTATCTTGAAACATAGGCGCATCGATATTATTTGAAGTATTTTTTCATTAACGTTGTAGTTACTGAAATAATGCGGGGTATATGAAAAACAATTTAACGAAAATTCACAAGTTTCGAGTTATAGCGTTAGAAATATGATTTTTTCATATATCGTAATGTAATTAGTGGATTTCAAAATTTTATATAATTTGTTCTACTCTTCACACGAAATCAAGATTCAATAGGGTGGGAGTACTGAAACCCATTAATATTTTCCAGGAATAAAAAAATCCATATTTTTTCATTAATTACCCCATACCCTCCAAACGCACAGGACGATTTTTTGACGACAAGTGGATCCATGATCTGGAGATGGTAGATAACAATTCTAGCCATGTCACAGCTTTTTACCTCCGATTTCCCACGGGGTGAACGATAGGATTCGATTGGCACTCTAATATAATATCAGTGCACTATGTCTATTTGAATGGTTGCATTTGAATCCGTGTTTTTGCAGAAAAAATCACCAAGGATGACATTATGTACGTTGCCAAGAGACTGCTGGGTTCGCAACCCTCGGTCGCCGGCAGGGGAGACCTGAGAAAAATGCCCTCTTTGGAGTACATCCAAGCCGGCTTGATAGACAGCGAAGGGCGGATGCCGAGCGGCAGGAAATTATCTTTGTTTAGGTAGAACAATAGGAAATAGTGTCTCGATTTTTTATTAAGTTATTTCTTGATATTTTTTGTACATAACTACTGCCCACTGTTGAAATAATAGTGAATGACGGCGATTTTTCTTCTTATGTGCCCTCTACGCGGAAAGTCCTGAATGTTATTTTGTTTATTGTTTTATTGATGAAATAAACGGAGTATTGTTTCACATATTGATTTTTATTTAATTTATTGCCTCCACCTTGTTGATAATAGTAATTTTCCTAACAAGTACGGAAAGTGATACTTTCTCGCTCGCGAATGTCGTTGATTCGAACGACGTGAAGCGGAGTTCGGGCAAGCAGTTGAGTGCGGGAAAGACACTTTCCGCATGATTTAGGAACAATATTTTTTCTACAAGCAAATAGGAACAACTAACAATAGTGATATATTCTCTATCTTCTAATAATTAGTGATATATCTATTGTGTGTACCGTTTGAAGCATTATGTAGGTGAGCTTATTGCGGAAGCCAGCATGCCCATGGTGTTTGGCCTCTAGGTTTCAGACATTTCTAGGAAATGAGCCAAAACACTAATCTGTATCGCATCTGTAGCTGGAAGTTTTTCATCGCAATTCCACAGAATCGAGAATGACAATAACGCTTTTTGTCTGTTACTCGACACCTTATTCTAAGTAATTTGTGTTTTGAGTGACATGACAACAATTGTTTCCCACGTGAGATCAGTTAAAGGCTATAGGGGGATTTATATAATAATATTTCTTCATCACGCACACGCTTTTGTCGAAAAAATTGATTTCAAACAGGCAAGTTATTGGTAGTTCAAAATTCACGATCAAGTTTTTCGAGCAGTTTTTTCTTCCGATGTAGTAAGGAAATGCAAAGTTAGCTGCTTTGAATATTACACGGTGGTCCAAAATTTTCTCCCGATACTTCTGTGATTGCTGGCGCAAAAAGAGATGAATATGTTTTTAGACACTCGGTTAAATGCTTTTTGGACGATTATCAGGCTAGAAATTAAATGGTACGTACTCCTTTGCAGTAGATACTACAATTTACTTACAGTCCAGTTAATGTTCCTTGGCGTTAGAATTTTTTACAATTATGACTATCAAGTATCAATTTTTATTACCAAGCTTTTATTATCTTGGTATGTTTGATTGTATAACAGGGTGGTGATGCCTTCCATAACATATGCCTCTCTGGTATGGTGGCAGAAGACACTACAAAATGGAGCTATAACAAGACTGAGCAAAATACAAAGACTTGCATGTCTAGGAATCACGGGGGCTATGAAGTCAACGCCAACCGCAGCCATGGAAACACTACTGGATCTGCCTACCCTCCACTTGATGGTACAGGGAGAGGCGAGACTTGGTGCCCTAAGACTGCAAAATACACTGGGCAATGTTAACATATAGGAACAGGACATATGAGCATCGTCAGAATAGTGAACAGGGACATACTTAATATGAGAACAGATCACATTTCGAAACGATATATATTTGACACTTCATTCAGAGTGTCCATACCATCAGACAGATCTGATTGGAATGACGGAGAACTCAGCACCATACTGCAGGGAAAGATCTGGTATACAGACGGGTCCAAGACTGCGAATGGGTCAGGAGCAGGAGTATACTCCAAACATCCGGAAACTAGCCTCAGCTACTCATTGGGGAAGTATGCTTCAATTTTTCCAAGCAGAGGTGTACGCAATTCTCCAATGTGCGGAAGAAAATAACAGGAGAGCTGTGGAAAACGAGCAGATCCGTATTATGTCAGACAGTCAAGCGGCACTTAAGGCAATAGAAAGCCAGGAAGTGACATCTCGACTGGTATGGAATTGCAAGAGGGAATTGAGAACTCTGGCAGACCGGAACTGCGTCAAGCTAATCTGGGTGCCAGGTCATCAGGGGATCGCTGGCAATGAGAAGGCTGACGAACTTGCAAGAAGAGGGTCGGACAACGAGCCAGATCCAGGACAGACTCTTGGAGTACCAAAACGTACAGCACGAGTGTCAGTTAAAGACTGGATTCAGGCAAAACATAAGAGCTAATGGGAAAACATCCCAAGAAACAGACATGGGAAACAATACATTAAGGAACCAAGTCATAAACGAACTGTAGACCTGCTCATCTAGAACAGAGCACAGATAAAAACTGTTACGGGACTCATGACTGGCCATGCGCCAGTAAAAGGAGCATCTCGCCAGAATGGGACTGTACAATGGCGACCCAAGCTGCAGACTATGTGGCAAGGAACCAGAAACAGTAGCACATATATACTGTGCCGATGTGAGGCATTGGACCGCAAAAGACAGAAGATCTTTAGGCAACCAGTTGGCGAACCAGAAGTATTCAACTCACATCCAGTGAAGGATTTGTACAGACTTGTTCAAGGTACAGAGATAATGGAGTGGGCACAATAACGAACTACTAGGTAAGATACAATGGGCCACCATAGGCCTAAGTGTCGTCGGAGACATGGTCAGACGAACCTACAAACGGGGTGGAGTTTTTAGTGGGTAAACCCTGGCTAGAGTCAGGGGAGTCCCACACTATCATATGGGGGATAGGACCCATATGGTGTCCATAAAGGATTTAAACCACCTTGACAAAAAAAATAAAAATTTATGATTTGATGTAACGCGGAATCTTTGAACGTGATTTTGACCCACTAGCAGTTCAGCTAGCGTTGTAAGAGAAAAAATGAAGAAAATCTTACCCAATTTTGGGACAACTCATTGTTAAATGAAGTTTAGTTCTGGTGGAGTTGACTGCAAGATTTTCTTCCTGCCCTATTATCTTCACTCCACTTATCTCACACTAGAAATGAAAATAAATGGAGAAGAAGACCATTCTAACCTTCTTTATATCCATTTTTTTCCCATTTCCAATGTTACCAACATAAAATTTCAGTTATGTTACGTTGGAACACTGAAGATAAAGACGGATCGGAAAGACATTTGTTTCTCTCAACGCTAGCTGAACTGCTCTTTTATTGAAACTTCGCACACTTGTGTTCCATTATCCAGATCAGGATCTTCAGGATGAGCGATTTCTTGAATAAAATGGTGGATGATGCTCCGCCACCAAAATTTGAAAATGCGCCTTTACCAAAATATCAAATAAAGAATGCTCGTTTTGATTCCTTCGAATATCTTTTCACAATGCTTGTTATTGGCAGTGTGTTGCACCAAGTACTCATATGAAATAAAGTTTCTGGAAAGAGAGACTGTAATGTCTGTTATTTTATATCATTCTGACCAAGAAAGGCGACAGGGGTACAAATTACCAACTTTCACGGCATATACATAAAATTGAAAAAAAAAAAATTGAGGATCATGCCTGTCTAGTTATAGGTAAATAGGTAACCGAACTCAAAAATTAAAAATGAATAGTAGTTTACAAAACTAAAATAAAAACGAACAAAGCGATTGAAAATTAAATGATAAAAGTATTTTCAATATTTTTTATGCTTTGTATTTCAACCCACTTTTATTATTTTATTTTGTACTTCTTTTAATTTGGCTGTCTATAAAAGCGTGTTTTTTTTTTTAGTTTTTAAACAACTACTTTTATTACATTCTGAAAATAAGTTTCCGTTATTTTAGAATATCTGCTGCATTTTGTCAAATATAGTAAGTTATGTATTATGTATGCTAAATCTAATATAAAATGCGGCTTCTTATTCAATACAGAAATGGACCACATGACGTAATTTATATTTGTGGTTAGTCAACGTAATTACTTCTGAAGAAAAATTCATAAAAAAGTATTAGGTATGAATTATAAAGAATGTAATTATGGAACAATCTTGATATAATAGTTTTTTCAAATTAATAGTCGGCACTTTCCTCGTTTAGTGAAAGTTCTCTTCAGTCTTGAATCATTTAGTAAAGTAGGCAAGCGAGTAAAGCAACTCGAAATGTATCTCTGCCATATTATTTTTATCGCAATGATTTGTTTCTTCAATTTTACATCATTAGATTGCGCTAGAATCGTTTTTGACAAAGAATTGCCAGAGTTAGCAGTTGAACCATCAGATAAAACTACAGGTAAGTTCCGATTGGTATTTAACTCATTTCAAATCGGAGCTTCTTACGTTATCGATTGCCAGCTGACCTAGTGCAAGTGATGGGGCTAGGAAAGCCGAAACAGCATATACAGGGTGTTTGTTTCTTAAGTACGTGTAGACAATTCTGGAGCATATTGCTGACGTCAAAATAAGAAGAAAAGCTCGTATAAATACATGTCCGAAAGTTATTCGTTTCTGAGATTCAGAGTGTCAAAATTGAATCATTATTTCTGTTTTTTGTTAATCAATTTCAAAATATTTGTGATATTCGAATAAGGTTTGGTATCTAGGGATATTTTTCAATGACAATATCAAATTTAGGTTACATTAAATTAAATCCAATCGATTTTGTTTTGGGTCATACTTAAAGGCTTCAGTTTATTCGGTGTCTATATGTGAATGATGCAATGATTTGAACAATTACTTCAGTCAATTCCCTCAACAGACTGTTTTAGTATTAATTTGATATTAGTATTGAATTGTGATAACACCCGATTGCTATTTTAATATGGAATTAAGAAAAATAATTTCCCTTACTTAATAAATCAATTTTGAATTCCAACTTCTTGTCGTTCCAAATCACTTGCATTGATTATTTCAAATCCCAATAACTCGAAAACAGTTGCTCGCAGCGACCTCTACCAAGAATATATTTTTCACACAAAAGTGTTCTAGAAATCCATTTTTCTACAATAAAACGTGTTACAGGTACGCATAAGAAAGTATTATGACTTTTCAAAAGACTCAAAAGACATGTAGGTAGCGCTACCCCCACGAAAGAGAAAAACTAACAAAAAATTTGATATTGTCATTGAAAAATACCCCTAGATACCAACCTTTACTCGAATATCACAATTATTTTGAAATTTATTACAAAAAAACAAAAATAAGAATTCAACTTCGACACTGCTCTGTATCTCAGAAACGAATAACTTTCGGACACATATTTATACGAACTTTTCTTCTTATTTTGACGTCAGCAACGTGCTCCTGAATTTTCTACACGTACTTGAGAAACACCCTGTATATCTTGCATAAGCTGACAATTGATTCACGAAATGTCCCCAACTCAGAATCGACATATACCAGGTGTCCCAGAATAATGTTTGTATACTCCGGAAGGCAATTTTTGGTAGACGAAAATAAGAAAAAAATGCTTCTATTAACATGTGTCCAAAAATGCTTCCTATGGTAGGTACTTAAAAGCAGTTTTCTTCAATTTTCTTCATTTTCATTGATCTGCGTGGCATTAGCCAGGAAAGTAGTTGTTTTTCTCCCGAAATCTACCATTGAAGTTCATTTTATGAACATCGTGTGGAAATTACTTTGAGCTTTGTATTTATTTAACATTTAATTCCACTTTGAGCAACAATTCCCGAATGGGGATCCAATAACTTGGTAGATTTCAATGCAAACAAAACACAAGCATGCCTTTTCTTCTAGAAAAGCCGATCTCACTGTGCCCAACATAAGCATGTCAGGAGTAACCATACCTTTGAAGACATCCATTTCGATGCTTAGTTTTACTATCAGCAATAACCTTCCTTGGAGAAATCACGTGAGATCAATTGCTAAATGTGCATCCCGAAAACTTGGTTTTTTGTTTCGGGCCAGGAGCTATTTCACTTCCAGCGAGCTGCTTATGATCTCTATAAGGCACAGATCCGACCTGTCCTGGAATAATGTTCCCATATTTGGAGTGCAGCACCCAAACATTGCCTGAAACTGTTGGATTCAGTCCAAAAAAGGGCAATTCGTCTCGTGGGGAATGCCTCGTTTACAAACTCACTATAACTTCTCTGGAACACCGTAGAAAAGTTTGCGATCTGGCTCTATCTTATAGATATTTTCATGGGCGATGCTCTTCTGAAATATCAACAATTGTTCCTCCCTTGGCAGTCCCCGCGAGATTAACCAGTCGAGTTGAGGCTTCGCACCCCTTATTCGTGGTCTCTTTGGGGACATATGCAGAATATCTCTTTCCAAAGACTCGTTCATCCAACGAACAGCGAGGCTCTGGACTGCTGGCTGGAGACTGCCCTGCGCTGATGAGAAGCATAGAACTCGAAACCGGTCTGTAGGTGTCTAGTGCGGCCTGGCTAAATCGAAATCAATAGGCATTCAGGAAAGAATCATACTTGTATCAGCGTATATCCTTTTATACGAGTTGATGCAGATTCTGGGATAATGTAATTCGATTATCTGCGTGGCATTAGCCAGAAAAGTAGTTGTTGTTCTCCCAAAATCTACCATGGTAGTTCATTTTATGAACATTTGTGTAGAAATGAATGAACTTTGTATTCATTTACTTCATTTTTGCCGATAGATAGATATATGAGATGGCTATTGAGTGGAATATAAACAATCGCCCAGTTGACCCTGTACAACAAGTATATTATTTCATTTAATTTGCAGGAAATAGCGGTTTTAATGGGAATAAAGACAACGAATATGCTGCTTCGGTGATAGAATTGAAAGGAAACCAAGAAAAACCTCTTGATAAGACCTCCGTTCACAAAAAACATCTAGAAAGCAAGAAAGGCAGCAAAGCTTCCAAATTCGGAGAGAAGAAGGGCCACAAGAAAGGGCATCACACCAGGGGCTATCACAACAGATTCCACAAGGATGAATACCATAAAGAACACAAATTATACGACGATCCAACAAAGAGATCGAATCATAAATAATTTTCACTTTTGTTCAATAAGTGTAACATAAAAATCAATGAAAATTTCTATATGTTAGTATTTTTTACCTTAGGAAATTCTCATTTTTTATGTTCTTGAGAAGGATAGGAAGAGAAGATTGGCATTGGTATTTATTTTGAAGATTTGGTGTTGGGAATTTCAAAGATTTGCTGTTCCATATACAAATGAGTTTCGATAATCTGTTGTTCTGACATATCACGAGGTTGACGACGTAAGTATGTGCTGACTGGGCTTGTCGAGTAGGCCTGACTGGTATTGCGAATGATATGGACTAATAGCAGATATTTCTGAAGAACATTTCCCGTGGAAGTATCTACAGAAAAATGAAAGATCACCGACTTTTCTACGGTGTTTCAATGTTGTAAAAGAATTAGTGTGTGTGGTTTCTCCTACCAGGCGAATGGCTCTTCTTTGGATAGAATCTTTTTTTCATGTTCTGGTTCCCACGAAAAGTGATATCTTGTGATGTTCAGAGAGCATCGTGAGAACCAAGGAAAGTGAGGTAGGAATTGGTGTTCTTCTTGAATTTATGGAGGTTATATGCCTCGGGGAACACCTCCCTTGGCAATGTGTTCCAGAACCTCGCTGTTCGTTGGATGAACGAATCTCTGGAATGAGATGTTCTGCAGATCTCCAAAGTGACCACGAAGGGGTGCGAAGCCTCAACTCGACGGGTTAATCTCGCGGGGACTGCCAGGGGAGGAACAATTGTTGATATTTCAGAAAAGCATCGTCCATGAAGATATCTATAAAATAGAGCCAGATCGCCAATTTTTCTTCGCTGTTCCAAAGAAGTGAGCAGAGCAGAGAACATGACTGTACAAGCAAGCCATAAGATGGAAGCTTGGCGAGGAGTCCGTGGTGCCAGACTCGATCGAATGCCTTGGAGATATCAAGTGCCACGGCTAACGATTCACCATATTTTTCAATAGATTGCTGCCATATATGTGAGACGTAAGCGAGCAGGTTACCAGTTGATCTCTGATGACGGAAGCCATATTGCCTATCGTTGATAATATCTGAATGTTCCAGGTATTTCATGAGCTCGATGTTGATAGCTTTCTCTATGATCTTTGAAATAATAGATAGCAGTGCGATCGGTCTGTAGTTGCTAGGTAGGGTTTTTTGCCTTTTTAGGAACTGGTTGTACTCTTGCAATTTTCCAGTTGGACAGCAATATCCCCAATTTGTAAGAATAGTTGAACAAGTTGCAGAGAACAGGTGTTAGTTCGGGAGCACATTTCTTGAGAACAATCGGTGGGATTCCGTCGGAGCCACAAGCTTTGTTGGTGTTGAGACCCAATAAAACCTTCCTTATAGTACTATGACTGTCAATTGGCGTTATGTTTGGAGGTTATTTTTTCGATGAATCCAGAGTGGAATTTCCAGGAAACAAATGCGCAAAAATGTTGGCTTCCTCCTGGGCAGTTGTGGTTAGAGTTTCATCCCTGGTTAGAGGAGGAAACGAGCTGGAAGTGAAGTTTCTTCCTACAGCTTTGGCGAAGGACCAAAATGAACAGGATCCGTTAGGACGTTCAACACGTATCGATCTTATTTTGGCTTTGTGAGCATCCTTTGATTATCGAATTGTCTCATTGCATATGTCTCTAGCCTCGACATATTCTGCTCTAGTCTCAGGGCCTGGATTTTTCTGCATGCCATCGATGAAATGCTGCCTGTTTGGAAGAGACAGCTTTAGAGCAGTTTCCACTGAACCAGGCCTTATCGGGTGCTGATCTTCATGTGTGGATTCATTATTGTAAAATCGGCCATATCTGTGCTTCGTAGGTCATAAAAAGCTGTTGAGGTGTAAAGTAGCTTTTCGCAAGGAATGAAAATCCGACTTTTTGTGAAGTAGGTACCTATAGCTTTCGTGGTGGATTTGACGTAATTTCTAATAAAAGAGTATAGCTGATGCAAATACCGAGCATAGATATGGTGAACATTCAGTTTATCGGTTCACATTCATTGAAAATCTTTGACATTTGGAAAAAATCGTACATGCTAATGTTTATTTTTATCTTTGAGGGGCACGAAAGGAAATTACTAGAATATTCGGGGAACATCGTTCGTTCCTAGGAAGGATATGGAGAGGAGATAGAGGTGTTGAATTTTTTTGAATCTTTGGAGGTTATGAGTTCTTGGGAATACTTCTCACTGCCCAAAATTTCAAAGCATCACCGTTCTATAGACGAACGATTTTTTTTTTAATTTTTCGAGGTTATTTAAATTCTTCCTATTAAATACGTCACATTCATGTTTCCCTAGGTAACAATGCTAATTACAAGGAGACATCATTGGTATTGACAGGGGACTCTTTATTTTACAAAACATTTGCAATATTCGTCACATTTCATTGGATTTGAGACTTGAAATGTAGGTGAATTTGTGAGGCTTCCTGAAAACCAAGACACTCACTGGAACCTCACATTTCTATTTATGTAACGGAATCAATCAATTTTGATATTGAATGAAGAGTCATCATAATGTGAATCATAAAATGACCAAAAGGGTCCGGAATAGCAGTCATTGTGATTTCAGTGAGACTTTCATTATGAGTCACGGATGTGATGTGTGGCATGAATGTGATGCCCTCCTATATCTCTCAGATCAATCTGTATTAACTAGATTGGAAATACTTCCATTGGCAAAAGAATTCCGAAGATTGTAGGGATTTGAATACAAAAATACCATAATTTGGGCTCAAAAATGGAGCAATATAATATATCCATATAAAAAAAAAACATTTTATGAATACTTGACGTTATTGATACCTACATATATCTATCTCACTGGCAAATTCTTATTTTTTAAAAAATGAACAGAATGCTTTTTAATGATATCAAATACCATTTGAAACGTTTTGTTATTCATAACTGTCATCATCAGATTCATTTTCTTCCGCGCCTTCTGAGGTATAACCTTCACTTTCGTTCTCTTCATTTTGAGCTTCAGATTCTCCATCTTGAACTTCAGATTCCTCATTCTCTGCTTCAGCGTCTTCGTTTTGAGCCTCTGATTCACCATCTTGAGCTTCGGACTCATCATTCTGGAGGCACCCTGAAAACACATTATAATGTTTTGATATACAGAATGTTGTGGCAATTATGAAATAATTTCACTCGACTTTCCAAACACTTCATTGTATTAATGACAAATCATACAGGACAAGGAAGGAATTTTTCAATAGTATTCCCAGCGAGCACAAACATCCCTGGGATGTTTTGGGATGTTTTGAAAATGTTGGCATGAAGATGTTATTTTGAGACGTAATATGCACTGACCAAAGAGGTCTTTGAAGGATATTGAAGTATTGTTTTTGTTCTTCTGTGGCATTTCTTTGTTTGCCTATCTGAGAGGTATCCCTCTGGGATGTTTTGGGATGTTTTAGAAATGTAGGCATAAGGATGTTTTTTTGAGGCGTAATATGCACTTCCCAAAGAGGTCTTAGAAGGATATTGAAAGTATTGTTTTTGTTCTTTTGTGCCCTTTCTTTGTTTGCCCTACCACAACGTCTCATGCTTACGTCACAATACGATGAATTCTGATTTGTTTTCGATTTTGTTCTTCTTGTTCGCAATTGGCATTCGCGTTTGCAGCGTGTCACGCTTACATCACGCTGCTAACGAACAGAAAGGAATTTGGTGAAGTTTATTGTGTTAGAAGACTTATTTAGTTTGTAATAATGACCATCAGATGCAAGATGTGTTGTTCGGTGCCTCAGTGTGATCAATATATAGAAGTACGAATTCAACAATACACAGCTTCTCCGCAGTTGCAAAATTATGCATTTTGGAGAACATTTCAAAAATTGGGAAACCTATTTCCAATTATATGTCTGTGTGTAGTAAGCACTACTCAGAAACCGATTAAGAAGGTAATTTCATATCGAGAAAATATTTTTATGTTCAATCTATTTTTAATGCATTTTTCATTCAAGGGAAATGGAATCCTAATGCAAAAGTTCATTTTGACAAAAGGCTTCAGAAGAATACCTCGGAAATGGTTTTTTTACAGCGATTTAATGTGCGCAAGACGCGTTGAAAAATGTTCTGTTGTGTTCATGAAAAGGCTTTAAAAAGAACTAGGAAGAAGGTAGTTTTGTGACATATCAAGGACATCTCGATAATTGCCGCCTGCGGCGGACATTGGCTGTTCTATAATAGTTCTATTCATGTGTGAACAGAACATCGCAGTGGAGGTTCAATGTCTCGAAATCTCGTACTTTTAACATCTCTGAGATGTTTTTGTGCTCGCTGGGTTGCCTCCTCAGTTCCTGTTTTACATTTTTAATTTATATTGAGGAATCATCTTCTGTTTTTGTTTTCTAGAAATAATGAATACAGGCTGATTCACGGTGAATGGTACCTACATTAGACGTTTCTGGAGAATTCAACGTAGGATTATTTTGAAAACTTGGTTCTTCGGATAATTAGTTGTGTTCTATCGATTTGAAATATTTTCAACACTGCGACGTTGCCGCTTATATTGAGAAGTAGCAACAACTTTGATTTTTTCAATGAGACACCCTGTATATCATTCCATTTTTAGATTGCCCTCAAAAAGCTTATTCCATCGATCTATCACACTTGGGGTCTAGCGGGAATGATAACAAAGATATATATAGGGTGTGAAAAATCGAGATTTTTCAACTCGAGCATTCTTTGTCTCGAAACTATTCATAATTGGTCAAAACGGTTTTCAGGTGCCCGTCCTAACTTTTCATGATGTTTAAATAAAATGGGTACAGGGTGATTCGGAATTAAGATTTTCAAGCACCCTGTATCTGTTTCAATTAAATAGCAATTGATAGTGCATAAAATGTTGGAATAGGAACTTGAAAACCGTTTCGACCAATTATGAATAGTTTCGACACAAAAAATTCCTAAAGATGAAAAATCTCGATTTTTCACATCCTATAACTCTTTAATTATTACTGCTAGACCCCAAGTGCTCTATGTCAATAGAATCAGCTCTCTAGGAAGAATCTGAAAATGGAATAATATACAGGGTGTCCTATTTGAAAAATCAGAGTTGTTGCTACTTTTCGATATAAGCGGCAACGTTGCAACGCTGAGAATATTTTAGGTCGATAGAACACAAATCATTATCCAAGGCACCAACTTTTCAGAATAATTCTGAGTTGCGTTCTCCAGAAACGTCTCTATTGTGCCATCCACCGTGAATCAGCCTGTATAGCAAAACAACGTTTTCTGGGTCAGCTAGTATACGTATACAGGGTGGGCCACCAGTAACGCCTCGGTCTCTAGAAGGCTAACCACTTATCTTCTTGGAATTCTTCCTTTCTAGGAAGTTGCATGTCAACATAGGCTACCATTTAACATTATTTCGAAACATACAGGGTGTCCCCAAAAACCATAAAACACTGAAGTTAAACTTTCTTCTTGGGACATATACCGGGTGATCAAGATTCTGAATTGTGGATCAAAAGTTGAGATAGGGACATGTGAACCGTTTTGACCAATTATGAATGGTTTAGACACAAAACATTCTTGAACTTGGAAAATCTCGATTTCTCACACCCTATATCTCAGTAATTATAACTGCTAGACCCCAAGTATGATGGGTCGTTGAAATCAGCTCATCAGGGAGAATCTCAAAATGAAATAATATATAGGGTGTTCGATTGAAAAAAGTTCAACTTCAGTGTTTTGTGATTTTTGGGGACATCCTGTATGTTTCAAAATAATTTCAAATGGTAGCCTATGTTGACATGCAACTTCCTAGAGAGGAAGAATTCCAAGAAGATAAGTGGTTAGCCTTCTAGAGACCGAGGCGTTACTGGTGGCCCACCCTGTACAATAAACAAGCCTTACCTTCACAGTGGCCCTCTTTTTCGTCATCATCCACACCTACACTGGCTTTGTCCTTTTCTCCGAACTCTGACTGTACCTCGAACCCGTACTTGTCGGAGTTTTTCTTGTGGTAACTGTCGAAATGCTTGTAACCGTCATCACCTTTGGCGTCTTTCTTCTTGGAAAATCCATGGATGTCACCATCATCGGCATCATGGTCTCCAAAGGTATGGAGATACGCCGATTTGACCCCTGGAAACAAGAGGTAAAAAACGATCGATAGTTTCAATAGTTTATTTTAAAACTATCGATACTATCGAGAGTACTATCGATCTAGATTTTCGTTCAAAAATAGTTATTTATTATACAAGGGAAAAAAGTAGTAGATTTTAGCTCCAGGTTGTGTTGTCTCCCGACGCGTAGCGGAGGGAGACAAAAAACCGTGAGCTAAAATCTAATATTTTTCCCGTGTATAATACACTATTTTTTTCTGTCACAGAAGGAAGCACGAAGCAATATTGAGAAGATATTACAATATTTCGAAATCTGAAAATTATTGACGTGAAATTTCAAGTTTTTAACAGTAGGGACACCTGCGTTTTATAGGCATCTTTATCATTCTTTTGAAGTAATCAAATATCTGATGTCACTTTCTGTCAGTTCAATTCTGTGATTTGATTTTGAAAAATTGCGAATTCAGTAGTTGTTTAGTAATATACGAAACCGCGAAGTCGAATGGAAGATAAAAGGACTTGCAGTTCTTTCTCGGAGACGGTATTATCGACTCATTTTTCGGAACTATAGCACAACAAAAGCCATCAACAGAGTATATTTATGTGATATATATCCGGGAAAAAAGTACTCACTTTTTTCCCACGGGAAAAAAGTAATTTATGAAAAGTGACATTTTATAACCTGCCAACAGGGATGAAATGCCAAACTTTTTTCCCGTCACAGAAAAATAAATATTTGTCCACATAACCTTCCTTCGGGAAATTACGTGAGATCAGTTGCTAAAAGTGCATCCCGAAAACTTGGTTTTCTGTTTCGGGCCAGGATCTATTTCACTTCCAGTCAGCTGCTTATGATTCTATAAGGCACAGATCCGAGCTGTCCTGGAATACCCTGAAACTGTTGGATTCTGTCCAAAAAAGGGAATTCGTCTCGTGGGTGATGCCTCGCTCACAAACTCACTCACTTCTCTAGAACACCGTAGAAAAGTTGGCTATCTGGCTCTATTTTATAGATATTCTCATGGTCGATGCTCTTCTGAAATATCAACAATTGTTCCTCCCTTGGCAGTCCCCGCGAGATTAACACGACGAATTGAGGCTTCGCACCCCTTCGTGGTCACTTTAGAGACCTGCAGAACATCTCTTTCCAAACACTCGTTCATCCAACGAACATCGAGGCTCTGAAACACATTGCCAAGGGAGGTGATCCCCGAGGCATATAACCTCCAGAAATTCAATGAGAACACCAATGTGATCCAGGACCCATACCAGTTCAACTTTCTTTGATTCGAATAATATCTCAAGGGCATTTCCACATTCCTGTACCAATGCCAAGCTTGGTCTGGGATGACAGCCTTGAGTGTGAGACTTAGTAAATCATAATTGAAAGTGGTTTCATAATTATTTCAATACTCTTCAAATTGACATACTTTTAGCTTCCTGTTTATGATTGTTCCGATGAGAATTGGTGGCGGGAAAACAAAAAGCATCAAACTCTGTCAATTATCACATACAGTGTGTTATTTCAATATTTCGAATAAATGTAAATTTTTCCTGAAGCCGAACCTGAATTTTCACTTCGCCCGATAGGTGAATGAATTCAACGTCCCAAGTATAAGCTCCATACAAAATTTAAGAAAAATATACTGGGTACTTCAATACTTATAGACGAATGAATAATTATTCGAAATCGATAAATCGCCCTGTATCTTCGTTATGAAGACTCTAAGACCTATCAAATATGGTATTTTCAGAATCACCTTGGTGACCCCTATGTACAGGGTGGGCAAAATTGGGCGTTTTCACCGTCTATCTCAATAACTAGAGGAGTTATCGAAAAACCGATATACATATGTTTCGGGTTCGATTTTGGAGAAACCTCGAATGGTACAATCAAAATTTCGATATCTTCTTTCGTTTTAGAGATACAGGGGGAAATTGAAAATTTGACGATTTCGATTTTATTTTCTGACTACTTTACGGTGAGAGGTATCAAAAAATTTCAAACGTATATTTATACAGTATGATGCGCGGAATCCATAGGCATCATCAGAAATTTTATACAGGGTGACGTTGAGAAAATACGGTAGCCAATTATGTTTTTTCTAATGGAACACCCTGTATATTTTGGCACAGTTGAATAGTCCCAGGCGTTCTCAATACAAATATATATATAACCCTACCTTTTCCTTCCACAATTTCAGATATATTCGCAAAAATATATTCAGTGTGTCACATTTCTTATGGTTACACCCCCGTATCTTCTGTAAGAATAATTATTGATGGAAACATTAACAATCATAATATTTTGTGGCAGAATGCCTGAATATGATACTTTACCCATTATTTCTAGTATGCCTCAATATTTTCGCGTTCAAATAGATAATAAATAAGATATATATTTGAAATTGAAACGGGAACTTTACAGCTTTGCCAAAATATACGGGGTGTTCCATGAAAAAAATTGTTCTGTATCTGGAATTTGGACATCTTCTATAAGGCTATATTTTTCAACGCAACCTACTGATTTCCTAATTGAGTAAATTATTGGTCTTATTTCTGTATCTCAAATGTCTTGATAACAATGCTATCAAATCGAATAATTTCCCATTTTATTTCTCACCAAATATCCATTTATCTGGAAATTACATTCCCTATGATATTTATTTTCCACATTTGGTGAATATATACAGAGTGTCATTTTCAACCTCGATTCTGCCTGTTGATAGCATTATCCAGAAATATCGATGATTCCATAGCTGCTGTCGAGCAGTGTTATCATTGGAGATGATCCCACTTGGTCCATGACTCCATGAGTGTATCATTTGTATCTTTCTGACAGTTGCGAATTTTTGAATCCTTCCTCAATTATTTTTACAGAAGATACGGGGGTGTAACCATAAGTAATGTGACACACTGAATATAAGTAGATATATATTGAGAGAATCATTACCGGCATCACGGCATCAGGCAACCAATCACAGCGCTCGATATATATTGAGAGAATCATTACAGCTTCAATTGATATTTATTAATGTTAATTGATGACCGGGCAAAGGTCATCAGACTAATTTATATTGATTAACGAAATGCTTCATCAGATGAATTAATCAATGGATTCATCAGACTAATTATCTTCAATTGTGTGATAATTTTCAAATTGAACACTCCCTTCTAGTTTGGCTATAAATACTCTGGTGTAGTCTTGATTTCATTAGTGAACATGCAAGATAGAGACTTATTGGATATATTTATACAAAGTGGTGATTATCGTGTGGTCGAAACAAAACAGTGTTGTGTTTGCAAAAAAATTATCAATCGAACATATCTATCAAGTGGTTGTTGGTTGAGCAGACCAAAATTGACAATTGAATTGTGCAAACGTCTTTGCAAGCAAACGAGGCCAATAAAAGTCGTCAGATCTTACGCGAAGGATCCTTCATTAGTACTGCTGTCCCCCAACCATGAACATTTCTGAAAAAACGGAGAAAATTGAAGAGAACTGGGATAATGATGATTATTCCACTTATGTACCGAATGTCGAGGACAAAGACATTATCAGATGTCCACCACCTGGCAAGAGCAGAAGGGAAAAACGGAAATTCCGAATGGATGAGAGAATACGGCATAGTCAAATTAAAAATATGCTGACCCTAGAAGAACAGCAAGTCTGGGATGAAAAAGTATTTCAGAATCAGCATAGATTTTCTAATGTAACGGGAAAATGAGACTTTGATAAATGAAATGAATATCCTGTATCTTACCAGTTTCAATAAATATGACTTGAAAGTAGATGATGATTTCAGTTTATCAGAAGTTGTGACCATGATCACACCACAATGTTTAGTTTTACAAGTGATTCTTCAAGGCTTTCTCTATATCGCAAAACCTTATAATATAAGAGAAGTATTCATATGTTTCGATAGTGATGGTACACGAAATGAAAGTTGGCCTTCTAAATGGGCAAGAATGGAATCAACTACAATAAATAATGTTTCAACTCTCAAATCACTCATACCCAGCAATAGCACTATGTACAAGTTGCGATTGCGAAAGGGCAGTGGCTCCACCATTGATTCTGACTGGTGTGAACTAAATCCCTCCCCCCCACTACACCATGATACAAATATAATGAAGGATTATGCGGAATTCAGAATAGTCGATTGGGTTACGTACTACACAGCAGTGTGTGCATCATTGTTGCTGTTCAACCTCATTGTTACAACATGTCTAAAGATTGCCCTAACTGTTTATTGACCGAACTCGTGAATAAACACCGAAACCGAAATAAAAAATTGTACGATTTTACCGAAGAAGAGCTCCAGAATTTTCCACTACATTATCTTATTAAAAATGTAGGTCCGATGGAACTTCTCTATGCATGGGACAAACTGCCATCAAAATATACAGAGAATTTTAAACTTCGTATCCAGCTACCATGCTTTGTCCACTTCAATCGCCCTGAATGGAGAGATCATGTAGACGGCCTTCCTCAAGCACAATCAAGCTGTCATGTTTGTAGATGGGGCCTCGAGCGATGTGGATAATATTAATATTTTGTATTGAATAAATGTAATAAAACAAATTCACTCGATAATGATTTTTATTTCATATGTCACAAATACTACATATTATAATCCATAATTACAATATACAAATGAAAATCACATCAAAACTATTGGTCAGAGTCTTCCTCGTCAATCAAATCTTGAGCTATTTCCAAAAACTCATCTAAAGTTCCAGTGATAGCTCCTGGTGTTATAAGGAAATGACCCCAAGCCAAAGTTTTCACATCAGAAGGAATTTTATAACGCTTATCATCAGCAGATGACAAAGCGACTTTATTTCTTAATTCCGTATGAATGGTGTGGAGAGAAGAAGTGAACATATACATCTTACGTAATATTGTTCCACCATTTTCTACAATATTCACATAGTCTGAAAACTGAATTTGGTTTTTGACCACGTTTTTTGAGACACCTTTGGCTTTTTTCATCACATCACCTGCTTTTACACAGT